AATTTTCTTCGACCGAATTACAAATAAGAATGATTCCTTTGATACCTATATATTACCGGTTGGCGTCTTTCATCATAGTTTCACGGGTTATTGTTTCGAGATGCCTTGCTACGCTCTTACATAAATGAAAAGTTTACGGCATCAACGGGCTTAAGACAATCGCGAAGCTTTCTGCGAGGTTTTGAAAGACGCTGGTCATTTTCCATACAGAATATTAGCGTTTCTCTAAATTTTAATCGAGGATAAACGTTAATCGTGTTCGAACTATTTTAGAGGTGGTAGAAGAACAGTTCCCGTGTGTTAATTCTACCAATAGATATCGCCCAACGCGGGCTGTGCTCCTCTGGATTTCTAATACGTTGAGAAACTTGTATATTATCTCAAGAGAGTCCCTCTATGGAACAGCTCTTTGTCGGCTACAGCTGGTCAATCGTAGTATAGGCGTACTGTGAGAGTCCCTGAACCAGTTCTGGAATGAATACAGTTCTTGCAGCTCTTCTTGCCTCGGCTAAACTAGGGATGTTCGATTCTGAAACATCCTTTCATTCCAGAAGATCTTTTAAAAACCAAATGGATTCATTTGTTGAACGTATGTACGTGATTCGGAGTGTTGTTGTAGATAGATATTGCAATGCTTCTCTTCTTTTTGCGACAAAGTCGCTCCACGTTTTATACAGCTTCTACGTTTTTCTCGCTGGACAATTTTAACGAGTTAATCAAGGAGTTTAGTTTCCCTTCGTTAAACGTCGTTTATCTTCAAGAGCAATTAGTCGGCTAGTTTAAAGTCAGTTTCTTCCACGAGGATCGAACATCTCTGATCTAAACCCAATTCCTAATGGGAGTCCTTGAACCAGTTCTGGACGGACGCATCTCTATTCGGAGTCGTTCGGGGTCGACTGCTCTCTCTTCATTTTCTCGCAAGACTTTCATACCTCGCGACCTCCTTCTAGTTTGTTAATTCGCCAGGTTTTACTATCGACACGATTAATCTATTGTGAGTACGTGCTTTGACATTGACAGCATCGATAGCTGCGATTGCCAAGGTTCTAATCGATACCGTGTTAGCTGTCGATGACCACGCTTTGTATTATGTTGTCGACGCGCGTTTGGGCCTATTCTGAACGAGGCATAGTGGGGCCATTGCATGTCAAACGCGGCAAAAAGTGGTTTTATACAAATATACCCACAATGAAATAATGATTCACTAATAGTTAATGGGACACATGGGCCATGATTTAGTGTGATTTTTTTTATCATTTGTCGATTTTTGATACGACTACATGATTTTGAAACGTTCAATCTTAAAATCATCCAAAATTATAATCATCGTTTATTGTTGCTTTGATTCTTCAAAGTAAATGATGAGTAATTGAATTAAATGTACTTAGTACGTATTTAAATTACGAATGAAGAATCAGATGAAGAATCATTCATAGATTCATAAATTCTTTCGTTTTCTCTTCGTAAAGGTCGTGTCGTCTATTCGCTAATTGCCATCTTCTCCTGAAACGGGACTTCAAAGTTGCAATTTTTGTTTTCAAAATTTTCTGGTACTCCACAGAATAATTATCCTGGCTCATTAAGGACGACTCTAAAAATTCTAGTTTATTTTCAAAATCATGATTTTGATGCTGTGTCATGATGTTATAAAACTGCATCATTAAAAACACACGTACTCCTGATGAACCTTAGGATTTAAAAAAAAATGTCACTCTATTAAAATGAAACTTTTGCTACGAAAATTGTATTAACAAACTATATAGAAGATGAAGAAAAATGGCGAAATTCAAATATATACAGGGTGTTCGGCCACCTCTAGCAAAAATTTTAATGAGCGATAGTAGAGGCCAAAATAAGTCGAAAATCAAGAATACTAATTTGTTGATGGAAGCTTCGTTAAAAAGTTATTAACAATTAAATTCAAAAATTTCAAATCGTTCTGGAAAAATTATTTTCGGTTGCGGGGATCAACTACAATCATTTTTGGTGAGTACACATACCTCCGAAATCCTATCTACTTTCGAGAAAAAAAATCGAGTAGGTGCTGAAATTTTTCGGCGAAAAAAAATTTTTCAAATCGTTTTAAAAAAATTATTTTCGGTTGCGGGGATCAATTACAATCATTTTTTATCATTACACATACCTCCGAAATCGTACGCACTTTCGAGAAAAAAATTCCTTACTGAAAATCCAATTAGGTGCCTAAATTTTTCAACGGAGAAAAAAAATTGCAAATCGTTGTGGAAAAATTATTTTCGGTTGCGGGGGTCAATTACAATCAGTTTTTGTCATTAGACATACCCACGAAATCCTGCCCACTTTCGAGAAAAAAAATAGAGAAGGTGTGAAATTATTCGAGAAAATTAAAAAATTGCAAATCGTTGTGGAAAAATTATTTTCGGTTGTAGGGTTCAATTACAGTCATTTTTGGTGAATAGACATACCCCCGAAATCTTGCGCATTTTCGAGAAAAAAATTCAGTAAGAGCGGCACTTTAAACGTTAATAACTTTTTAACGAAGCTTCCACCAACGAATTAGTATTCTTGATTTTTGTCTTATTTTGGCCTCTACTATCGCTTATTAAAATTTTTGCTATAGGTGGCCGAACACCCTGTATATCTGTACCTACCTACTTCAATTGGAAATTCCATTATTTTAACACTAAATATTTCACTCACAACATACAAGTTAGGAACGTCAAACGACAAATGCTCCAAATTCGTGATCATTTTATGCTTTTATAGCATTCGAAGCAAAAACAATGAAATGTATGCATTGTTTCCTAGTTTTGATGTATTCTTGAGAATCATAACAATACTCGCAATCGCCGACGCTCGCACGTGCCGAAACAGTTGATCATCTTTATATTTTTCGCAGTAGCAGCTAGTAGCAGATAATTTTTTTTTTTTTAAATAGGTAAGGCTTCACTTTACAAAAAGCAACTAAAATGAACACTGAATCACACTGCATTCATAATTAAAAAATAAAATGAAAACTGAACATGTTCAATTAGTTATAACTCAAAAAATGTTGGAGATATAAAAGTGTACTTTGGTGTAATTTAAATACGTACTAAGTAAATTTAATTCAATTACTCATCATTTACTTTGAAGAATCAAAGCAACAATAAACGATGATTATAATTTTGAATGATTTTAAGATTGAACGTTTCAAAATCATGTAGTCGTATTAAAAATCGACAAATGATAAAAAAAATCACACTAAATCATGGCCCATATGTCCCATTAACTATTAGTGAATCATTATTTTATTGTGGGTATATTTGTTTAAAACCACTTTTTGCCGCGTTTGGTATGCAATGGCCCCACTGTGCGAGGTTGCCAAGAAGGTTCACATAACTTCGTAAAAACCCCTTAGCTTACAATAACGTCTCAGAGACGTGATAAGTCTATCGGGCCAAACCTTGGTATCGCTTTTGGCATGCACAGTTGGAAATTAAATCGTAAGGCAAGGGGTTAATAATATTCATCTATCGTAGAAACATACGATTATTCACGCTCGTATCCGTACGCTATAATGGGGATTTGCGAGTGTTTAAGCATATTTAATTGTCTGGATAATAATCGTTTTTTCTAACATCATAAACGCGTCCAAGAATTTTGATTAACTCATTCAGGATGAGCGTTACACATTTACGTCCAGTGTAAACGCATGACGTCCGTCCTGAATAGGTTAATACGTTTTTAATTTCAGCAACCGTGGTGAGCTTTCTCAATGCTACACATTCCTGCTAATGTTATCATACTTTCGAATTTATGAATCATTTCGTGTCTTGTTTCTGTAGTTAATTTCACACGATCCTGCTTTTATTCTATCGTTAAGAGTGAGTAAATCAGCTTCCATCGCTATACGAGGGTCGTTCGTTCGATAAACAGACAAACTGCAGCTGGAACATTGTTTATTTAACACCTTGATTTTCATCGACTACATATGGCTATATGGCAAAAATGAAATTTTAAGAAAAATCGATAGAGGATAATTTTGAGCAAATTTTTCGACGAAATTAAAAAATTTCAAATCGTTCTAAAAAAATGATTTTTCTTTTCGGGGGTTAATTATAATCATTTTTGGTGAATAAACATACCCTCGAAATCCTTCGAGAAAAGAGTACAATAAGAGGATAAATTTTTCGACGAAATTAAAAAATTTCAAATCGTTATAAAAAAATTAATTTCAATTGCAGGGGTCAATTACAATCATTTTTGCTGAACACACATACCCCCAAAATCCTACACATTTTCGAGAAAAAAATTCTTTTCCGAAAGTATGATGTGAAGCCAAAAATGGTTCATCGAGAGTTCATGCGTATGTTTAAAACGTCGTAACTTCTGAACGGATTGGAGGATTTGAATGTTTCGAAATGCAAACGACGCGTATTTTGGCGAAGAATATGTTGAAATTCTAAGAGAGTTCGAAAAGTTGTTCTTTAACCTGCATAAAGTGAAAAAGAAACCATAAAAGTGGTATAATTCTCCGGCATTGTCTCAAACCCGAGTATACTGGATAATCGGAATTTTACTGTACTACTTAGGGGAGAAATATAAGAGAAAAAAGAATTTATTAAAAATGAAGAAAAAACACAAGAACAAATTAGGAATTGTGCAGATCACCGCACACCTACTTATAGTATGAATATGAGCTCATCTACTTAATAGTTAAATATTCGGAACGATTCCTGCGTGTAGGAGTACTTACTCATTAGTACCCACGGAATACGATGTATGTTAAACGTTAATTGTCTAGTATTAACCGCTCTATGGAAAGTATAAACCTCCACAAACACCACCCGATATCGATTAACACGAATCGTATTGCGTGGATATTAAGAAACATGTACTCATACCCTGGACACCTAATCGCGTTTACAAGTAATCGCAATTACTTTTCGACCAACCCAATATATTTTCTAAGAAATTTGTTTCTTTGTCATGTACTTTTCTCTCTCGTTTATTAATTGCAATACATTCTCTGCTGGTAGGTCTTTTAGCAATTTCCGCGTGCGAGGAGACTATTTCCCCTGCACCAGAAAAGGTAGGAACGTCTTCTGGCAATGCCGACGACATTGTCATGTTGGAAATTGATGTGAAAGAACCTGTCAAGAGGTCACCGATAGCTGCCAATGCCGACTATGGAGCACCTAATCAATATGTTCTTCAAAATGCTGATGGTACTCAACAGGTAACAAACAGGGCTCGAACCGACTTATTTTCTCATTTGTAATAATAGTTACCCATTTCTAGCACAATTTATTTTCTAAAATTTGTATCGACGTCGATTCTACCATCCAATAAATTTGACTCGGTAATAGTTCGGTTGCGTAATGTTCGAATACTTTCACTTTTTCATTTTATTGGTTTGCACGTAATATTTTTGTTTATAATTTCGATAAGTAGATCAGTAAGTCATAGATTTGTCTCAAGGATAAAATAACGGTAATATTACTATATCTACCTCTCCTGTTCCGAAACAATAAATGTTCCTGGAAACAGGCAAAATCATTGCTCTCGGTCAACCGTGACTATTGGCCGCCTATCACCGACTGGCATAGTGATTGACTGCATACCGTATAGCCACGAGCACTATGAATTTTTCTTTTCCATTCGAACGGAGAGTCCGCCTTCATTATCTAGATATTTCGTTGCAACAACAATCGCGATTGATTTAATACCGTTGGTTTCGTTACTCGCGATTGCCATTGTCATCTAACCGCTGTATTTCAATGGCAATGACAAATTTTATGTTAACACACGTTTCCTTATTTCGACAGAAAATATACGTTAAAAACGATAAAGCATTTTTTAACTCCAACCACTATACTGAAATATTTGAGCTATTTGAAAGTAAGAGGAACTGAATTCCAAACTCTTAGAATTCGCGAAATCTTAAACGTTGTTTCTCAAAGCAGTTACATTCTAAACAATTTACTGTGTCTACTATGATTGATAGCGGTATACAAATTGCCGGACCGAGAAGCCTTGTTTTAACCACTTCGTTCCTTTCCTGTGCATTAAATCACCCTTTTAATACACAATTTAAGTATTAAATTGGATTTCGAAATACGAAATTTCGATCATATTGTAACCGATTGGACGCTACAAAGAAATTACAGGATGTTAAAAAGTACAGAAATTACATAAATACAAAAACAAAAGTAACAGATACAGATTACTCTGGATGTATTTTCCAGAACAAAGTAAAAGTACGCATTAAAAATGGGGGAATGAATCACTGATCTGTAGCGTTTCAGCCTCGGAGGGGTTTTTACGTTTCGTTCTACACCTACACACGATCATGATCCCTTAGTCGTGCTAAACGCGATCTTGCTTTCTTGCATAACTTTTACCTTCTAATCGGTTTGACCTGACAAAACCGGTAATACCACACCCAATGATCGAGAGTATATCCGTCTACAAGTCTCGGGGGCCCTAGATACGTTCTCCATATGGTGTACGGCCTTGTATACCGTTACCGTGTCAAGTCACTTTGAATGAATCTTTATTTACGCTTATGGGTCATCGACTCATCTACGACGCTAACAATTCATTCATTCAAAGATCATTGATTACCCCAGACTGATTTATTCAACGATTCATCGATCGTGTTCGCCGCTATTAAAACTGGCTACCTCCATCAATTTTTGGCAAATTTTCTTCCTGAACATCTTTTTATTCAATACGTGTCATCTCAAGAGTGGCTACAGATCCATGCTAAAGGATCTCTAAATATTCAAGGATTTTAAATTTTCGAGAAGAATTTAAATTATGTGTCTTAAATAAAAATTCTTTTCACGATCTACTACTCTTTAAAAATCTGTACGATGTTTGCTTACGAACAGTTTCTGATCTGGGTTGTTAAAAAAAGTTTGATAAAACCTACGTCGTAGACAGATCATTTTAAACTAACGTCCAGTGTTTATTAACACTCAGAGGAAACGAACAATTGAAAATCGTATATTGTTCGACGTTTCACAATCGAAACTTCGTGATCAATAGTGGTCAATAAGGTAAAAGAAAATCATTCGAGTAGGATCTAGTCGAACAACGTTTACTCAAATTTCTGTGTATATTTTCAGCTGTCGCCGGAGTACCTGTCCGTTCTAGAACAGTATACGCAAGAACAGCCTCAAGCACCGCCGCAACGCAGACCTCAACCAGCTTATGCAAGGCAACAACAAGCGCTGCAACAAGCTTATTACAACTACCGAAAGCCAGCAGTGGTTCCGCCCAGACCACGTCCCCAGCTTCATCCCCAGGCTTTAGCTCAAGCTGAAGCAGCTGCGGAGATTCAAGCTCAAGTGGACGCACAAAATCGCGCGGAAGCTATTCGCACTGCTCGTTTAGGTTCGAATCCACCACCCGCGAATGCATATCAACCATCCTATTCTCAATCAAAATTAGGAACGTTCGAACAAGAATTATTGCAGCTAGTTTCTGCCAATCAAGCTCAAGAGTTCAAATTGCTACCTACTCAACCGAAAGGTAGCTCGTCAGCTTATTCTCAACAATTAGTGAGCTACCCTGCCGAATACGCGAAACCAGCACCAGCGCCGGCTCAACTGCCCGAACAATATCATATCGAAACGTCTCCTCCGCGTTATCAACAACCACAACAACCACAACCGGTAGCAGCTTATCAGTCGATCGAAGAACCCGTTCAGTATCAAGCACCGGCCGTGAAACCTTTCAATCCTTCGCCACAATATGATTACATCGACGACGACGCGCATCTCAAAGCCTTGGAGCAGGCTCAGGCCCAGGCTCAGGCACAAGCTGAAGCACAAGCGTTAGCTTACCAAAAGGTAGCGCAAGCCGCGTATAACAAACACCAGCAACAAGCTTTGGAACAGATAAGGCTCACGAATGACCGTCACAGGCAACAGTCTGCTTTGGAGCAAATCCAACAAGGCGCTCAGGTGAGCGACGCTGGACGCAATTACTTGCACGAGCAACTGCAGCCAAAGAGCGCGGAAGCCGCGTACAAGGCGAAGCTGAAGGCTCAATCGTCTGCGGAAACGGCCGAGGCGAGAAAATACCAGCAAGCCGCGGAATTTAAGGCCCACGCGGACGCTATTCGTAAGCTGGAAGCTCAACAACGCGCTCATCTCAAGGTGCAGGAAGAAGTTCACAACTATGCTTTGAACTTTGAGAAGAATCAAGCTCGCGCCCAAGCTCTGGCGCAGGCTCAGGCCGAAGCTTTGTACAAACTTCAGGTTCGGGGACGCAGCGAGGTCAACAAAGAGATTCTAGCCATTTCCAAGGGTCAGATAGAAGGGAAGAAGGCTGATCCTGTTTCACCCGTCTATCACTTTACTCTGCAAACCGTCAACCAGCCCCTACCCGCGCCCAACAGTTACTTCACCAACGATCAACTGCAAAAATACCAGGCGTCCGGCTCTTCCCACGTCCCCAGATCGGTTCCCAAACCCGACGACGTGAATCCCGTGGATGGAACCCAAGCTCAAGCGCAATCCGTCATCACGCAACCTCGGCAAACGCACAAACTCAAGATCCCGTCGTCCTCTCAGTCCGTTTACGTCTCCGAATCGGGTTTGCTGAAAAAGTCTCCCATCAAATCGTTAACCATAGAAGAAGTCGAGCCAGATCAGATAAATAATCACCCGGCGTTTCAAGCTACCGGTTCTACGGTACGCGCGTTGACGGAGGAGGATTTGTCCGCTTTGATAAACGCAGGATACACCGTCGGTCCTGTCGCGCAAACCGCGAAACCCGATCAACAAATTTACGCGGTCGAAAACACGTCGGCGGGTTATTATACGAAAACACAAAAAGCTCCAATTTTGAGACCCGAGTACGTAACTTACGAGGAAGTGATTCAACGTCCGCGCAAACTTATCAGAAAAAACAGGCCGATCCTGAAGCACAACGACAGAGAAACTGACGCCAGTGAGAAAGTTACTTACTTGGTACCTTTGGAATCCTCCTTCGGCACGAGACAACCTCCACTGAAACACGAAGAATAATTCGGTATTAATGTTCCGTGTATTATCATTGCGTTGAGTATTAACGATGCAACTTGTAACTCAAGTATAGGTCTTGCCTTTCGTTCTTTATTATTTCGTATTCCAATGTACATAGAACTTTTCGCGGTTCTTGGAACCGCTAAGGTATGAACAAAAAATTAACGGTCCGAGGATTTGGAAATTCGTCGGATTATCATTCTTTGTTTGCACCTCCGGAAGTTCATTAAATTGAAATATTGAACATTTGCATTAATTACGAATGAGTTTATACTTTTACGAACGTTTTGATGATATGTTAATTTTATATTTCCCTTTGAAATGAAGTAATTATTAACTGTAGAATAGCGATGATTTATTTCCTAAATTCAATGCGAACCTCCCGTATTCCACAACCTATGTTTTCTCTTTATCTGTTCATGTTGCGTGTTGCTTCGAGACACGATTACGGTGAATCGAACGCGTCGATCGACCAGTAAAAATATGGTTGATTCGTGTATATTTATTATGGATGGTTTAATGTTTTTCAGAATTTAAACGCAAATTTTTCTTGAATATTAACCGAATTCCGTTACTGGTTATTGAATTATATAATGTCGATCGACGCAAGCGATTCGATTAAATCACAGTTCTTTAAGCATAGATATACATCGCGGAGCAACCAATTTTGTAGCGCAAATGAGTATAACAGTGCTCTTTTAACGCAATATTACTTGTAGATGGTATGTGCGACGGTGCTAAGTCGAATAATTCTTAATTTATACCTACTTTTTGTATATATTAGATTTTTACTTAATAAAACAGTTAAAAAATCTCGCTTCGTGATATGTAATATATTTTTATTTTCCTACGAATACCAATTCCATTTTCTACATATACCAAAATATACATAGTATCAGATGCTAATATTAATTATATAAGTCAGATTTTGCAAATAAAATGTCATCTTATATTGTACAAACGTAAAATATATAGAACAGCTAAAACTATTCAATTATTAATATTTTACATTCGGACAATTTTTTGATCAACTAGTATGTATTCTATAACTAAAATTCTTATTCTTTAAATTAAACCGAACTGAAAGTATTTACTTACTCGAATAAGTTGTCAATAGATGCTGATAAATATTCGTACGATGCGTGATCGTTGAACGAGAACCAAAATGGCGTAGTGGCAGTCAGTTTTTCGTATAGCAGGGTTGCTGAACTAATGGCGTATGACTCACGTGCCACTAGTGCTACATGGGCCATGCTCTTCCCCACTGCCTAATTTCTACCACCTCTACTATTCATTTACTACCTGCGTCTGCGCTGCGTGATTACGTGCCACCTAGGCCTACGATGGTTGAAACAGTTCCGGAAATAAACATTTCAAAATGTTATACATCGATTCTGAATCAAAACAGTTGTACGAATCGATAAAATGTCATAATTGTTATAACCGATATTTTATCGGTTCTATAACTGTTAATTTTCTATAATACGTTCGTATCGAATTCTTATCGAATTAACGAATATGGTAACACTGTCAAGATTTTGACAGGAACAAGGAATAAATTTTAATTTTTATTGCAGTGTACCTATAATTAAACAAGAACGAAGGAATTAAACTCAATAATTTTATGTCGACAGCCTTAAATTGATGTCTATACGTCTGAATCAATTCTTGTACAATAAAATATTTACCTGCAACTTTCATTTATGTTTTATCGTAGACGGTATATTTTATTATTTTATAATTATAACGTTGCTTTATTACTTTCAATGAGAGCCATAACGTTTCACAAGAAACTAGTTAAATAATAATCTTTACATATTTATGATTTGAAATTTCTGTGAAGAGTCTTACTTGGAATTTTAATTTGACGACGCATCAAGAGCGGAATTCTCGCAAGGAAGGAAAATAAGAATTATAGTCAACAGATTCGTGAAAGTTTACGTAAGACAATATTTCACGTTGCACTTAAACGTTATACACGTAAAATCAGAATAGTCCTTGCTCGACTTCTGCACCCGTACACTTTCTCTCTCACGCTGTGACATAATCTTTCGAACAGTTGGAGAGTTGAAACTCGGCTGCACATTGAAAACTGGACTAGTATAGTTCATTATTACCTGCAGTGCAGTCATGCCAGGAATCTGTTACAATTTTGTTGTACTGCTGATAGCCATCTTCCTGCTAACAGCACGCACCGCTTCTCTTCAGGTAGTGTAACTATTGTTCTATTTCGTTAACTTCACTCTAAATACCACTATTATTTGTTTAATTCAATGATCCATCGATCAACAAACTGGCGATATAAATTTAAATCGTATAAAAATGTCAAATCAATCTGTGGAAAAAGATTATGGTGAAATAAAACCAGATATTGGTCTGCTAAGCCAATGGCTGAATTAAAAGAATAATAATGATATCTAGAATGAAGTTGAGAAGAAAACTATAATTACTATTTAATAAGAAAATATTGGATTGGCTAAAAAATTCGACAGTTAATAATTTAACCATATATTGCCATGAAAAAGTTTACCAATGGACGTGGAAAGAGAGGGGTTTTATTTTATTTATTTCTTATCGTAGAGGAATTACTTTCTATTTGTATGTTAAGAATCGCATGAAATTTTTGGCCAACCAGAATTAATAAGTTTTCATTACATCATTTTTTTAATGGCTCCATTTATATTCGTTTAGAACCGGATAGTGGTTGAAGATATCAATTACAATGACTACCAGAACTACCAAAACTACCAAAACTATCAGACGCTAGGGAGATTGGATAAACCGATCGTCGTAAAACCCTTCGAGAAACCAAAAAATCAGCAAGACTTTAGCAAAATCCCTGGTGTTCCGGGAGTGGACTATCCTCTGTATCACACTGTACCACAGACAAGTTTTTCATGTGCACACGTTCCAATCGCGCCTGGAATGTACGCGAATGTAGAAACCGGTTGCCAGGTAATATATTTTATTTCGATACGACTTAGTTATTTAAATTTTCAAAGTATCGTGGTAATTATTTATTTCTCGTGATAAAATAACTATAAAAATAGAGATTCAATTCTTTTAAAAAACACGACATTGTGTTGTGTGACTTTCAGTACGAAAAATTCAAAAGTTTTTGAGAATGATGCGAATGAGTAACAATAATGAATAATATATATACATGATATAATATTTTAGGCGTATCACATATGCCACGACGGCCGAGAAGGCCATCAAGGTGCATCTTTCCTGTGCACTAACGGAACCCTTTTCAGTCAACGGGATTTCGCCTGCGATTGGTGGTACAATGTCAACTGCGCCGAAGCGCAATCTTTATACAGGTGCGTTATTGTTATTATACTTCCTTCGATCCTAGCAAAACAAAACCCGTGTAAACAACCAGGGAATCAACAGATAAGATGAAGAGATCCTAATCCACCATTGTCATCGAGAAATATGTAGCAAAGATGGAAGGAGATAACAACGCATATTAAAAATAGTAAAACTTTAGACGCGTACAGTTCCGAAACTACCAGTGTTTTATTTCTAAATGAACCATCGTTGGAAGCGGCAAACCTTCCTCCTTAAAATGGTTTTTGATCTTTGACGATCGGACTTTCCGTTTTCGAGATATCGTAATTTATGTAAAGAGGTATTTTTTCAATTCGGTTATCTCTGTCTTCGTCTAACGAGTCGAACCTCACTCTCGCACTTGCATCGTGTTGACCTACCCCAACGTCGTGACAATCGTAACCCAGTTCCGTAGTATTTCCAAAAATTTACTACGCACTGTTTACTATCTATGTGTGCGAGATCATTCAACTCGCACGACGTCAACAATGAAACGTAAACAAACTTCGTGACCCTTATATCTACAAAACTAGCCACCGCATCGACTTGAAACTAAAATCGTTATATCTCCGGAACTAATTACGCTATCGACTTTAACGAACGCTCATTTTAAAGGGCTTTTCATCCCCTATCCGGTGACCATAACCACAACTATTATTTATGCTGTCTTCTATGTTTATTTTCTTATTTATTTTAACTCTACACACCCAAAGAAGTTTCAGTAATTCCTACTGGTCATTTGATCTGTGATGGTAACAATGGGTATATATAATTGATACGCTTCATATGTAATCAGTATCCTAATTGTATCTGTTTCAGATTAAATTTAGATCCGGAGAAGAATCCCTACTTGCCAAAGGATGCAAAAAATATTATACCGAATCATATGAGGATCGTTGTGGTTTAAAATTACTAACATGCGTACACAATAAATTATTTAAGATACAAATTTTCTATGAATTATATAATTTGTTATTAAACGAACATTTCGTTTTATAACTATGGTATTTTGCAGACATTTGTATTTAACGGACACATCCTTGTTCCTATTAGTCCAACTCGAGGTTTTACTACACAGTACTAATATCTTTCAATTAAATACTAGCCACTATAGAATAGATATATATTAAAATTGATTACCTACTAGCGTAATTTTTACAACGTCGATACAATTTAATAATTTATTGTATTTATCATTTGCATTGCACCGTGTTCCACCATTCACAGCGCTTTTTAACATCGCTGAACGCAGTGCCTACAGGACAAAGCGAAGAAGTTCTTGACCAGCCAGCACAGTTGTGGAAAACCTGAAAGTAAACGACATTAACGTACAGAAGTGATAATACTTAATGACATATTTACTTACTTGGCAATTAGTATCATGGTCGGCAAACATACCCCTTCTGCCATTGCATGTGAAACTGGTTTCCGGGATACTAGTTAGATTCGTATAACGCGACACCGTGTTGTCGATATGAAATCTGACATTTTGATAAGACGTTGCTCGTGAATTCATACCGTTGTTCCTCGATTCCTGCTTTTTAAATCGAGGAAAAACATTTTGATCTCTATCCGCAGAGAGAGTTTCAATGTGTCTAGAAGATCGTTCGTGGAACTTATTGAGAAATCCTTGGTAATCGGTTATGATCTGAAAATAAAACACTGTGTGCTAGTTCGGTTTTGAAATTATTTTCTAAATTTAATCGTTTCTCCTCGATAACATACAGTGAGTGTAAAAAGTATTCGTACACTAGTCAATTTGAACAAAACCTTTGCAGAACTTTGTTTATTACAAAAGTATGTGACAAAAACATACATACATATTCTTAGAAATCTCTGGAACAAATGTCATTAACAACAAATTATTTATTTATATTTATTATGAAAATATTAACAAATTTTCAGAAATTGACCTAAAATATACGCGTAATAAGTATTCGTACAATCTTTGATTCGTAACATTCCACATAGAACGAGTACAAGATAATCCATGATATGTAAACATACTTAGCATCAGTATGTCTGGAGACGCTGTCGGTATAGGTAGTATCCTGAATTCAAACATTATCAACGAAATTATCAGTAAAATGGGACGAAAACGCAAGGAAACCTCTGAAGACGAAAGGAAAATTGTTATAAATTTACATAATAAGTGTAAAACACTGCGTGAAATTTCTAAAGTTTTAAATAGACCGAGGTCCACGATTCAAGGAATCATTGACAGATATGGCGATCGAAAAACTGTAAAAACTAATCCAAGAAACGGACGTAAACGAATAATAAATGAGTATACCGGCCGATGGATAATTCGAAAAATAAAGCAAAATCCAAAGGTAAGTGCGGTGAAAATCACAGCTGAACTTAAAAATGATCTGGACATTAATGTATGCAGTAGCACAGTGCGTAATTTTTTACGGGATAGAGGATATCACGGCAGAGAAGCTCGTAAGAAATATTTCGTAAATGAAATTAATAGAGAGAAACGATTGCAATTCGCGAAAGAGTACGTTAATGTTCCTATGGAGCACTAAAACCGTATTATATTTACCGATGAGAGTAAATTTAACATATTTGGGTCAGATGGACGATGTACAGTATGGCGGAAAAAAAATACCGAGTACGAAAAAAGAAATTTGAAGCCGACCGTAAAGCATGGAGGAGGATCAGTCACAGTTTGGCAGTTAGGCTCTATGAGTGCGAGCGGGGTTGGATCCCTCCATTTTATCGATGGTATCATGGATCACAAAATGTACATCGATATTCTAAAAGAGCATCTTCAGGTTAGTGCAAATAAAATGCAGTTACAGGGCAATTATATATTTTTCCAAGATAATGATCCAAAGCATAATGCTTATAATACACGTCAGTGGATCCTATATAATGTGGCGCAGCAATTAAAAATCCCTCCACAGTCTCCAGACGTAAATGTGATAGAGCACTTATGGAGCCATCTTGACGAAAAAATTCGAGACCATCACATTTCTTCGAAACAAGATTTAAAAAATGCACTTTTAAAGGAATGGAACAAAATTTCTAGTACTATAACCAAAAATTTAGTAAATTCAATGCCGCAAAGGCTTAAAGCGATTATACAATCTAAAGGAAATCCCACGGGATACTAAAATAGCAAATAGACTGATTTTTGTTACGTTTATGTACTAAAATTTATAGTTTTTGTTGTAAAATTAGAAGTGTACGAATACTTATTACACGTATATTTCACGCCAATTTCTGAAAATTTGTTAATATTTTCATAATAAATATAAATAAATAATTTGTTGTTAATGACATTTGTTCCAGAGATTTCTAAGAATATGTATGCATGTTTTTGTTAACATAATTTTGTAATAAACAAAGTTCTGCAAAGTTTTTGTTCAAATTAACTAGTGTACGAATACTTTTTACACTCACTGTATATTTCCATCCAAATCCAAAGGTGTCGAAAGATTGAAGTTTCTTGAAATTTTACGTTACGTTTAGCTCTCGATAGTTATAAAAACATGTGTGATATAATAATATACAAACGATGAAGATCTCCCTAAACGGTCGGCGATGCGTTAATACTCGCAACTGTGCAAAAGCTGATGAAAAAGAGAGCGCCACACCGTAAGACTTCTCTTTGTGATAAAGAAACACAGCTTGTTATTGGTGTTTTGCGTGTAATTTGCATACCGCGAGTGCAAGCGAGCGTGCAGTAGCAAGTGTATTCGCGAGTATACTTTCATTTGCGTCTCGAGTGCAGGACAACTAGATGACCTATCTTCTCACACTGGGTAATCCTAGAAAATTGCGGTTCGCTTAAACGAACTAGGTAAACTAGAATCTCGTGTGTCGACATGCATTTTTCTAGCGTAGCCTGTGGTTTTCTACTCACGATAGTTAACACAGATATATCATTTCATGTCTTCGTTGCCGGAGAGTCGCTGCAAGGTCTTTTATCTTAAAAGACATTTTATTTAACGCGCAATTAATAATCGCACAATCGTAGAAACAATGTAGAAGAGTTACATTTAATGTTGCACAATCTTTCAAACGTTAAAGTAATTTTTTGATGACCCACCTTTTGTTGACCCGAGGACTGTTAATCGCTGATAAAAATTGAAGAATATTTATATTAAACGAACCTGATGAGAGTTGAAAAGAGCGATGTTATTGACGAAATAGTCGTTGTCCGGTTCGTAAACGGTGTCCCAATCGTAATGAATGTTCCAGGTAGGTATATAAGTTTCTTCTAAGAGATCGGTGTTACCAGGAAGTACTAAAGGCGCTATGATAGGTTTGTATATTCCAGGCTTCGTAGGTAGCACTATGGGCGCGAATTGTCTGAAACTCGTGTAAGTTTGGAATTTTGGTAGTTCCCGATGCTTGTTGTTGGCGTAGTTGTTCGAGTACTTATGGCCATTGGACCGTGAATATGGTGCACGAATAACGTAAGTGGTATCTATCGTCTTCGCATGATTGTACTGGAATCGCCCCTCCGGTGGCACGTATCGACCATCCGGCGTTAAGTACACCTTTAAAGTATCATTTTTAATTCATATATATTATAGTTAAAACATTTTTTCATTGTAAATATTTACTTCTTAATTTAATCTACACACCTTTATTACTTCTGGCACAGTTTGAACGCGTTGAGAATGTTTATGTACATGACGAGCATCTAACACCACGCCATCGGGTATCGTAATACCTTCCTTGTTTAATCGATTCAACGCTAAACGATCGGTTTTGAAAGCTTCTTCAGGAATTTTACCTCCTAGTGCTGGGAGTACCTGCTCCCTGAATATTTGTCGCTTTTGCTACGATAAAATTTCATTTTATGAACCACAATTGGAACTAAATACAATTTACTGGTATATATCATTTGTGCATCATATTTCACCTTTTTTGCGTCGACGTATATTGTCAGAAATATGGCAATCAGTGTCAAGCAAAACCAATTTCCTATTCCAATTGTCTTCATCGTGACAGTTTTGTTGATCTCTTATACCAACGTGTGCAGGCTCATTCCTCCCATGCATTCGCTTTTCTAAAATATACATTTTAAATTTATATTGCGCCTAATCACTCTATAACTTTACATAATGAAATTTTAAATATTTATATTCATTCCAAAGATATAAACTTTATCTTCCCAATGGTTTGACACTACGATAGCTATTAGACTAAAATAAATCTTTCGACTCGATGCCCTAAACCTACCATTATGTCTTGTAAAGAGAAATTACGAGCTTTCTTAGCTAAGCAATTGGTATACAAGAGAAGTGCTATTTTTGATAAATAAATGATCGAAACAATGCAACGAAGTCATAGTTGATTGTTCGGACGACAGTAGTTGAGTCTTTCACGCTACTGTCTATTTTAATTTGAATGACAACAAATGTGATTTGATAATATTTAATGATCTGAATTGTGTAACCTGAATGATTTCTATTTGGTAATAAACGTCAAACGTCTGTGTATCCGGTATTTGTTATTGGAACATTCGCTTCGTGCAGTCCCACAGCTTTGTTCTAATTACATCTCCTGAGCGAATCTGTTGCAATCCCTCCTCGGTGAAAGATAAGATTCTAATCCATTTGGTTCGCATGAGTCAATGTGAATCTTCTCTCCAATTCACCAAATATTTGATAACGCTCAATAACACGCGGAATGTTGTTTTACAAAGTAGATTGCACAATACATTTCATAATCACCACAGTAAAACAATCGAATAACTAAACAATAAATCAAAATAGAAATAGAATGGTTTCCTTTAAGAAATTAAAGAGGGAGTACTATTTGCATATGATATGCTGAATTCAACGTTTATCATAATAGTAATAAAATTTACTTGAATTTTGTGCTTTCTGTTAAAATTATTTAATTACAGATTTTAGAGGTAATTACCAGGAAGGAAAGTTTTACATAAGCTCAGAGCAATACCCAATTGACCGGAACAAGGAAGGTGAAGAGAAGATTGCTTTTACTTCTAAACAGTGTGAGTGAAGATGGTACATGTGAGTATGGCAGTCACATTTATGCAATGTATGATTTCAGAGAAATTCTGTTTCATAATTTTCGCAAAGAGAATCTGTGTCTATATTGTATATGATTTAAATAAACCACATATATTAATAATAAATATTTCCAAAATAATTTTTAGCATCTATCGTATATATTATTAATCTCTAAATGTAATATTTTCACTCGTAAGCACTCAAAACGAAATATTCTTGAGAACATGAGACATCAGAGTATAAAACGAACGAAAACCACTAATATAAATATTCCATCGAGTCTGTCACTATTATTAATACAAAATAAACTTAACGTCAAGTATGAAGTAGGTACAAACCAATGGAGGAAAGTGTCATTAAATTCTTGAAAACGCATTCACTCGTTTGTCTATCGAAAAATATAACACATGTAACAACACAATTCACAAAATAGTTTGGTAAAAAATGATACAGAAGAAAACCAAATATCACGATTTTTTAGTTCGATGACGTATTCACGTAAATTTTAAGTAATTAATTAATGTATCTTTCATGCATAACAACAATCGAAATGAGGACACCGAGTCAGGAAATTGAAGGGTGGTGAAGATGATACTGAACTCCTTGGTAAGAGTTCAGCTGGTGATATACCTGAGGAAACTGAAGCACGTGATTCGTGCTCAAAGCACTTTCACTATTAGACTAGGATACTCCTGCATCTTATCCCTCTTCTTTTCCTTTTCCCTAATTTACTTCTTTCTTATGCTTACGACTATGAGAACTTCCAATGGATCGTGGGATATTATGGGTCAATGACAACCTACCGACTGATTTTTCAATTTAAAGCTAATTTTTCTTTCATAAATTAAACTTGAAATTCGTATACTTAAACGATGATATCTATCGGCTGCAATTTGAGTAGCAAGTAGTAATCAAAATTAATTTCAGATAATTATGGAAGAATTACGTAATTTCTACAATTAAATTATATAATTTTATCTCATGTTACGACGTATCTAGATGGAAACGATACCACTCTTTCACTTGACAAGATTTTTGAGCGGAATCAAATTTCTATTCTACAATTTATTGTACAAATAGAAGCGTTATGTTCTTAAATTCAATTTTGATTTTCTATTTTTATTATTATTCTGAGAAATTATTATTTAGTTACTGTGTTTCTATTGTATAAGACACTGTAACGAATGACATTAGTATCAATTCTGTAGACTGTATGTCTCGGAAAATTTGTAATTAATAATTTAAAAAAGAAATTGTCGACCTGTTTTACATTTTCCCACGGTACAGCGATATTTTTGTTTGAGGTGTTACCTGAATGTGATACGCATATTTGATTTCGTAATGATCCGCAAAATCAGTACTCGATTATTCAGACAGGTTGATCCAGCTATCGGTAATTTTATATGGTAGCTAAGCGATCCATGATAACCAATAGCGTAACGCTTCTCCATTTAAGCGAACGATTGTTAACCGTTTTACACTCTGCTTAATTAAGACGTAAATTCTGTAATTGGAGTTATTAACATTACATAATTTTTTAGTTGAATGGAAAGTAAGATGCATGAAATTTTACGTAAGCTATCCGCACCTAATAACATGCGATTTTAAGAGTTTGTCAAACGTAATCAAACATGAAAAGAAAAATCACGAAAAATTTCCTTATTTTTTATTAAAAATACGACACGAGTAGAAGTTCAATTTATTGATAACATCAATGATATCTCGGAAAATGATCACCTGTCTTACGCTCGTGATCGTGTTGTAAACGAATCGTGATCTCTCAAACGTGAGATAGAATGCAATTCAGCACACACAGCATCTTACGAAACTCGAGCATCTACGCTTCTGGTATTTGTCAAGAATTATCCTGCTACCATTTGAATTATCTGTTCTGTACTTTCGAAACCCGTCCTTCGATGCTGAAAATTAATCGATATGTTGGTTACTAAACAATACAACACGTAAGTATGCACTTTGGTCGCAAAACACAATGCATTTCTAACCGTTACGACCTAGCAAAAATAAATTTTGATGAATGTTTCCTAGAGCCTTCTATTCCTTCTGATATTACGATTTTTAGTAAATAATCAGCTTCTAGCCCATGTGCAATATGTTGTTATTTACTATAATCTACTTAAAGACACCAAAGAATTCGTGATTCCTGTTTCAATTGTGCCTGACGTAATTGACAAGATAGACTAATTAATTGTAAGTATTGAACTAGCATTTCCCATAGTTCTGTCTACATAATTACATTGCACAATCTGTGGCAAGCATTAGTCGAGCGATGCTATTAAACTGAGCGATCCTGGTGTAATACGGGCGTTGCGTTGCTCGTAGAATAGAATGAGATCGTTTTCGTCATCGACACCTTTGGCGTCTGCAAAGAAATGCGCCCAGGATGCATAGTTGAAGCTACATATCTTCGCCTCGTGTGTTACTTTCACACACTCGACGCAAACCACGTGTAATATTTCGATGTTTTCATGTTTCTGCTTTTGAAATAAATTTCCACCGAACCAGGATATGACAAAACACAATATGTAACAAATACAGCTTCAAAAAATCGTTTAAAAAGTGTCTTGCTGTTTGAATAACCGGTATGAATATAAAATTTCTATATTTTATATATATTTTCGTTTGTTACGCCTGATCTAATATTTCCAGATACACGATTAAATGAATTGCACGCGATTTTTATGGATCAAGATAGATAAGAATAATTTAGATTTCCTTATAAAGATCAGATGGTCGAGACAGATATTCAAATTTACTATTGTTCCATGCTTCCACCGAGGGAACAACATAATTTAAAATATATTGTATTCTTTATTATGTAAGTAGTGTTGAGAATTTTGTAAAACAGTTTAGTGTGATAGTAATAGGTACTTTGTCTTATAACGTAACACAAGTTTTAGTCTTTTATCTATTACAGAAATATGGATTTTAATGTACTAAAGTCTTCAGTAAAGACGTTTACTGAATTGAACTAATCTTTCGCGCCTAGTATCTTAAGAATCCTTTGTGTCCCTTATATTTGATTAGAAACCGTGAAATAGTTGTTATGGTAAACAATTGCAGCTTAAAGAAGGAAGTTTACGCAGGAGGATGTTAAGAAGAAATCCGGATGTGATTCCATTGTGGATAAAGGTAAATAACGGAACCTTAAACGCATGGAGAACCGGAAACTGTGTAAGTTCTATTACTCAGTGTTTCTCAATCTTTTCTGATTCATTTTCCTCCTACTCCAGAAATATCTTTAACATTTTTTGAGAATAAAAGTTTTAAATTAAAGTAACACTTTTCATGGCTCCTTCAAAAGTTTTTTGTTTCCTATTCTTTTTTACAATCTTCCACTTGTGGCTGCTAAGAAATATAGCGTAGCTAAAGAATCATATCACCCTGTTGAGAATCGCTGCCATTATTTCCGTCAATAAAAAAATTCGTGCAAGAACTGCGTTCAGTATACTCAATTTGGCGAAGAATTGTTACATTCTGGTGAAACCAGGAAGTACTTACACGTACAATCAAATGCACGATGATGAACGGAAAGATAGGCTGCATCAAAGGATACGTGTATGTGAATTGTTGTTATCTCAATACAATGACCGAAAGAAAACTATATCAGCTGTTAAATTAGAATTACAATTGTCTTTACTTCTGTATTAGGTATTGCTTATTCACTCGTCGTGCACCGGGAACTCCTCATTCCACCATCGCATAAGTGATAGTAACATATATGTATTATTATTAATCGTACACATGGCATTACATAATAAATGAATTGATAAACATTCAAAATATCTATTAAATCTCCACTACATTGATTCATTTCTATTAGGAAACAGAATAGGTTTTTTAAAATAACACTTTTACTCGACGATGGCGAGGATTAAACAATTATAAATGAAACATAGCATTGTTTAATATCACAACGCAATAGTTTGAACAATTTTTAACAATATGTGACATATGAATAATGAAAGGGCCTATCAGTCTGCGTAAATATTAATTTTTCATGAAATAATTTGTCAGCTGATCAAAGGGACGGCTGACATGGCTGACGCTGCTCCCCCCACTCTTCCGTCTTAGAGGAGACATATGTGACACTGCCGTGACCAAAATTTCTTAGTCGTGTGGGGGACTCTGAGGAAGGTGAACGTCCTGGCTACCTGCGGGTTCTGGGGTCATCCTTTGCTGACCAGGGGGACCGAGGGGCACCAAGAGAGACCACTGTTGACCAGTTGACCAATGGTGAGCTTGTAATGACCAATGATGCCCACTTGCTGACCAGTGGTGAGTAATATTTAAATTTGCCCCCCCCCCTCCCTCTTTTATTTTGCTGATTTCAGATTTACTCGTTTATTTTTTAGCATCGTTTAACGAAACATTGATTTTGTTCAATTTATACACGTGTGTTTCGTTGCTATGAATGTTTCCTCCCTTCTTAGGTAGGTAATGCATCGACTGAAGACGATTCATATACAGTTACTCACAAAATTGAGCGTACACCTATGTAGTTAATAAAAATTTGTGGGAAAATGAACATAAACAGACATATTTAAAAGTAAAAACGCATTATACATTTTACTTGTACATTTCAGCAGATAATGCGTGAAGAAATTTTTAAACAATATTGATTGTTCATCTATGCTTAACAAAAACTTCAAAAGTATGCTTATTTTATCGTCACAAAATTGAGCGTACAGTTTATTAGTAACTAGAAAACTAACTTTTGTAAAACTTCTCATGGTTTACAATTCATTCGATTGTATCTAGTAACATAGTTCCGTTGCTATGATACGTTTGATTTTCATTTGTCATTGTTTATTAGCGAAAATTTGCACTATGGTTTCACGAAGATCGGAAACTGATATTTCTGTGCGAAAATTAGTTGTTAAATTGTATTGTCAAGGTAAATCTCTAAGGCAAATTGAAAAAATAATAGGTAGAGCCCACTCTACTGTACAAAAAATTATTAACAATTACAAATACAATGGTACACTGCATAATCAGCCAGGACGCGGAAGGAAAAAAATTCTGACTGGAACTGACGAACGGTACATAATACGACAAATTAAAATTAATCCAAAAAGTAGTGTACCAAAATTAACAACAGATGTTTCATCGAGGATTAGAAAATCGATATCGACAGAAACTGTTCGTAGGGTGCTATGCGATAAAGGCTATCACGGTAGGGTAGCAAGGAAGAAGCCTTATATTTCTAAGGTGAATAGAATCAAGCGTTTCGAATTTGCAAAAAAATATGTAAGTTGTGATATAAAGTTTTGAAAGAACGTAATATTTTCCGACGAAGTTAAAATTAATTTATTTAATTCGGATGGAAAAATAATAGTATGGAGACAACTGAATTCAGAGTTCAATCAAAAGAATACGGTTCCTACTGTAAAACACGGCGGAGGTTCAATAATGCTGTGGGGATGTATGGCAGCAAGTAGAGTTGGTAATAACGAATTTATTGAAACAACTATGGACAAACTAAAATATCTTGATATTTTGAAAACAAATTTGAAATCGTCAGCTCTAAAATTAAATATGCCAGCCATATATTATTTCCAACAGGACAATGATCCTAAACATACATCGTATATTGTTAAAGAGTGGCTGCTATATAACGTGCCAAAATTATTACACACTCCACCACAATCGCCGGATATTAATCCCATTGAGAATTTGTGGCGAGAATTAAAATTAAAATTAAATAATTGTAGTTTTAGTAATAAAATAGATGCTAAACGCAAAATTGTAGAAATATGGAATAGTATTCCGTGTTCGACTACAGAAAAGTTAGTCGAGTCTATGCCAAAACGTTTGAGAGCAGTTATAGATGCAAAAGGATTTGCAACAAAATATTAAAATAAATGTGTTAGTTATTTTTGTTTAATTTGATCTGCTGTATGCTCAATTTTGTGACAGTAAAACAAGAACAGTTTTGTTACTTTTGTTAAATAGAAATGAACAATTAATTTTATTTAAGACTTTTTCCACTAGTTGCCCTTCAAAATATATGAACAAAATAAATATTACGTTTTTACTTTTAAATATGTCCGTTTATGTTCATTTTCCCACCAGTTTTTATTAACTACATAGGTGTACGCTCAATTTTGTGAGTAACTTATATGTAATTCGATATTCTCTTGATTCGTTGGTTATTTTTATTCTTCTATTATTTCGACAATCTTTGTACTAGTTGAGGTATATATGGCTTTGAAAGAAAATGGTTTCGAATGCAATGTTTTCTTCGATCATTTGCTATTTTCTGTTCTTCGATTGTTCCTTGAACTCGTATCTGTTTTCTGCTCTCCAATCGTTTCTTGAACTCGGATCTGTTTTCTGGTCTTTAATTGTTCCTTGAATTCGTATCTGTCTTTAACATGAACTAATGTTGGGAGAAGACATGTAAAATATTGCTTTTTCATTTTGCTATTCCATATTTTCTTAACTCTTTAGTTAGGTACATCAGTATTATCTATTGATTAATTATAATTTTTATTTTGACCTTATTTGTGAAATTCTTATTTTGACTAAGTGCAATGCTAATAGAATAGGATCTGTACTATCATACATCATTTAATTTATTGGCATTTCCGCATTCTTAGCATGTGCTAATTTTGTAAATTTCTTTAGGTATGAATATTTCTAAATTTCGAAGGTTGTCCAACTTATAGATAGACTGTGTTTATTAAATTTTCTTCAATATGTTACTAATATAAATATCAGTTTTTGTTTCAGCTCAGATCTATTATAGATCAATTGTAAGGATATCGAAGGGAGACGCCACAACCGCCAAGGGATTCATCCGTCGAGGAACTTTTAATTTTAAGTCAATTAGACATAAGCATCGTCGCGAATGTTAAAATTAACGTCGAAGGTTCCTTTATTGTACCTACCTCCGCGTCCTACCAAGTAATTATTAAACAAGTAGCTTCTCTCAATTCGTTCTCTCGTTTCCCGCTTCGATCACCGCTGTTTCGTCGAACGAAACATGTGATCGGCCGTGCAGTTGGTCCGAAAGATCTAGTCGCCTGCCCATGATAGATCGATTTCTAGAAATAGAAATCAATCTACCAAGGGCAGTGTCGATTCGATCCGAAGATCTGCTGCATGGTTCAGCATCGCGTCGCGTCGCGTCTCCCACGATTTAGCTTCACCCTTCTTTAAACCAAACAATTACTTGGTACAACTAAACTAGAAGATCGAAGGGACTTTGGTTCCTTCTATCTCTCTGGTTTAGTAATCTAGTTTCTAAGAATGTAAAAGGAAGATAGATGGAACTTGGTTTTCGGGTCTCCACTCGCAGCAACCTCCACGTGGTGAGACCTGGTAATCGGTGTTACCCACGATAGAAAAGTTCTTCTTCGTGGATAACCCCAAGCTAATGGCTGCGAATTTAGAATTGTTTCTTAAGATATAAGAGAAAATTATATTGCTTAAAGTTTTGTAAGATCTAAGAGTGTATAGGCCTTGAATGCTTTAACGAAATTAATAGATTATTTTTACAAGGGAACATACCAAAGTGTCGATCATAGTAGCTATCGTCAGAGTGAATCATTTCGAAGCTATACAGAATCTCGTGCACCAAATGCTATGGATTTAAAGGCTGGTCTGATTTTCTTGCATTGACTATTCTAAATCATGTTTAAATACTACAGTCAACTACTGAAATCGGTAAACTTAGTAAATGTAGTAAGGTCTTTCTTTCCTTACACGGTGTACAGAGTTACTATTAGTAACAATTTTATCCAATACTTAAAGAAACTATTTTAAATTTTCAGCCATTAGCTCGATGTTACCCACGAAGAACTTTTCATCGTGGGTAACACCGATTACCAGGTCTCACCGCAAGGAGGTTGCTGCGACTGGAGACCCGAAAGAAGATAGATGGAATCCAAGATCTATCGATCTCCCTTTCACATTCTTATAATCGAGATTACTAAACTAAGGATATAGAAGGGATCAAAGATCCTTCGATCTCCTCGTTTAGTTCTGCCAAACAATTATTTAATCAAAGAAAACGAGCCAAAATTGGATGATACGCGTTTATAAATAATTTATATTCATAAGTAATATATCTTTTTATTAATAATAATAATTGAAAACATTATTTAATCCCACATGTTGGTGGCGCCATCTAACCTCGAAGAGAATGGATTGTTTTTTAGCAAACTTGGACGTTCTGCCGTAGGTGGCGATGCAATCCTTCGTACAGCAGTGCATTCTTTTTTATTATAAAAATGAGCTTTGAATTTAGTTTATTAAAATGGACCAACGTGTATAAATCTCAAGTTAATACGATGTGAAACTATGAATACGTGTTATAGTGTTGGAAAACAGAAGTTGGCGGTATCTTCTAACGATAGGAATGAAAACTATTCTTGACAAACATGGGCATCTTGCCGTTGGGGGTGAAACTTTTATAAATAAGTTAAATTGGTGAGTGAAAATACAAGATTCAGAATTTTGTTCGTGTAATAATTAGCACCTGTTGAATTAAAAATCTGCTGAATTCGATCTTGCAAGTTCCTATTGCAGTTATGTAAATACAATACAATACAATGCACAGCCTATCCTATACCTCGTCTGTGGTTACACAGAAATGCTAAGAGGTATTTTAGGCAGCATTTGTTTCTGCCATGTCAGACGAATACTCGTGCCCTTCGTTGATATTTAGTGTCAATATCCTGTTCAGATGTATGGACCAACGGTTCATAACCTCTTGCCCACCAACGGTCCCCTGTAAATAATTTCTTGTTGTCGCGTTTAGACGAATTTTAATTTGTGATAAAGATTCCAATAACTAAGTCCTTTGAAGTATCATTTCGCGTATCAGTAAAAGATAAACGGGATCTACTCTTGGTTCACTGACCATAAGTTGAGACACACTGGCCTAGATGCTTGAAGAAATCATGATCCGTAAGAAATAAATCTGGTGAACACGATGAATGCTATAGGGTCTCATGGTTTAAATCGTTAATCATGAAAATGATATAAAATCTTTTATTATCATGTAACAGAGCAAGCTTCTTGTTCGTTCACTTTAAAAAATATTGATATGTTTCTTAGTGTCCGAATACTCTTGTGTTACAGTGCATATAATATTGAAAATGTTGAATTCGTTTCGTCGAAATCTAACCAGTTTGAGGTAGCATTAGTTTCGTATAGTCACTGTGTAAATGCGTCATTGCACGGTGTTCTAGAAAGGCTCTAGTTTACCGAAGCGTGACGTCGCGTTTGTATTAGTAAGTCACGATTTCAATGTAAATGTCAGTGAACGTGACTAAAACGTACTATTGATAAAAGATCATTGACGTAATAATGCTCAACGAAACGATTGAAAGTAAAAAGCAGTTTAAGAAAAGCTTCTGAAAATTATACAATATATTATACCCATTATCCGAAGCTACCTGTATTAAAAGTTTAGAAACATTCTTTATTTCTTAATTAAACGCGTTATATTTCGATAAAATCTTCACTATTTTATTACTATTCAGACAATTTTTAGAATCGCTCGAATAGGTTTTAAGCCAATAAGTGGTTTAGTTTGTTACTAGATTGTTACTAGAAATCTTACGACAGAAAAATATTATTTTTTCTAGACACGTTCTTCAATTTCGCGTCGTCGACCTGGAAATGTCGGCAATTGTTTAGACTATGTATTTTATTTAGTTCCCAGTTACAAGGCTTCAGTACACATTTGTTTATACCTAATTAATCGACGTAATTCAATATATCTAGTACCTTAAATCCTTCTAGAATCGTTGATTTCGGTCGTTTCCATTTCTAGTCATGAACACACCTGTAAATAAAATAGAAAATATAAATTACCTAAACGATCAAACCGTTACTGAAATGAGGGAACTTGGACATCTTTCAATCATGCGTATGCAACATTATATCCGTTTAACACGTTCCGCGTCGAACGGATTTTTGGTTACTTTCCATTCAGGCTGCGTGGGTCGTATACGCCTACGTTTCCACGCTTAATAGTCTTGTTTCTGTCGTATGCTTTACAATATTTATAATAATCAAAAACCATAATTGAACATTTATTCTATTACGCTTATTCTTACATAATATATTTTTAATAATGTTCGAATTAATTCAAAATTAAATATTTTATGTTTTCCTAACCAAATAGTTTTGGCAGACCTTTGCTTGAAACTCCTCAATATTTTTGATGGGACCCATTGAAATTTCAGACACAGATTTGGTCGACAAAAACTTTCATCAAAAACGTTTTTCATTTACAACAATTTTGACGAGAGTATTAATCGAAAGTGACATTGACCGACAACGTCAGTCGACTAACTCGTAACTCGGCGTAATAAAAGATTCATTGATTTTTTTATTTTCCCTTTCTGTAGCAGATAGAAATATTAATCTACGAAAAAAGTGTAATTAAACAAAATATATTTATATACTTATGCGCCTATTATTAATATACAATTTACAATAAAATAAAAAAATTAATCAATATTTTATTATGCTGTTGTCGGTCAATGTCACTGTTATCGTCAATGAAAATCGTATACACATAGAACAACCACAACAATTACCTAATATGTCATTTGATAAATTGACCCACAGTTAAATGTACATACAAGTGATGTATTTTTAAAATAAATTTTCCCATAAACGGAACCCCGTATGAACAAATTTTATTCAAAATTTTTGATTCGGCTTTGCGCGAAGAGTCGTCTATTATTTCCGCCACACCCTGTATATAAATCATGCATTTACAGCGGCACGATACCTGTGCGGAGTTTGAGAAAAAAGAAAATCGGAAGAAATGATCGTCACGCCGCGTGGGTGGTACACGCCCACCGCTACGATAAATACGTGTTATTCAGATGTCGATACACGACTTTTCAACATTTTAACAGACTTTTCGTTCCACAATGAAAATTTTTCGAACGGAAAATTGTACCGTGAATCGTATGCAGCACGGAACGCGTTAAACCGAATATCGTAGCTAATCCAATGTAACCTATGAATTTCTAATTCGTAAAAATTTATTAGGGGAATTAGTCCATTACCGTTTCATTACTCTCATCCTCCTAAAGTTTTCCAATCGTCTTTTGTTCCTGCTAGCATTGGCTTTCGCTTCAGTCGCGGCAGCATTCGCTTTGGCGGCTGCTCGATTCGTGTTCGACAGTTCTTGTCTGGCCAGTTTTAACTGATTCGACAATTCCTCGACCCGCCTCTTTGCTGCGTCTAACAATTCCTCTTTCTCCCGCATAGATTTTTGAGCTCCATTCGCGGCAGCTTGAGCATTCGCCGCGTTCGCTTTAGCCGTTTGTATCGCGTGCGTTAGTGTCTTTAACTGCATTAAAATCAAGGGAATAGAAAAGTAAGGCGACCGACAAATGCTGTGAGAAATTATTGCACCGACGTCTATGACGTCACGCGTTACGCACAACAATAATATAATGATTCATGAGGGAGACGGAGGTTCCTTAGCGAGAGTCAATCCTGCATAAAGCACTATTCAATACACGCAACGGCTAACGAAAGTATTCCAACGCCAGGATCTATGATTTTTAGCTAGCGATTGAATCGACACCGTACACGACTTCATTTCAAACTAAAACAATTCATTCACAAGTTGAAATTTCGAGGAAAATGAATTTTAGGTTATGTAGTTATGGAACAAGTTTTAGGTTATGTAGTTTTCATTCATATATGAGTGACAGGATCTATCACCATGGAACCAGAAAAATTAATTTTCAAATTTAAGTGTCTAGGGAAATAAATTTGGATAGGATTTATGAGTGTTAGCAAGCTTACGAAAATATATACTGAAACAAATTGTGGGTTATATATAATAATTAATTCTCAAGTTGAAGTGTCTATGGAAATAAATTTGGATAGGATTTATGAGTGTTAACAAGGTTACGAAATTAAGTACTGAAACAAATATTAGGTTATATAGTTCACAATTCTAAAATCAAAGCTTTGATCTCGTACGTAAAACTTGCACGGTTTTGATCTGGCAGTCAGCGTGTTAATAAAATGAGAGGTAATTGTAAAAAAGGTGTCACTGGTAGGTAAAGGTATTTTTCTTTATATCGTGCGCTGAAAATCGTAAATCTAAGCGTTCGAATCCTTTTGTTAGGCATTGTACTTTCCAACACCGCGTCACACCTGTGGTTTTTAGTCCGACACAACCTTCCTCCCCACAGGGAGTGGGGGTATCCTATAAGGATTTTCCACGCGTTAAAAAAAAACTGCATACAATAGAACGTTTTATTATATTCCAAATTATTGAGCCGAATTATATCACCTGATCCTGCGATTGGCGCGCTGCTTGCATGGCGGCATTTACGTTGCTTTGTTCCCGTTCCAAAGACGAGGATTCTTCTTGAACTACCGATTGAGCCTCCTTTACTTCTTCCTGTAATTGCTGTACAATCATCTTCTTCCCTGTGAGTGCTTCTTCGGCAGCTTTTGCAGCCTGTATAGCTTTTTCAGCGAGCTGTGTCTTTACCTGTACGACGGAGTACATTAACAGAATTTCTTTTAAGAAAACTCGATTGATATTTTTCAACAGCGGCGATCTAGAGAAGCTCAAAAGATGAGGTAAGGGGAGAGAGTGTTTCAGAATTTTGTTTAAATTGTTAATAATCCTATCGACGTTTTGTAAGTGAAGAATATGAACACGTATGAAAGAGAAGTAAGTACTTGACGCGCGGCTTGCTGACCAGCAATATTCTGAGCATCCGAAGCGGCTTTAGCTTCTTGTGCAGCTTTCTGGGCAATTACGCTACTTCTTTCTGGAGTTTTCTTATCATTATTTGGTGTTCCATTATGACAGTTACGACCATTGTCGATGTAACGCACCTCCCTTTGACTCTACGTGAATATAAAAATATGATTCCGAAACTGACAAACAAAATGGCCGTTATAATAGAATTTTTTAATAAACGTATAGTACAACGAAATACATGGATGACAAATGAGTATGTCGTAGGTTAGTAAAAAGTTGTCATTACGAAAAGATTATATGCGAAAATAACAATGACACAAATGAATAATTAGAAGCAATGTTAGACTTACCACATTAATTGGAATCTTATGAAACCTTCCGCAATCGAGGTATTCGAACGTCAGTATTACTAAAAAGTTGCATTTGCTTGGTTAGAAAGGGAAAATTAATTAGTTTTTCAGTATACGCACCCATATAAAGAATGTAGAAGAGGTGCATGCTGTAAGCGGTAGATTTAAGTAAACGCCGGATTGTAACTCGTATGAACCATCATATGGCGAAAATATGAAAGTTATTTTTAATCAGTATGGTGTTAGAATGCACGTTGACACGAAAAACGGATGAAGCACGGCTGTATCGAGTTTTGCATTTCGAGATGCGTGTGACTATAGAAATTAATTGTTATGATTTAAATATTTGTTCTTAAATTTACTACTACACTGATTAATAAATTAACCGCACGTCATTATAATAATGTAATATTCTAATATCGTAGCAATGATAGTTTACACATTTTTAATTGTTATTTCTTGACTTTCTTTAAAGCTGCTCCATATTAAATAATAATATATGAAATCTGATAAATTGGGTTTACAAAAATATAAATAAAATGGTCTTTAGACTAATATCTTATACTATTAGAAAAAGGATAGCGGTCCGACCGTTATTTGCAATGTCCTCAACCCCTTCCGCAACCACCATCAGCTTAGACTAGAGCTATAAGAACTCCAATGGTCAAGTAAGTGGTATCAGTTCTTAGTTGTATCCTTGAGCAAAGACAACACCGATCCTTTATACGTTTCAACAGTTCTGCTATTCGTAAGTATTAACAATTCTTTCACTAAATTGTATTCCATTCACGAATTTTTGGGGATCAAAATAGAAAACAATTTACTTGCTAAATCCATAACAAGATACACGTTGATTTCGTCGATTTTATAAATTACAATATGTAGTTTGCAGTCCCGAAAACTGTTGCTGCAAAATGCCGTTACTACGTCTAATAATCAATTCTGAAATTTATTGTGTGCCATCGAACGTTCAAAACAGTTGTTTATTGTCGTAATTAATTGTTCGCAAAAATGATTCTCATTTCGATTTATCGAATTATGTAAAATGTGGTCATAACAATACATTAGTTTTATGTTGTATACCAATTAAAAGTCATGTAACCAGCATTTACGATCGGAGAATCGCTAAAATTACAATTTTTAATTTTTGTTTTTTGTTTTTGGCATAGAATTTTGAATCTCACTAGTACTTAGTGATAACACGGTTATAGAAAATTTTTTATGAAGCACTTGTAATATATATTTTTTTTTTAGATAATATCAAACATACCTATATTTCCGAAACATTTCTTTTTATATAATATTAAACGTGTATAGTTTTAGGTTTCATAATTTATATGTAGATATTTTCTATAACACTTGAATCTTTTGAAGTGCTCATTAATTTATGTTTATTGTGCATTGATTAAATGTACCTACAATGTAATTCTTTTTTATTAACACTGTGTTATAACGATAAACGATTAGTGATCGTAGTAGAATTTCTGTTCAAAGTGCCGGTATTGAGATTGGTATCTTGCACGAGGGATCAAGTATAAAAATTCCTGTTAAATATACAATATACTTTCACTTACCCACAGTGTAGTGCAGTTTCTGTAGCGAACGTGAGAACAACTTTCAGAATAATATAGTACACCCTTCAATTTTCTGCTAAACATTGCTCTGCGTTGACCGTGCATTGCATGGAAACATTATTTGAAGTATGTGTTTTAATAATGTACATTTACTAATAATAATAATGTTACATGTTACTGTTTAAATAGAAAACATAATAATGATTTAGAATTTACGATAGTTGCTAAATTTAAAAAAAAGGCATCGCAAGATTAGATTATAGTCGATCATAGCACAAAAGAAAGTCAATTCCTTGACATATTTTCATAGTTTCGATCAATTATCAACGATCTTTAGTAATTATAAATTAAACAAGTTCATTTTAATTCCAACTATGTCGATTTCGAGTAAGCGCGCATGACCGTTTCTACGAAAACATTTCTGTGCGACAATTACGTTCCTAGGAATGCGTTTCTTGCATGTATATTTACAGCACAGTTTTTATTTCGGTATTTATGCCCCTTAAAAACACGGTACCAGTAGTTCGACCGTTCACACATTGCGCAAGAATAGATATTTAATATTGCTTCTGTTTTTTATTTGACGTTCTTTTAACCATAGCATATTGATTCACGTCAAGAAACTATCTTTCTAAATATTTCACGTTTCACTCCTAAGTTTTATACTGACGTTTACTAACAGTAATAAACCACAGAAGAGCATTTAGTGCGAGTGAAAATTGAGAAGCTGGAAAACAGTGAACTTAACGATTTTTCATTGCAGTGTTACGAACTAAACGGGAAATTACTAACAAAACTGTGTTTTAATAAATATAAATATTGATACGAGTAATTCATGATAATTAAGGTCATTAATCTCGTTAATTTGAAAATATTACTCTTAATTGCAAAGTCAGTGTTTTCTTTCTTACGATAGAATCTTTTCAAAACACTCGTTTCCAACCAGCTGATCAATTTTGAAAAAGTAAATCGGGGAAAATGGAAATATAAATCATTCGTGCTAAACAAGCTGCCCTGTAGCATGTGTATATTACTGTCTACGTACAATCATACGTTCATGCAAATTGGTTCTGCCTCCAGTGGTTTAATTATGCATTTACATGCGCACGTTGCTTTCTAGAGCGCAACGAAACTGGACTTTTGGTTTTGAACCTTCGAGAATTGCAACAGAGTTACAACAGATGCCTGCAACGTGCGTCATAAATCCTTTACGTCAGACCGGAATTTCGTAAAAAGATACGCAATCAATAATTTTCAAAGTTTTTGTCGAAATTAACCATGTTAGGCACAAGCTCTGTAATTAGTCACTATTAATTTATTCGATTACGCAAACCGCGTGGTACGATATTTATAAAGCAATTTATTTCCGCCCAACATTTTCATTTCTCATATACATTTAACGGTGTAAATAAATGCATCTGTTCCAAATATTATGAGCTATTTTTTTAAAAATCAAATAAAGATATTGACTTCACTTTTATTATTTTTTTTCTTAATTAAATTTTTTTATTCGAATAGCTGGTTCAATTAAGTTGGATTGCCCAACAAAAATAGAACGAATTTTATTTGTCTCGAATTTAAGAAGTATGTTTAGGATAAAAAGAGCGATTCTAATCATAACAACTGTGGAGACAAATTTTTTTTAACATGTCGCAAAAAGTGGTTAATAACTTCACAAACATAAGAGTGAATACCATAGAAAGTCGCGTGTTCTCTTTTGAAGCACGAATCTATATGTTTGTAAAATTTCAAACGTCTACGATTGATACGTATTTTTGTACTTAATGTTAAATATCGGCTGAAAAATGACGCTTCAAGAGAAAGTATCCGTTTCAGGATCTTTCGATCAGATAAACAATGACGATATGCAGAAGAACACACACGAAGCTCTGACCTTGTCCTACATACTTTGCTCATAACCGATAGAAACCTTGTGCCTGATTTCCTTCTACTGACCTATTTTTCTCGACTACTTACTTTAGATTTGCATAGATTCTCATATCATTAATATCTTCTTCTGAGGCAATACTATTATTGCAGTCAAAATGAGAAAAGTGTACCTACATATGTTTGGTTTTCTCTTTTACATTCTTTTGTCTACAATTGAGAATAAATGTGCCAATATTAAAAAAACATACTAATTCCTAAACTCTAGACTTTTGACACGAAATTCTACTACGATTCGTCGTTTCTTTTGCAGTATCTCTTCTATACAGAGTAGAATGCACCAAACGTTGTAAAACAGAATAGAACAATTTGATTTCCTCTTCGATAAGAAGTTTGTATTTTATAATGTGTTCTAATAGTTGTATCTGACGTTTTCCTAAACTCTGATAGAAATAGATACACTAAAATTGTCTTTTCACAGAAACAAAAAACAAACGATGAGGAAGCTCGTACTAGTATTAGGATACGTATGTTTGGTGTACGCCGGTCAAACCAAAAAACAGACTTACGACCAACAAGCGGACAGTTACGAGTACGGATATGCCCGTCAGGAACCAGCGTTAGGACTTGCTGACTCTCTATCCTACCTGGACCCGGCTCCAGCCTTAGCCGCAGCTCCGGTTGGTCATGGTCGTGGCCACGCGCCTCGACCAGGCTTCAGCGTCGGTGGGCCTTTAGCTAACATCGCCAAAGGTGCAGCGGATCAAGCTCATACGCAACTCAGCAACCAACAGTCAGCGGCTGGACAGGCCGCGTACGTAGCAAAGAACACGTTGGCTCAAGCCGCTGCACAGTCGGCCGCCACCGCGGCTGCGGCTTTAGCCGGCAAGCAAATAGTCGTCCAAGGTTTGGAGCAACAATCGAGGGACGCCCACGTGGCAGTGGACGGTGAGAATCTGCAGTTACAACAAGCGGAACGCGCCGCGACCGCGGCGAGGACCACCGCCAAGCAGGCTATGCATCAATTGCAAGTGATCACAGCTGCCCTGAACGCGGCCCAAACGACGGTGGACCGTGCGTCGCAAGCTGCGGCTGAATCCGCGGCCGAATTGGCGGCGCAAACCACCATGCTCGGCCAGGCTAAAGCAAGAGCGGAATCAGTCGACGAGCAGCTCACTGCTGCTCGCGTCGATTACGAGAGCACTCAATCAGCGGCTGAGAAAGCTGCCACCGCCGCTGCAGCTGCCCAGAACAACGCTGCAGCTGCGGCCGCACACGTGGCCGACAATGCCGGCGCTTCGGCACTTTTGAGTCACGCGCCGGTGGACGTTCAACCGACCGTCAAACTCCCGGAAAACAGTCCCCTTAGACATCCTGCCGGTCTCGCTGTGCTCGGCCCTGGCCCAGGCCTGCTCCAAGGTCACGATGCTCTGCTCCCATCCGGCGCGGTTTACGAACCTGATGCTCTTCGGGGGCCTGGACCCCTCCTGGAACCCGGTCATCTTCTTGGCCCCGGCCCCGGCCCTGGTCTTCTTTCATCCGGCGCTCTTCACGACGCTGGTGGTCTTCGTGCAGCTAACGTACACGCTTTGCAGCGCTCGGAATTGCTCAGTCTACCGAACTCTTTGCCCGTCGATAGTTACGATGTCAAAGGCTACCGTTACTAGGTACCTTTAGATTAGACTAGACTAGGTACCTTTCTTTACCTGTCGCAAAAATAACGGAATGTTGCTATGTTCCATACACATATCAGACTGTAAAATAAAAAAAAGTTTAAACGTCTTTCGATTCTTCCTTTTTGTCTGTCGCTCGAAACACGTGTCGTTAGAACGAAAATTATTTTCGTCGTCCGGAGACTGATCGAAGCTTCCTTTTTCGGTATACCTGAAAATAATGTCTGTATTGTAGTCTTAAATAAATAATAATTTAAAATAAATTTTTAACTTTGGAAATTAAAGGGACGTCGTCCCATAAATTCTATCGTTTTTCAAGTTTAATAATAATATTACTTACGTTTATTTGTAATCATTACTGTATCGATAACCGTTTTCAATTACTTCCTTTCCTCGCGGTAATTCTGTTATCCATTATGTGAATGCATTAATTATACACGTATAAACTTTGCTCTCGACTCTGCCGAGCAGGCGAGTTCTACGCCTATGCGAAAGAGGAAAGTAAGGGAAGGAGCGCGTACCGCCGGTTCGTCGCCCCAACCATGGATCGTGATAACGAATCGATACGGAGCATCGATAATCGATTGCATGTTCCCACGCGATAGGGTGGCTGCTCTGGCGCGAACACGTACGAAAGTTTCAGCGCGAAAACGGAACACACGGGGAATCGATATAATCCTGATTAGAATTTCCAGTAAAAGTATCGATGCGTGCGAAAACGTAGAATCGATAATCGATCGTAGAATGCACGGGTGTGTCGGTGAAAGCGCAGCATGGAATGTCGTGGCCAGGAGCAAAGGTGCGGCTTATGCGAACATAAGCCGAACTCGGTAAATGGCGCCGCAACGGGGAAATCGGTTTGGATTTTCGCGTAACTTTGCACTTGTCACTCATTGTCAGTCGTGTCATAATTGCTCGCGGCGTAATACAGAATTAGGAGGCAAGCAATTATAACACTCTCCTATTTGTTTGTACTTTCAATTTGTAATGCATATAGAGTTACGATTGATTTTCCTTTTTAATCGTGATGTAACGGATGTAAAAAAAATTATACTAGTAAAATTAACATCTAATGCTTGACTGCTTTAGTACATAAGTAAGGAGCGGAAAGTACAATTTAAGCGAATCATTATACTGGTTCGACGGTTAAATGTACACCTCCCTTCGCCATTAGTACAAGAGTTCCAGTCTCAAACTCCAAATCGCTCGACGAATTCGCTGCAAATTTTATTTTGTGCTTTTGCAGAGCGCTTATTATACCAACTTTAACTTGTATAAGTCCAAATCTTAATCCTGTAAGAGAACGACAAAAAGTTGTACATTAATTTCTCGTTTAAAAGTTTAAAAACCGTACCAATGCATATCCTTGGTCCTTCCCCAAATGGTAGGTAAGAGTAGGGATGTCTAGTCTTGATATTTTCCTCGGAGAATCGTTCTGGATCAAACTTTTCCGGGTCTGGGTATATATCAGGATCCCAATGAAGCCCGTAAACAGGTATTACCACAGGTGTTCCTTCCGGTATGGAAACATTGGTTCCATCCAGCTTTGTTTCTTTTGTACAAATACGATTTAGAACAGGCACTGGAGGATATTTCCTTAGAGTTTCTACGGAAGAGTACAACGAGAGAAAAATTATTTGTAATTAGATACTACGCTAACAATAGTATACTTCGTGTATACAAACCAGAAACAACTTTATGGAGATAAGTCATATCATTCACGGCGTTGTAAGTCAAACCGTCATGCTTTTTAATCGTCGTAAGAATCTCGTCGCGCAGTTTTTCCTGGATATCTTGATGCATTGCTAATTCATAGAGGCAGAAAGTGACAGTTGTCGAAGATGTTTCAAATCCAGCCAAGTAAAAAACGTAAGCCTGTGCTGAAGCTTCTATCATCGTTAATTTATTCTGCGTTGCTTCTAAAGTAATTAAATAAGAATGATAATAATTAAAATTAGTATTATTGATATTAGTTGCTTATATGAAATCTCAAATTTTGTGATTTACTTATTACTTTAATAAGCGTATAATAAACTGATCATTACGTGTAACGTTCGTGCCGTTTGTATTTTCATCCGCATCTACATATCCGTTTTTCATTAATTGAATCAATAAATTCAAAAAATCTTTTCTGACAATGTTGTTGGCGTCTCTGTATTTTACCGTATCTTTAATAATTTTAGTGAAAAATTTGGTAACGGCTCGTTCGGTATATGGTATAGAAAATATCTCAAAGACTTGTGGAGCCCATAAAACAAGAGCATTCCAAAGAGGTTTCGGATCAAATATCTTTTTACCCCAATATCGAAATTCATTGTCCGGATTGTCAAAGCTGTTGCAAGTTATTCCAAATGCCACTGACATGATGATATCTACTGAATACCTGTGATAAATATTTTAAACATTTTTCTTATAAAACCATGTTAAAAGAAATAACTGATTTACCATTGCGTGAATATTATGTATCGAATTAATATCGGATTGATCCGTATGTTTGGTCGTATTCATTTAAATTATAATAAGAATAAATATACGTATATTTAGAATAATAAAAACGGAGGGAAACGTCGAAGAATAATTTTTTTACTCGATCGTTTACCTCGCAAAAACGTCCTTCACGTCGATCGTTCCCTTTGATCGCGCTGTATCCTCTAAAAATTTCGCCAACGTGTCTCCAGTTTCTTTCAAAACCGGAAAAATTTGTTTAATTTTTCCAGACGTGAAAGTTGGTGTTAATTTAACTCTTAAATTTCTCCACTTCTTTCCCGGTAATTGAAACAGGTGACCGGAAAGTGGATCTGTTTCTTCGTTACAATATATTCCACGATCGTGAAAACTCGAAAACTCTTTTGCTAATACATCTCGAATTAAATCAGGTTCGTTCACCATCAAAAACGGTTTATAGAGCATGTATAAACCAACAAGGCGGTGGCTTTTATACTGCAAATAAGCATCTTTGAAGAAATTTGCTAAAAAATGACAATTACTACGTAAGCAATATTAACGGGTGATTCGGTATAAAAAGTTAATAAAATAATGTTTGAGAGTTAGACTCCGACAATTCTCAGTTACAAATTGAACTTGAATTCAACTACCCCATTTTCTTAATGGGAGATGAACGTACCAATGTTGTATAAATTACTTAATTTGCTTAAATTCATTAAATACTTGCCTAGTGATGTTGTACCGATTACCAATGGCAACATATTTCCAGTAGGAAAAGTAGCTTTCATAGAAAAGATGTCTTTTTTTCGCCAGAAATTAAAGACAAATAATTTATAATAAATGTATAATCCAGCGATTATAAGAAATGCAACACCCAGAATTTCCGACATTAACCACGGTAACATCAACATTGTATTTAATTATCAAATTTTGATATAGATTTATATTAGTGGACACTTTTAACAATACACTAGTTACTTTTCCACTAAATCATTTATTATTTGATTTCTTCGGTAAAAGAAATTCGATCACAGAATTAATTATTTACACAGTCCGTATCTTTTGTTTGAATCAATTTACAAAATACAATTTTTAAGACCCATAAGTAATATTTAAAAAAGGAAAAATCTCTAAGAAACTCACTTTGTTCGACCTACGTATGCAAAAATACTGAACCGTGAAACCTGTGATTCATGTATTATATAGCAATTTCTACTCCCATTAATTCTAAAGTACCATAGGGTAGTATTTAAATATGTACGTCCGTTGGCCGCTGAGTGTCCGAGTGACACAATGTTATGTATTTTCTCATGATGCAGCAATTTTTACTAGCTCCTAGTAATTAATTTTGTAATAGCATCAATGTATAATTCGTAAATATGTTTTTACTAAAATATGATCATGATAAGAGCGATCAGTTTCATCAAGAAACAGATTTTTTTGTATAGTAATACCTATCAATTAATTTACTACAAGTGTAATTACAATTAAAGCGGTTTGTTTTTCAATCTCTTATAATAACTCACATTTGCTTGACTACTACTTATTTTTCCAAGCTAATGAGTACATTTAATTCTTCATATCATTATACTTTAATGATTTATATTAATTGGTATTCATTAGGGGGCTATTATTTTAGTAAAAAACATAAAATATGACAATTTGTAGGATTTTAATGTGTTATAATTTAAAACGAGTTCACGAATAATTATACATAATCGTACCAATAATTTTGGCGTATGTGGTTCATAGACAACATAAAGATCTCGACGTTACTATAATAATTTGGGTCTGCCATTCGTACGGTCTGGACTAGCCGTTTCTATTGTTCTATCATATTAATAATACAGTAGCTCAACAAGGTATTTGCACACTCAGCTTTTTCGAAATTACTGTCTAAAAACGTAGCAATTAATGTAATGTACATTTTGTAGTATTTTGTTATACATAAACACAACATACAGTTACTCACAAAATTGAGCGTACACCTATGTAGTTAATAAAAACTGGTGGGAAAATGAACATAAACGGACATATTTAAAAGTAAAAACGTAATATTTATTTTGTTCATATATTTTGAAGGGCAACTAGTGGAAAAAGTCTTAAATAAAATTAATTGTTCATTTCTATTTAACAAAAGTAACAAAACTGTTCTTGTTTTACTGTCACAAAATTGAGCATACAGCAGATCAAATTAAATAAAAATAACTAACACATTTATTTTAATATTTTGTTGCAAATCCTTTTGCATCTATAACTGCTCTCAAACGTTTTGGCATAGACTCGACTAACTTTTCTGTAGTCGAACACGGAATACTATTCCATATTTCTACAATTTTGCGTTTAGCATCTATTTTATTACTAAAACTACAATTATTTAATTTTAATTTTAATTCTCGCCACAAATTCTCAATGGGATTAATATCCGGCGATTGTGGTGAAGTGTGTAATAATTTTGGCACGTTATATAGCAGTCACTCTTTAACAATATACGATGTATGTATGTTTAGGATCATTGTCCTGTTGGAAATAATATATGGCTGGCATATTTAATTTTAGAGCTGACGATTTCAAATTTGTTTTCAAAATATCAAGATATTTTAGTTTGTCCATAGTTGTTTCAATAAATTCGTTATTACCAACTCTACTTGCTGCCATACATCCCCACAGCATTATTGAACCTCCGCCGTGTTTTACAGTAGGAACCGTATTCTTTTGATTGAACTCTGAATTCAGTTGTCTCCATACTATTATTTTTCCATCCGAATTAAATAAATTAATTTTAACTTTGTCGGAAAATATTACGTTCTTTCAAAAATTTATATCACAACTTACATATTTTTTTGCAAATTCCAAACGCTTGATTCTATTCACCTTAGAAATATAAGGCTTCTTCCTTGCTACCCTACCGTGATAGCCTTTATCGCATAGCACCCTACGAACAGTTTCTGTCGATATCGATTTTCTAATCCTCGATGAAACATCTGTTGTTAATTTTGGTACACTACTTTTTGGATTAATTTTAATTTGTCGTATTATGTACCGTTCGTCAGTTCCAGTCAGAATTTTTTTCCTTCCGCGTCCTGGCTGATTATGCAGTGTACCATTGTATTTGTAATTGTTAATAATTTTTTGTACAGTAGAGTGGGCTCTACCTATTGTTTTTCCAATTTGCCTTAGAGATTTACCTTGACAATACAATTTGACAACTAATTTTCACACAGAAATATCAGTTTCTGAGCTTTGTGAAGCCATAGTGCAAATTTTCGCTAATAAACAATGACAAATAAAAATCAAACGTATCATAGCAACGGAACTATGTTATTAGATACAAACGAATGAATTGTAAACCATGAGAAGTTTTACAAAAGTTAGTTTTCTAGTTACTAATAAACTGTACGCTCAATTTTGTGACGATAAAATAAGCATACTTTTACAGTTTTTGTTAAACATAGATGAACAATCAATATTGTTTAAAAATTTCTTCATGCATTATCTGCTGAAATGTACAAGTAAAATGTATAATGCGTTTTTACTTTTAAATATGTCTGTTTATGTTCATTTTCCCACAAGTTTTTATTAACTACATAGGTGTACGCTCAATTTTATGAGTAACTGTACATACGTAGGAACGTTAATAATCGAAAAAAACAAAGACTTTGTTTAAAGGGTTAGTTCAACAACGACGGAGAATAAGTTCAGTAGCCCTAGGTTAAGATCTAATCACTATAATTCTGCTGATTGTTAGTGTCTTGCTAGAGTAAAAGTAATACATAGTTCAGCTTGTGAATGCCTCCCATCCTATTCGAGATACAGATTACATTTTATGGTATTGTCCATTGATAAATAAAATCTCATTTCGATTCGTATTCAAAATGCAAATGGAAATGATACGGTCTCGTGTTGCATAGTATGAAAGTCATTTCTTGACACAACGTCATCAGTGCAAGATTGCAATGACATCGCATCGGCTCGTCTGTGGAGTCACACATATTAGCACAGTCATCACGGTTGTGTGGTGGTCAGAGGTTTTCGCTAGTAACATAGATGGTGTAGCCAAGCTGAGGAATTGTCCCTAGCGTACCGCCATGTTGTTTAGTATTTCTAACCGTACAAGACCCTAGTTCTAGACAGGGTGTCTTATAATAAACGAAATTAAAACGCTTTTGTTCAACGCTAACGAGTGTATTATATATATGTTCATACATTTACCTCAATTTCTCTAATCTCGTTATTCCGAAACTGTTGCGAAATCACAATGACAAAAGTCGCCCGTTTGCATCGAGCTTTGATGTGCCCCATCACATGTCGGAAACTTTGGTCTCATTGTCAGTGTAGACTATGAAAATTCCTGTCTGAACATTCCTATTAAATATCCAATCATACTTGCTAGTATCGTACACACGTATCGTCGTGTGAAAGGGCTCTTAATTAATGCTGAAGCTGGTGACTTTCCCCTCTTATGGTATGAATGATTGGCCCCCCAGAAGATCGCAGTTAGAAGCCATGTAAACGCACTCTATGGGACATAAGGTACCAAGTAAGTTTCCTACCATAGAATCATATAATACGAGATCAATAAGTCGAAAAGATTTCGTCACGGTACGAGTTCAAGTTGATCGTAAAACTTTGTGTTCTCGTGGTCGTAATATTTTCAGTGTGCTATCGGGGTATTAGTGTTTTGTGTAGACAACACTGGAAATATAAAAATGCCAATAAAGCGTGTTATAAATACGAAATAATAGAAGGGTCAAAAAATCCTATAATAGGATGAATAGATGATCTCGTTCATATTACATTGGTGCAAGTAGAAATGTCAAACGCATGAATGATTGCAGGACCTTGGACTCTTAATTTTTAAACAGTGCACGATAAAGAGAAGTATTCGGATTGCGTTCTATAGAAATAACAAATTTTGTAGCGTCCATAATTTATTGAAAAAATGACTTATTGCGTTCCACGTGCATATAAATAATTATAAGTTAAACAACGTTTTGACAATCATCGGAAAAGTACGACACAATAAAAAAAATGAGTTCCGTTTGGAAACGATTGCAGCGGGTGAACAAGAGAGCTGCAAAATTTCAATTCACCGTGTCGTACCATGAAGTCACTTTAGAAACAACAACGAAATGGTGAGTGTTCTGTACTTTCTTTTCTAATTTGGTGTAACATTTCTGACGAATGATATCATTCTTATTATTTTTGTGTGTATCATAAGATGTATATATACTAGATTATTTATTGCAAACATTAAACAAATTTTAAAGAAACGAAAAATTAAACATTAGTTGAAATTCAATACTTGTTAAAAAAAAGCAAATTATGATAAATGTTTAATTAATTTTTATTAAAATAGAAATGTGTAAATAAGAAAAACAATATAAAGTAAATATAAGTTATACGTTTGTTAAAAACAAAATCATATTTCGTTTTAGTAAAAATATCAAAATATATGTATTTAAAATATTAATTACTTTTACTAACTAATAATTAGGTTATCATAACCGTGTTCTTTGTATTATGAAATGTGTGTTATGGTTAATGTACATACTAGTTGGAAATGTAAATATTTATGAATTTAGCAGCTGTGTAAGCATAAAATTAAGTAAACAACTCTTTATATTTTGGCTTGGGTTTCAGCCAACTTCACAAGATTTAATGTTCATTAGCCTGCAAATAAAAACATGATAAAGAATGGACTGAATAGGTTCTATCATTAGATAATCAATAGATAGATTAAAAAGTTATTTGTTCTATTTTATATTTACATAAATATTGTGAATTATAAAGTGCTAAACTAGTCTATGTACAGTTATTATCATAAGTACTGGGACACTAATAAATTATGACTGTACAGTGATGTATCAATTCAGTGAATTGAATTTAATTTTTTCTATGAAAAATATCATTTACTGAACCTTGAAATTATACATTCTTAGCTTAATAAATCATCATACATCATACATAGTATGAATTAAACAAAACCATGTTCAATTATTCTATGACAAAAATATTTGCGTATACATGCAGTTATTTCTTTTTTAATATTGCACACTGATCGAATCATTCACTGATTTATCATTCTTTTATCAAAAATGTCATCGACAAAAATGAACTGTCCAACTACTTTGCTAGAAAAACATCCCCATAGCATTGTAATGCCCACACCGTGTTTAACCACTGCATTTAAGTGTTTTAATAACTCCTCAACTAACTAATACAATATCTATCTTGTATATTCTATCTGTGTTCTATAAAACATATACAGGGTGTTCGGCCACCCCTGGGAGAAATTTTAATGGGAAATTCTAGAGGCCAAAATAAGACGAAAATCAAGAATAGTAATTTGATGATTGAGGCTTCATTACAAAATTATTAAAAAATTAAATTACAAAATTTCAAATCATTGTGAAAAATTATTCTTGGTTGTGGGGCTCAATTACAATCATTTTTTATTAATAGACATACCGCCGACAATCCTACGCATTTTCGAGAAAAAAATTCCTTACCGAAAATCTAATGTGAGGCCAGAAATGCTACCCTGAAAATGCGTATCTTTAAAATGTCATAACTTCTGAACGGATTGGAGGATTTTAATTTTTCAAAATGCAAACAACGCGTATTTTATTGGAGAATATGTAGAAATTCTAACAATATTGATAAAGTTGTTCCTTGACACCGTAAAGTGAGAAAAACCCCCTAAAACTGGTCCAATCTTCAAACGGCCATAACTCCTACAATAGTAAAGGTATCTCATTGAAATTTTTTTCTAAAGCAGAGCCCATGGGTACCTACAAAAAAGTATTAGACAACTTTTCTGTAGAGCGTCAAACAAATCTATTAAAAATGACAAACAAATTTTTAAGAAAAATCGACAGGGTGTAGGTGCCTAAATTTTTCGGCGAATAAAAAAATTACAAATTGTTCTGGAAAAATTATTTTTGGTTGCGGGGGTCAATTACAATAATTTTTGGTGAAAAGACCTATCCCCGAAATCCTACCCACTTTCTAGAAAAAAATTCAGTACGGGCGGAACTTTAAACGTTAATAACTTTTTAACGAAGCCTCCATCAACAAATTAGTATTCTTGATTTTCGTCTTATTTTGCCCTCTAGAATCTCCCGTTAAAATTTTTCTCAGGGGTGGCCGAACACTCTGTATACATATTACATGAGAAATCAAAGTTAACAGGCTATTTAGTGTCTGTAGTGATGATGTTACTAATCATTAATTACGTATAGGAATTTGATCCAATGAATATGACTAAATATCGTATGCTATTTTTGGTTGTATGTACATAAAGATTGTTTACACTCGTATACGATTAGTGTTACAAAGGTTATACGTGACGATATCTCTCGCACTCGCCAACAGAGGGACACACACAAACAATCTGTAGCTTTATCGTTCCCGACCGACGATTCACCGACCACTGAATCGCCAAATAATGTCCCGTCTAAAGTTGGGCCTTCTACGTTTGCTTTTCCGATGAGTCCACTACGCAGGCCCAGAACGGAAACCTTTTCCCATTCCCTTTTCAGTTTCATTCCCCCTCCTATCTCGCTTTCAAACTTTCGTAGCAAAGCGGGAATGCATACAAAATTAATTTGATTAAACGGTTAAATTATATCGATTATATTAACGGTCTGCTGACGCCCAAAGGCCAGGGCATTTAAACAATGCTTAAAAAACATCTTATCAATATCATGTGACAAGATAGACACGGTAAAATGAGCGTCTATGAATTAATCTGTCGCGTATGATTCATTTGTTTAAAGAACAACTTGATATAATCTTTACTTACAAAGAGCGCCATTTATTTTTAATAAATAATAATTGTTGTGTGATCAACAAGTTCAGCATATTGAAACAATATTTAGGAAACCAAACAAGCTAAGCGTTGTATGGACGAGACGTAGTAGAAGGGTTACTTCTGAACCCCTAGATTGGGAACCAAATTTGAGTGACCCACTGAAAGGTGTCATTAGTTGGGCCGTCCCTGACAATCACACGATTTCAGTAACTCTGTTTAAAGACCCACGAACACACGAACTAGAAGATAAAGATTGGACATTTGTAATCGAGGATGTAAGCAAACGTTATTGTAAAATGTTTTCGATGTAGAAATTATTCGATAAACGTTCCAATGATATTATTTATGAACAGGTTTCTTCTACGGGCAAAAGACGGCATGTGGCTGCCACAAATATAAATATGAAAAAATACGCAACCTTAGAATCCACTCAACAACAGCTCAAATTAGATTTGAAACCTACTTCGAAAAAAATTGTTAAAGCAACGTTAGAATGTACTTTATCGTGTGTTTTCTTGAGAGAGGGCAAAGCAACGTAAGATGATTTTAGAATTAAAAATATTATTTATAAATAATAAATCGAATTTAATAACTAACGTTAAAATTATTCGCCAGGGACGAGGATATGCAGAGTATGGCTAGTTTAATGTCGGTTAACAATAATAGCGATATTGCTCCGTTAGATGATTTTGATAATGAAGATATACCCGAGGATGTCGAGGAAGTGTCTGTGAAAAATCTTGATGAAATTTTAGATATTTCTGCGCAACTCGATTTAATGACGAGTAGTTTAACTGAAAGTGAATTACCTAGCACTCCAATAAGTGGTAAGATTCATTCTACGTAGGTTCAAATATGGGACAGTTATTGCGTATAATAATGATAATGTGCATTTTAATAGTGGCAAGTTTATCAAAGGACAATATTACGCCCGTAAATGATAACGACCACTTTATACGTGATATTAGCCTGACCGGCATTGACGATTCCTTTAAAGAAAAATCTGCTTTCAAGGACACTGTCGCTGCTGAAAATGAGTACGTTGAGAACAATCGGCCCGATTAAGTTTAAATTGATCGTATCCTCGATGCAAATTTTTTAACGATTCAATTTTTTTTTTTTCTTTATGTTCATCGTAGTAGAAACATTGAACACAGTACGCTAAGATTGCCATTGCAACCGTTAGTACTGACAAAAAATACTGTCAGTGTTCCTAGATTAAAAGAAATTACACCAGGCCAGGATTTATTGGAATGGTGTAAAGACGTAACTAAAGATTATTCCGGTGTAAAAGTTACTAATCTTACAACATCATGGAGAAATGGAATGGCATTTTGTTCGATCATACATCATTTTAGACCAGATCTTATGTATGTATAATAAACTAGAATACTTTTTAAATTAAGTTTCACGATTGTCTAAAATTTATATTCGTTTCGTATTTATATCAAAGTTCAGTAACAAAAAATTATTTATATTTTTCTTATAAAAAGCAGAGGTACGTATTAATGGATTTGGCCGCGTATCAAAAATCTCATTTATTTGTTCTATTTATAAATGGTTGGCTTACTATCATTTGTTATTCTTAAGTTACTGTACCGCGCAATCAAAATAAAGGATCATCTTATAATCACTTGCGAACTAGTGAACTTTGAAGTTTTTAAATTTGATCAAGTGAATGTTTTTTTTTTTATCTTGAAAAAATAAATATTTAAAATTTGCAGAGACATAGATTCATTATTACCGCATGATGTAAAAGGTAACTGTAAAAAAGCATTTGATGCTGGAGAAGCTCTTGGTATACCCAGAGTAATAGAACCAGCCGATATGGATATATTAACTGTGCCTGACAAATTAGCTGTGATGACGTATTTATATCAGCTGAGAGCACATTTCACTGGCCATGAATTAGAGGTATTTAACAAATAGAAAATAATATTGCACTTTAATCAGTTTAATATTTCGATCATAAATTCTGTAATTTATTTACGAAGATATTTGCATAATAAATATTTTTGGGTTAAATCATGTCAAATATTGTACAGGGTGTTCGGCCACCCTTAGAAAAAATTTTAATGGGAGATTCTAGAGTCCAAAACAAGACGAAAATGAAGAATACCAATTTGTTGATTGAGGCTTTGTTAAAAAGTTATTAACGTTTAAAGTTCGCCTGTAGAACGGTAATCTGCGAACAGCTGCGTGCGCATGATAGTGGTTCTCATTCAACATGAGAAACTCTATTTACTGACGTATCGATAGTCTTGCAGTTTTGTGAATGAGAACCACTGCCACGCATACGCAGCTGTTCGCAAATTGCTGTTCTATAGGTGGAACTTTAAACGTTAATAACTTTTTAACGATGCCTCAATCAACAAATTGGTATTCTTGATTTTCGTTTTATTTTGGCCCCTAGAATCTCCAATTAAAATTTTTTACATGTATGGTTCAAGTTAAACTATCGTAGAGATAAATATGTATTTATATTTTGTATTAAATTTAAAAAGTGAATTATGTCATTCAATATTGTTTCATATCCTCAGGTACATCAGATAGGTAAAACGACAGATGAATCTTCTTACATGATTGGTAGATTTAATACAGACAATAATTCGGATGTGAGCGTACAATTGTTTGGTCAGGAAATAATTAATTTGCACAAAAAAGAACAAATGGAACATAAAAATAATAAAATAGACAACAGACGGTATGTTCATTACGATTTTTCCATTAGTAATAAAATTAATTTTTAAATTAGAAACAATGGTACAATAAGGCATTTATTTGTCTGCAGATCGAACCCGTTTGATAACAAAAAGGAGGATGTTAATATTGATTCTGTAAAAAATAGATTACATTTAAGTTTGAATATAGAAAATCAGGATCACGATCAATGCAATAAAGATAAATCGCCATCCAGTGTTAAAGATGTCAAGGATATTATATTAGCCAGTTCAAAGAGTATTCTAGAAAAAGTGTTATCGCCGACTAAAGAAAAATATTTATCTAGAGAAAAGGTATATACGTATGTCTATTTCACCTATAGATTAGTACTGTCGCCGTTTGCATGTCACAAATCCTTAGAAATGATCATTTTTGAACTGATAATACGGGATACTGATTCAAATTTACTACAGAGCAAGTCTCCACCAAGAGTACCGCAAGTACAACGTCCTATATTAATGACTCGTCGGCAATTAACAGATCCTTTTGGATCTGACGAGGAAGAGGAAAATATTCAAATAATCGACGAGAAATGGTCTCAGTCGATCTCAATTAACAAATTACAAACGCCAGTTCGTGACGTCAGTATATCTGAAATTGTTCAAATCACTTCACTTTACGTAGTTGCCTACTTTCTATTTTACTGCATTAACAACGAATCCAATGCAAATTGTTGTACCTTTGAATTATTTTATACCATGAGCATTTTAAAAACATTTTTAGCAATGTGAATATTAGTTCTATTTTAATTTAGATAGATTCATTGACCGTATGCTTGTACAAATATATTCATTCAAAAATTATTTGAAATATTAAATTATACATTTGCTTTTAATTGAACAGCTCGTAAAAATTGATTTATTTTTTATATTTGCGAAAACATTTTTATATGGTTTTTCGTTTTGTGTAGCCTCTTTTGCATTAAGTAATCATAACTACCATTTAGGAAATTAGTACTTGCTTCATTAACAAAACAAAACAATAATTTTGATGGAAGATATTTCTCTAAGCAATTCTGAATATGCTATTTTCTCAAAATTTGTTATGTTTATTTATCTATATGTACACACACATTATGCATGCATGTATGCATACATACTTACACACGAATGTGCATAAATGTATATAGTATTTACATTAATATAAATATCTCCTATTGCAAGTTCCGTATATTCAGTGCAGAATGCAATATTTTACACGCAGTTATTTCGTACACGATTTTGTTTCGAGTAATGCTTCAAAGGATTAATTAACTGTTTCCCTGCAATTTCCACAATTTAATTATGACTGCAATAAATTTAGTAAACTCGTCTTGTAGGATTCGATAAATATTACTGAGAAGGGAAGTCGTGATAGTACTGAATGTCAGAGTGTATCATCACCACACGGAGAGCAACGTTCCCAACATGTAATTAGTCTTTATACACGTCATATGTTGTTTGTTGCTTGTAACTAATTTGCTATTTTTTGTATTAGCCATTAGTCAGTCGGCATGACGAGTTAAGAGAACGTGCAAGACAACTGTTAGAACAGGCCAGGAACCAGACAAAGTCAGCTGGCCTTGTTTCTGCCGCCGCTAGTCCTATCGAGGTTTTCTTTTCTACAATTTTATATTATTTTATTTAACATGTTCGCTACCACGCGTCACATCCTCATGGCGGACTAACGTTACATACATACGTGTATATTTGGTATCTGTACAAACAAATTAACTGTAGCTCATTGTCACGTTATGTGGGATATAGTGAAACTATTCAGATGGCTTATTAATCCTCAACTAGTATCCTGTGTGTTACGACCATCGTGATCCACGAATGACTGTTAGCGGAACATCTGGTGTCACCTAGCGTCGGCGATGTGGGGGAGTTAATGCTCTGTCCGCAATTACGGCATCTTGTTTGATGCACGTACTTACATGTTCACGGTTACATAGATTGTAGTGTATTAGATTTTAAATCCATTTAGCGTTTTGTATTAAGCTCTAGTATCACTCAAATTATCCTGTGTTGTCATTTCTCGCCTTCTCCGCCACTGGTAGAAGACAAAATGGTAGTTCAGAATACAATGTTTGTAAACCAAGTTTTTATGGAAGCCCCAAAATTCATAAAGAAAACCTTGGAACTGATCATGGAGACTGAGCAGACGAATGAAGACATGGGACAGAAAGGGACACTCTGTGGCCTGTGTAAAATTGAATCAAGCTTTACTGGATTTCAGCGTGAAACAATCCTCAGCGGATTCGTGCATTTGTTTCAAAGAACCTCATCCTCCTGTCCAGGAGATTCGAAACTAAAGAAATGCGCTAAACTGGACACATAAGGAACATGTTACCATTCTAAGTATCGTCCTTCCACGAGAAGAAGACACAGCGTGTTTACATCCTCACTATTGCTGCAGTCCGCTGATTGGCTGTCACCGATCTTTGTCATAGTTATCGACCAATACCTGTGAGTCAGCGGACTGCAACAGGAATGGGGATGTAAATACGCTGTGCCTTCTTCTCGTGGAAGGACGATAAATGATCTATTTCATGGGAATCCAGGAAGCAAAGAACTGTGGATATGTAATCCACTCTCCGAAATGGCGAAGGAAACAATATGAAACTCGCAAGAAGAGATTATCATCGATAGTAAGCGGGCCTACGTTAAGAAGATGCTTAAATACTCAAAGGTCATCCATGTCTGATCTATGAACGATGGTAGCGAACGTGTTAATAATTTATACATAAAAATTTACTTTCGTACTTAATCGTTTATTTCATTGTTTCTAATACAGTCGTGTAAACGAGGAAATTGTATTTTATGATTTATAGAGTCAAAACGACGATGAAAGGCAACAGCAGTTACGCGAAAGAGCAAGACGTTTAATAGCAGACGTAAAAATGGGCGTTAATGTTACTTCAAATCAAATAAACGATGACAATAATAGCGACAGACGATCGATAGATGATCAAAATAATAGTCCGAGACGTAGCATGACACCGTCTACACCCGGTGACAGATTTAGTACAAAGGTTAGTGATAAACTCTTCATTTTCTCTATAAGTATAATATGGTAATGCACGGTTGAATTACATCAAATTCGGGGCGCAGCAGACATTGTCAATCCATTGCTAAAATTCTCTTGTAACGAATGTTAAATATTTCAGTCCGAATATAATGGAAATATTTTGGGAACTCCAAGTGTAATGGATGGTGATAAAAAGACTGGTTCTCCTCTCTACTCATTTTCTAAGATAATAGAGAGAATTTCACCAGATAAAACTAGTCCTGATGGTACCTCCTATACACTTAGAGGAGTATGTATTGTATTCATTCAATTAAATATGAATTATAGATCGAATATGTTAATTATTGCCATAATTTTGTACTTAGTTGGGAAAGGACATGACAGCATACATTCAAAACGAATTAGAGGCATTAGAACGAGAACAAACTCAAATAGATATTCAAGCTGGTAAACTTGAAAAACAACTTCGAACCGCTATGGAAAGTGACAACGAAGATGAAACTGAAAGACTGATGTCACTATGGTTTACCCTCGTAAATAAAAAGAATGCACTCTTAAGAAGGCAAATGCAATTGAATATATTGTAAGTATTTATTACTTTTTGCATTTTGTTAATAGTGATGTTAAGAATCTTTAACTTGGGCAATACTTATAAAAACGGTATAGTATATGTTAAATTAGTAATAATTTAATATATTTGAATATTATAGGGAAAAAGAAGACGATTTAGAACGTCGATTTGAACTTTTAAAACGTGAACTACGAAGTACACTCGAAGTAGAAGATTGGAGAAAAACGCCCGAACAAAAAATACGAGAAAATTTACTTTTAGAAGAACTAGTTTCTATTGTAAACAAAAGAGATGAATTAGTTCATCATCTTGATACGCAAGAAAGAGCGTAAGTGTATAATGTTATTTTTATATATATTAGTATATACATAGACTCATATTTCTAATTAAAAGAATTAACGAATTGATCCAGTAGTTCTATCGCTTGTAATTCTTTTTTTATTTTACTCTTCCGCAACTGATAATAATGACAAAAACAGAAATTTTCAAACGTTTAAGTAACTGTTTACTTTGCTGAGAAATAAACTTATTGTTCAATTTCTGTTGTATTACAGTATCGAAGACGATGACGAAATAGAACGTGATTTATCTAGAGCTGGATTAGCTCAACGAAATAAAAATTGTGTGTTACAATGAAAATTTAATTTTATTCTCCTTGTTACGATAGTAAATGACAGGTAATTAGTTTAAGTTAAGCAATTAAACATTTTCACAACTATAAATAAAATTTTACAATATTAAGAATTAAATAAAATTTACTTTTTATTTTCTTAAAAGGAAAGGATTTGTTTAAATTTTAAGCTTGTAAAATTTTATTCACGGCTAGTAAAAAATCAGAACTAAGTCGTAAAAATATAGTTTTAAGCTAAATTTACGCTGGAGTAAAAATAAAAATTACAGGTATGACAAATTTTGCTGTGGAGTGGCTAAAGAAAATATAAAATTTTCCTTGACAATGAAATCGGGACAGATTATTTCATAATCTGCAAGATACTAATGATTAGAAATTTATTTTGTACTATGCATTATATACCAGTTGTACAATCAATGTTCCATATTTCTACAAATTCATTATTAAGTATTATGTCAATACAGTGGTACTCCCGGTGATGGAGCTAAATTGAAATTGAACAAATCTGTTTCATCAAAGGAACACACACAAGCGACTAAATTTTGTCATAGCGTTGTGAACGTTGTAAAAAGTTACTTTACTTTAGGAAGAATCAATTTCTATTATACAGGGTGTTCGGCCATCCCTGGGAAATATTTTAATGGGGGATTTTAGTGGCCAAAATAAGACGAAAATCAAGAATAACAATTTGTTGATGGAGGCTTCGTTAAAAAGTTATTAACAATTAAATTCAAAAATTTCAAATCGTTCTGGAAAAATTATTTTCGGTTGTGGGGGTCAATTACAATCACTTTTGGTGAATAGACATATCCCCGAAATCATGCGCATTTTCGAGAAAAAAATTCAATACGGGCGGAACTTTAAACGTTAACAACTTTTTAACGAAGCCTCCATCAACAAATTCATATTCTTGATTTTCGTCTTATTTTGGCCTCTAGAATCCACCATTAAAATTTTTTTCCAGGGGTGGCCGAATTACTATACAGGGTAACCAAAAGTAACGGAACGAAACATTTTTAGTCTTCTTTCTTTTTTTTCGTGCCAAAGCTTTCGTAAACTATCTTCTATTTCTATCAAAAACATAAACAAATTCACTCGTTCCCCTTCGTGTGCCCTAAATATACGCATAAGGTATCTACTTGGACGGACTGCGGAACGTGAGGCCAGAGCCTCATTGGCCGTTGCATGCTAGTCACCTGGGGATACTGCTTTCATGCAACATTACCCAGTCTCCACCACGAGGAGGTGAGGTTGGCACATGGAAGACGGTCTCTTCACGACCGCCTGCCTTTTGGAGACCACTTACAATCATTCTGACAGTCTGTGCAAGTCAAGATCTATCTGTATAAAATTTGATTCGAATTGGCGTGGAGCATAGTCCTGGTTCTTCCTCCCCTCTTGTCAGTGAATTTAAACTCCGTTATTTTTGGTCATATTCTATATTCACGCATTATTTAAATATTTCGTGAAAGAAGCAATAGCAAAGAAATACATGATTATGGAATCTTCCTAATTTAAACGAGGTGCTGAAATCTCTATGTAAATTAAAATGAATTATAACGAGAACGTTGCGACATGTAATATATTACTCGGCAGTTCTCGATTATTACACATTGTATTCATCACATTGTAAAACGCGTATAAAGTGGATGTACTTTAAAAATTCGTAGATTACTTATAGAAAGAAAAAAAAAAGAAATTAATTAGGTAGCGTAGAAACATTATTTCGATACAATAGATCTATACACTTTGACGATGAGATTTAGCGAAATATAGTGTTCATTGCATCATCTATGATACTCTTCATAGATCATATTTATTTTGTTTGTGCCATATATACTTATCCTAATTTTTTTTTCTAGAAAAATTATTGTACTCGTTTAGTCCTTTGTAAAATACTTGCCATTTTAGGAAGGTGATATATATGCAATTTTTTCCTATGGTGTACTGATTATTTATTATTGAGTTTTAATATGAATATGCTAGAGGCCTAATTCATTTCGTACATTCTTAAGTATGTAGATAACAAATTCGCTACATGTTTTTATTTAAATGTAACGAAACGTAGAATCGTCTAATGTGTCGCATACTCGAAATTAATTTGTTTTTACAAACAAACGAAAAATATTTTCTCTTTATATTTATGAAATACAATTATTCTAGAAACGAATATTGATACAAATGTAAATCAAAAGTTAGGAATGTTTTACCTAGGAATTCGAAAATAATGCGAAAAGTGTCACACGCATGTATTGTACTTTTCGTATACTATTTATCCATATCACCTGCTCAACAGAAATCCTGTTTCTCGTTTTGTAATATATTATTTTATTAATTTATTATATATGGTAGGATTTCGATTATCCGTGGTTTCTTTTCTCTAGAGTATTGATCATTCAGTATAATAATAGTACTTGGTCAGGGATTGTAAATTTAGCAATTTTTGAAACTGCTGGTAATTCGGTAATATAATATAATTATAAAAAAATATATATAAATAAAAACTGTTTATATTACTCATGCCGGTTGATCGAAGTCTTGCTGAATTCTTAACAATTTTAGAAAACATTTCAATAAAGCGACATGAGGTACATTTGTGATATGTGATTTTAATACATGAAATGAAGCCTGAGTTAAATATCAGCCTTTCTGAAATTGACATCTATTATCTTTCTCATCATATTAGATAAATTGCATTGTTTCATGTATTTTAGTTATTTGATTTAATTTTTTTATGATTTTAAATATCGGTCAATGAAACGGCATTCGAAATGCTAAAACAAACCGTAGAATTGTAATTGTGCGATGACTTAAGAATAAGTATGCGGTGTAAAGTGTGCACGATTTTTGTTAAATATAATGTTTTTTGCCTTTAAACGGTGTAAATGCATGTGTGAAACTAGATTAATACATAATGTAATAAACATTAAGAAACTCGTTTGAAAATTAAAAGTTTGTTTTTCCCTTTGGACTTAAATTTTGAATGAACGTTAAATGATGTAATTAGCGCGGGCATATCATATTGAATATAACTGCCATAATCGACTCTTAAACGTATAGGAGAAAAAGAAACATTTTCATCGGATGAGCACCCTATTAAACAGAAAATGTTTATTGCGTCCTGTAGGCTTACCTTAAAAGAATTTGACTTGGATCTCATTTCCGATTAAATTATGTACATACTTAAATTCAATTTTACTTACATTTTAGTGCTTATTTAGCTGATGTTATTGTACGTAGACAAATTTTATGTTCCTTCAATATAGTGGGAACTTTTCAGTGTTTTCGATAATTGATAAGCCGAATACCGAAGCATGGAACATTAGAAAAATATTAAGCTGCAATATAAAAATCTAATTCTACTGAATTTAGTTTTTATTTTGTTACGACTGTCTTGCTTAATATTAATCAACGAAATATGGCTCCGTAAGAGGAGATTTGATTTAGCTGGTTAATTTTTAGCAATAATTTATCATTCTAGTGCCTACGAATATTTTGCGTTTGAGAGTGCAAAGTTATCTCTAGCGCGATATGAGACAGACGATGCCTCAACATATTTCTAAAAAATATAATGTATCTCGTAATAATTATTCAAACAATGAAAAAACGTTCAACAAATAAAAAGAAAATTATGATATATTATGAGTAACTTATTGTTAGTTATTGCACGTGACTTGTTTCGATTCTTATCAACATTAAATATCCTTTTTAAAATTAAGTTACAAAGACTGAGGTAAGAAAGTCGTTTTAACATTTAAATATGCTAAAATTAAGTGCAATAAAAATTAGCTTTTCAGACGGATCAAACATTTTCATTGTAATTTATTTCGAGATACTCTGTATGCGTATTTTTACGTAAAAATCCTCATACACGTTTTCCTCATATACTATTGTACTAAAATAATTTTAATTTATTTTATTTATTATCATTAAGAATGTTGATGACGATATATTACTATTGTAAAAGCAATGACCATTCTTGCCAACGCTTAATCTCGACAAGAGCGCGATTTCCTTTGCTAGAAGCAGTGTTAATTGTAAATCACTTCGTGTGAAAAAAACTAATGTATAATGTGTCGAAACGTATCATGCAATAGCTATTGATGATAATTGAAAGCAAATAATAAAGCACTACAAGAAAATATCAAAATATAATTCTTGCGGGACTACTAATGCCTTTCCATACAATACGAGGTTTATAATGCAATGCAACGTGCTATCAAGATGTCGGGGCATGTTTTTATTTAACAGAGTCAGAAATGTGTAACACATTCCTGATGTTTTTTATTAATAAAATATCAAAATCATGATACATACTTTCCATGCTTTTTATTTACATTCTCCTCTACCTTTCCCATTAATTCCTTAATTTTTATAAATTCTAAATTTGTATAATTCCTTATAACTACTCTAATAATATCTAATTAATATTAATTAACTTCTTTATAAACGACTACTGGAAGCGATTCTTATTTGAATATTGCGCTAAAAAGGGCCTGTGGGTTTCGTCTCAGTTAGAGCACGTGGTTCGTTTCCACAAATTATGTTGCGTGCTTCGTAGGCCCACCCCTACTATCACGAATATAGGTATTCTAAATGAATGTACACATTCTCCGTAACGATAACAACAACGAACAGGAACTTTATTGCAACGCAAGGCGTACAAGTTTTTGTTATCAAACGCAAAGCGTCTAAGTCTTTTTCTTTTCGTGCTTACTCACTGAGTTCTTACCAAGCAGTGAAAAAGCTTTTCGGAAGGACGCGCTTTCGCCCTGCTGCGCTGCGCGCGCAGTCTTATGGCGGATTCGCAAATTATCATGAAAACGCTCTTATGAACTCTCGTGTGGACGAGACCGTACGTCTCAACCCCACAATAGTCAACTCACATGTATTTACGCACACACTACAGCTGGCTGTCCATCTCACTAATTCAGTGCCTAGTTTCTCAACTAACCGCCATCCATGAGAAGAGGCCGCTAAAATCACCTCCGAATTTTCAAGTCGGTATGGCAGTCAGATTCGGCCGCGAAAGTCCATAAGGTGAAAGGTCTATTCAAATACCTCGTCTGTGCCACTAGCACTGGCCTGCCGCAACCTTCCGCGCGAACGCAGCTGTACGTAGGTTGTCATTCTACAGGCGAAATTTAAAACGTTAATAACTTTGTAATGAAGCCTCTATCAACTAATTGGTATTCTTGATTTTCGTCTTATTTATGCCTCTAGAATCGCTCATGTAAATTTTTCCCAGAGATGGCCGAACACCCTGTATTATGTGCGTCGAAATCGAACGTTAACTCTGGTTGGTTACGTACACCGAAAAACAATGCCGGGTGACGAATTTTACTCTACTTTTGTATATGTCGAATTAACGCGATATTTAAACACCATCTTAAAATTTATATAAAACGTTTTAAAAATTTTTTACAAATAATGTGTATGTATCGGAATAATTAAAAAACTACAAGACGTATACTCATCATTATCCATAAGCTGATTATGCTCAAGATTTAATCAGACCTTGAAACGAGAACATAGAACTTAAATATAAAGTTTCATTGAAATTCATTCAGTCGTTTAGACACATGTATTAATAACATACGCATAGGCACAAAAAAGATGTCTTTTTTTTAATAACCACAATATGATCATGGGGGTTTTAAAACGTGTATTTCCGCTAAAAAAAATTGTTGATATTTTTTTTCATTATGGTACTTTCTTTATACCTATCTACGTAAGGTCGAAAAGTAAAAATGCTAGGTCCCAATTGTCCTTAGTTTCTATCAAGCATTCGAATGAACAACATGTGGAGTGGACCGATCCAAAAATCGAAATGTTAATAGAATTATATCGAGGCAGTCCATGTTTGTGGAACGCGAAGAATATTGAATACAAATTAAAAAATAGAAGAATAGATGCATGGATGAAAATAGCGTCCACAATAAAGTGTGATGTTAGTGAAGTTGAAAGAAAAATAAAAGTTATTCCGTCTCGTGTTTCGAAGGGAAAAATAAAAAATTAAAAAATGCAGTTGTCGCGAGCATTAGATCTTGTTCAGACATTTTTAAAGGCTGTACATTGGCATTTGTATACAGTAAAAGTTAGTAACGAACTGCCCATGAATTCTAATGCCGAGACCATACTGGAGAGAACAGTTCGGAAGCAGCATGCCTGAAACTCATGAACTGCTCGTACTACTCGCAGGCGCAGGTAGTTCGCGAGCTATCTGTCCACGAAAACAGCCGCGTGTCCACATTAAAGCTCGCAAACAGTTATAACCTACATGTATTTTGAGTTCGCGAACAGTCCTTTTGATGTACCGCTTCCTAAACGAACAGTATTCGCTGTTCGCTAAGGAGCTCGCTACTCGCTGCTCACTAAAGTCTCCACACTATTCGCAAGCTGCTCACGTGCTGTTCGTGAACAACAGTGTAGTCCTGGCGTAAGCGAATAAACTTATGACTGTTCGTGAGCAATTCGTAAGCTGTTCGCGAGGTCCTGTCACGGGACCCTACACGAGGCTCTCGTATGGACACGCTGCTATTTTCGTTGGCGAAAAACTCACACTTCAATGTAACGAGAAGTGAGGAGACTTTGATTGACGAACGCCAAGAGCGACTCTGGCCAATTAAGAAAGACGTAGGAGTAAAAAGGTTATTTATTAACCGAAATTAACACTAGATTTACGGGCATTGATTGCACGTATATTTATTGATACCTTTCATGTTGACGATTACCTTTAAATACGATTTTTTTTTTAATTAAACTTTGTATTCATGCCATTGCATCAAACAAATTCAACATAAGTTGTTAAAAAATAATATTTACGCGTTCTGCAATTTTAAATATGGAATCTGACATCCGTCAAATTGACGGCTTCCGTAAATCTAGTGTTAAAGAAAGACACATTTGTTTTCAAAATCGAGTAATCAACTAATCATTCTAATAAAGTATACTTTGATCCTTAAGTATATCTGACCACACAAATTTTATTAAAACCTTCATTTATTTTTTTTCAAAATCTAAATACTTTTAAGACTGAAAATTAATAAATTAAAATGGGAGTCCACTATTTACCAGTACCAAGCATGCTGTAATAATCTTCAATAGCAAATATTTGTATTTTTATATGATTTAAACGAAAGAACTAATTGTTACAGAAGTAGATTAATAATTTCTCGATACATTTTTCAATAACTGTATTCATTTATTTTGAACATACTTCATACGCATACTTTTAGCGAAAGAATAAATATTAACTTCGTATACTGATTGATGATGGTGGCAACGAGCTATTTTCGAATAATTTGTCAAAAAGTTTTATCGAATATGATTTAAATGTAATAAAATAAATATATTCATTTTTTCAGAAAAGAAAACAAGCCTTTGTTCATTGAAAGTATATGTGCATCAAATTTTATAGTTAGAGCAATTTCTATAATCATGCCATGTTAATGTAGTAGTATGATATTTTCAGTCACAAATGTGTGATGTAACTGTGACGTTAAACAGTAATGTGTTATAACCATAATTTAAAAATTCTTGTTTATTTGCATGACGAGTTGTGTTCTTAGTAGATCTGGCATTCCTTTTATATTTGTCTGAAAGTACACTGTTACATCTTATATTTTATAGAATATCTAAAACTCAAAGACAGTGTTAACTAGACAAGCTGCACTGTTACGATTACTCATACGTAATGATAATTAGATTTTGATTTTTGATAGAATTCTTTGTCAATTTCTGTATTAAAAATATAAATATTAATTTATTCAAAGTTTAGTCGTTCAATAATTTAATAAAAATATAATTTTTAATTTAATTTTAAATCAATAAGAAATAATTTTAAAGAAATTCATGCATACTAGTGTTTGTGTAATTTATTTATTATACCTATTTGTAACTATATATTTGGTTATTATATATTTATTTTGCTGTTTCAAAGGTATAATGTACTCCTTTTCCTGGATATTGTTTCTCTCCCTAAAATAACGCATTAACATTTTAATTATTATATATTTATAAATATCATGGTTGAAAAATGATACTTACTAGAGCTGGTTTAGAATTTGGGAATATATAAAAGATAACATAACCGCCAACAAAAAAGACAACAAAAAAGGTGCCACATTTGAAATAATCATATTTTGTGCGGACACCATAAGCCCATCGATCTTCTCCCATTGCATCATATTGCCTATGCAACTGTAATATTAAATAGCTATATTTATTAATTGTATATATTATAGAAATCTAGTGTTACATTTAACTATAATACAAATTTACAGGTTCATTAAAATTCCTTCTCAAAGCAGGGAAATCCCAAGGATAATAGGGATCCTTAGCTTCCGCACCTATCCATGGTAAGTCTGGGTAGTCTCCACGATTGATGTCATCATAAGGACCTGGTACATATTCATGTGGATGCATACCATATTTTTCTGCAGCCTTGATTCGCTCTTCTTCTGTTTTTGGAAAAGGACCTGGCATCCATTTGCGCAATTGTACGGCTATAGTAAAAAAAGAAAATACACAATCAGTGACAATGCAACATAATATATGGAATAGATTCTTTAATTATTACGTGTTTTGGCTTTAAACAGATCTTCATATATCATATAATTCTTACATAATAAATAATGTTTAACCTATTGAAGCACAGTATGTAGCTTTTCCAAGGAAACATGGTACTCACGTTTGATCCATTCGGAAAATATTTCTAGTAATTTTTCGTTCCCTATGTGTCTTTTAATAATACAATGACAAAACTTATTTTTCACCAATAATCGATTAGACAGATTCCCGAATGTCTTAAATACAGCAGCCATCTTCAAGTGTTCAAGTCTATCTCTATGTATGTATGTCAGTCACATAGGGTGCATATACAACAATGCAACTCCTCGTTGTACGGAGAAAACATAAATAAAGTTTTGTTTAAAAATATAAAGACCTCTCAAAGTATATAATTTTCTAAACGATTGTAAATTTTAAAATATACTTTTTATTATACGTAGGTTTAAGCACAGGTGAGGTATGTAGACACATAATAGATGGGCGATTAATGGGACATTCTATCGCAGGAACTGAAATCCGACCACATAGCCTATCTTTTAATTTTTTCTGCAAGTATTGATGTTTTAAAAAATTAAAACTTTATTCGGAAATTTAATTTAATAAATTTAATAAATAATATATTCTAAACTCTATAACTGTATTAATTTATTATTAGTTTAGCACACTAAGATAGAAGTAATATTTCTCGAAGAGCACGGTGCTTCTTAACGAAAGCTTCAAATAACAAATACCGAAAACATTTTAAACAAAATGTGTGGGAAAATATTATTTCTTAAACTACCTCTATTGTTTTTGGTTGGTTATTTAGTTGAAAATATTTTGCTAAATCTATTAATTAAATAAGTAATGAAAAATGATCTGTCATATCAAATTGAACATTTACTTTATTCTTATTACTAATTAATACTTTTCGTTCTATAGCCTACCTGACAAATTTATTTAGTAATTTCTACGTTTAAGCCGTCGTATCGTAGTGTGAAACAAAATTTAGTTGGAATTGTCAAATTTTAGTTAATAAATTTTCTTTCATGATTAAAAATTCTAGCAACACTAAATCAAAATCTCGTTAATTATCCACACAAATTCAAACCACGTCTGCCTCTTTCAATCACTCGTTACTCTCTCCCCGTTGTTTCGCTCCCTGGTAACCCCTTCTTTTTTAACAAAACACACTCAATCCTTTTGCACATTACTCCAAACTACAGCGTGACACAAACATTCAACACACATCTCCGAACCGAACTGCAGCGTGACACAAACATTCAACACAAATATCCTACATTCGGTGTAAAAATCTCGTTAATTATCCACACAAATTCAAACCACGTCTGTCTCTTTCAATCACTCGTTACTCTCTCCCCGTTGTTTCGCTGTCCCTGGTAACCCCTTCTTTTTTAACAAAACACACTCAATCCTTTTGCACATAACTTAACATTACTCCAAACTACAGCGTGACACAAACATTCAACACACATCTCCGAACCAAACTACAGCGTGACACAAACATTCAACACAAATATCCTACATTCGGCCATACTGACCTTCATCCGCCTCGGATGAATATACTTTATGTTTAGGATTTAATTCTTCCCGGCCATTTTGACATTCATCCGTCTCGGATGAAGTTTACAAAATAAGCCATGGTTTCATGTATTCTGCACATGTTGATGTTACAGAAGGACCTTCATGGAAACCTACTTTTTCTACATCATATGTGTCATTACATTTAACTTTTGTAATACGATAAGGACCTAAATACTTCGCTCGTAATTTTCGTCCTGGACCTAATTGTGTACGTTTGATAGCTACAAGGTTATCTACTTCATACCTAATGGCTTTTTTCCTTTTTCGATTGAATGTTCGACGATTTTCTTCCTGCACTTTAAAAAGTTGTTTTTTAGCCCTTTCGCGCAACTCGTTTCTGTTTTCATTGAATTGAAATAAGAATTCCTGTTCGACAAGGTTTTTTAATTTAATATCAGTTTCATCGTACATTTTTACCCCAAATAATAATTCAAATGGTGTCATATTGATACTTCTCTGATAAGTTGAATTTAACACACGTTGTAATTTATCTATATGTTTATACCATTTTGTAGAATCATTAATTGAAAACTTCGTCAGAATCGGAATAATTGTTCTATTCAATCTTTCCACTTGACCATTAGCTCGCGGTAAGCCTGCTGTTATTTGTAAACATTTAATATTTTCTTTTACGCAATAATCTTTAAATTCTTTCGAAGTAAATGCTGAACCTCGATCTGATATTATTTGTTGTGGACTTCCAAAATTTTTTTTTTGTACATCTAATTTGCATAAAACTTCTCTCGTCGTCGTCGACTTTGTCGGATACAACCAAATAAACTTCGTAAAACTATCAACAATAACAAAAATATGGTTGTAACTTTTGCTTGTAGTATCTAAGGGACCTAAGTGATCGATATGATATGTATGCAACGGAATATCTATTTTTGTAAGTGGATGTAAGAAACCTTCCTGTTTACCCTGTTTGTAATTCGCCATAATACACGGAACACAACTAGAAATATATTGTTGAATCTTTTGTTCAAGATTAGGCACATAATAATCTTGTTTTATAAACTCCTCTGTTCGTTTCAACGCAAAATGTCCTCTTTGATGTGCTGATTGAATTATTTCACCTTCTAACAATTTTGGTACGACCAATACTTCTCGGCCATCCACAAATTTATATAATAAATTGTTATGTATACAATAATTATCATAAGGATGATTTTTTAAAATTTCCATAATAGCTTTAATCTCTCCATCACTTTCCTGAAACTTTTGTATTTTAACATGAAGAGGATCTTTAGTAATTTGTAAAACTGGATATCTACTTAAAGCATCTACGTGTTTCATACGTGTGCCTGATCTATGTATAATCTTATAGTGATAATCTTCTAGAAGAAGAACCCATCGAGCAATACGCGGAACTAATTCTTTTTTATTTATCGTTAATTTAAAAGCAGCACAGTCAGTAATTATGGTAAAAGAAATTCCTAATAAATATACACGAAATTTTTCGAGAGCCCTAACAATAGCAAGAGTTTCAAGTTCATAAGCACAATAATTCCGTTCCTCGCATTTAGTCTTCCTACTCATATAATATACAGGATGAAATTGTTCGTCGTCAGGCGATTTTTGCATTAATACAGCACCATATCCATCTTTACTTTGCTTGTAGAGTTGCGAATTACTGTTTTTCGCGTTTCCTTTTCAGGGTAGTGTTGCGCCTTGACACGATACGCGATTGATTTTTTTGCAAACTTAGGTACTGTTTGCTCAAAAATAGCGTCGCGAATTATTGATAAACGTGATTGCGGGTAGAGTTGCGAAATACTATTTTTCGCGTTTGCTTTTCAGGGTAGTGTTACGAACAATCACGATTCGCGTTGCTTTTTTACTCTTTTATATATATAATGGACATCAACCGCGTTTGCAATTTTCATACTCTAAATTAGCGTTGCGATCTTGATTAATCGTGCGATTTTTTATTTAGCGTTGCGATATTTTCAATGCCCAAATTCTACCCCAATTGTAGTACTAGTAGTAGTTAGTTTATTTTGTGGCCATGTACCAATAGCCCCTGATTAAAGTTAGAGTTGCGAATAATATACAATGTTCGCGTTTGTTCGTAGAGTTGCGAACAAATATTTATCGCGTTGATATATTAGTGTTGCGAATAAATACGATTCGCGATTGTCTTTATGCAAACCTAGGAACCGGGCGTTTGCTTTAAAAATAGCGTTTCGTATTATTAGTAAACGCGATTGCTGTTAGAGTAGCGAATTACTATTTTTCGCGTTTGCTTTTCTGGCTAGTGTTGCGAATAATTACCATTCGCGGTTGCTTTTATTCTTATAAATCGCGTTTGTAATTTTTCTATTATAAATTAGCGTTGTGATTGTTGATTTATCGCGTTGTTGCCCCGTAGTGTTGCGATATTTAAAACGTCTAACTTCATCCCCATATGTGCCACTCTATTGTAGTTTGAAGTAGCTTGATGTAGTTAGATTATTTTGTGCATGTATGGTTATAGCTACAACCGAAGACGCCAGCACCTGATCCAGCGTTTTTGGGCAACGCGATTTGCATTAGCGTTGCGAAACACAAATGTATTTTCATTAAAGATAGAGTTGCGAATATACACTAATAGCGTTTGCTTATAGAGTTGCGAATTCCTATTTTTCGTGTTGATTTTTCAGGGTAGCGTTGCGAATTCCATACGCGATTGCTTTTATTGTTATTTAAGAATAGCATTGCGAATTAACTGATCGGTTTGCTCTTAGCGTTGCGAATTACTATTTTTCGCGTTTACTTTTCAGGGTAGTGTTGTGAATAATCACCATTCGCGGTTGCTTTTATTGTTATAAATGGCGTTTGGAATTTTTATGTTATAAATTAGCGTTGCGATCTTGACTTGTCGCGTTTTTTATTAATTAGAGTTGCGATTCAATGCCCAAAAGCTGGTCAAAACGCTGCTCACTGCACCAGGATCATCAAGAAGCAAGCTGGGATTCTGCAAAGCCTCGAATGGCTCAACATCATTATTAAAATTAGTGTTGCGCATGATTTAATATGGGTGCACGCGATTTAATTAATAAAGGAACTCTGTATGGTTCATTTTCCGAATAACAAGCACTATTCGCGTATAGTTTTGTATTTTATAAATTAGCGTTGCGAAAAAAAGAATGGTCCACTCACGGGTTGTTTGAATTTAAGACGAGTGGACGTTTATTCCAATTATGAGTTTATTCTCAAAAGAAATACTGCTTAAAAGTACTGTTGTGAATAGACCAATTGTTTTATTCTTCATAACGTGTTAAAATCTGTATGCATTTAAAAATTCTATATTATGATTAATTTTATTGTAGATTGAATTTATGATTGCTATATAGATATCTATATCACTAATTATTCATTCTTAGAGTTGGTAATTTTTACGGGATATAATAACGTTTGCAATCCAATTGTTATTTATAAATAGCGAATTTTTTATAAATATTCTGTATTCTTTGCATAAATCAAAGTTTATTCGCGATCATTGTTTTAATTGATGGAAAATAGAATGCTTGCATCAAAAGGATATGCAAATTGCAATTCGATATTTCATATTGAGAATTAATTTCCGCGCAGAATCGACATTTTCGTTCGTTATTGCTTTTTCTGCATGAACGTAATTTAGTTTTCAATACAGTAAAATATAATTATTGCAATGTATACGTCTTGAAAATTTTTTTCTTGAAAAATAAAGTCTACGGTAACAAATGAATAAAATTTTCAATCTATTTCTTATTTATCTTAACACTGAGACGAATTTAACTTTTCATTCAATTTCATGTAATATTTATGTTTTTAAACTTTTAATATCAATTTTTACTCGTGAAAGCTTTAGTTAAAATATTAATTTCATTCACTTTTACTATGATCGATTACTATGAGTCTATCTTGACGGTACATAATTATTTTTTTCTGTGTCCATTGATACACTTTCATTTCAGCTATTAATTCTTTGAACAAGTTCTTGTTACAGGATCATCGAAGAATGGAATTGGAAATTGTACACGGATTCCATCTTGATCGCTCTTAGAGAAATATTTCATACAATTTTATTTATTGTCTGATTTATGTTTCAGGGAAACATCGTGGGATTAATCAAGACACCAAGAAGAAATATTTTTTCATATTTATTTGTTTTATATGAGTTATATATTTTATTGGATATGAGTTTTTGTTTCAGGAAAACATCGTGGGAGTGACGAAGACACCAAGAAGAAAATATCTTGTCATATTTCTTTGTTTCATGTCAGTTATATTTATTGTATATGAGTGTATGTTTTAGAAAAACATCGTGGGATTGATGAAGACACCAAGAAGAAAATATTTCCGCATATTTCTTCATGTTTCTACAGATTGCGTTAGAATATAAGTACAAATGTATATAGATTATAAGATAAAAAAGCGTTCTCCTGCCGTTTATTAAATATTACCGAAGCGTAAATTTAAGTGGGAATGATTAATATTAAGATACATATTAGTATTCTAATATGCAAGGTCCATACGTGCAGTTGCACATTTCTGGTTGGATCTTCAGGATCCTTTCTTCGTTTTGTACAAGTGTCTTGTTAGGCACTGTCATAATGCAAGTATTTATTTAAGAAGGAACAATTAATAATAAAGTATATATTGATAATTTAGTAATCAGGATTCATACGTGCAGTTGCACATTCCAATTTCGTTTCTAGAAAACATGTGCTGGATTGTCTCACATGTATCAACATTTCGTTAGGTTTTCGATCTCTTCATCAGAGTTCGTATGTGCAATTGCACATTCCAATTTCGTTTTTAGAAAACATGTGTATCATCTCACATGTATTGACATTTTGTTAGGTTCTTCATCTCTTGATTGGGCAGTTCTTTTAAGAACTCTCCTTTTCTAGCTCATTTCTAACTTTTCGATAGCTTCTCCCTTGGATAGGTATTCGAATTCCTCGCCAAAGGAAGGGTGGTTGGGGCGAGGCTAGGGTGGGTCTCCAGTCGCAGCAACCTCCACGAGGTGAGACCTGGGGATTATTATTTACTATGTAATTAATATAATTATTAATTACATAGCAAATAATATGAGCTAATGGCTGTGTTCTTCTTATAGTTCCACATACCTTCTTCGTCCTGGTGTCCGGTCTAATAACACTGATTTCGAGTCGCAGATACGTTTTTGCCGAGTTAGTTTTTAAATAAATAATATGTCACAATGTAAAATAAAAAATAGAGGATTTGCGGTGTATTTATCAATGTATTTTAATAATTTTGAAATCTTTAAATAATCTCAATCGATTGGTTATTCCAATGAAATTAATCGATTAATGCCCAATGATGGACCCTACAGCTTTAATTCCGTTCAAAAATAATAAAATTTATGTAATTTTATTTTCTGTCTCACTTCCTCTTGTGTTAATTTCTGAATCTGTTGATAACGTTGCGAGTGACACGAAAATGGTAATGGGGTCCCGGGACCCCAGAAACTCCGGCCGAAAAATTACATTAGGTGAAAGGTCTATTCCTATACCTCGTCTGTGCTAAGACTCCGCATTCCCCTAAGACTGCGCACTCGAGTGACGCTTCTCGCCAGAGTGTTTTAAAATTAAAGTAAGAATTATTTTCAAAAAATTAAAATAAATACGGTAAAAACCATTTGTAACCGTTTGCTATTAAAAACTGTACTGCAGAAGCAGACTGGATTTGTGCGTACCGAAACATTCCTCGAATGCAAAGGGTTAATAGAGAAATAATTTAAATTCGACTTACCTGCTGCGTTGACAATAGGGCCCGGACAGTGCACCGCTATCGATCACGGCGGTGCAGTGGCCGGGCCCTATTTATTTATATTCAAGTACATACAAGAAATTATAATGTTTATTAAGGATGATAGTTATAAAGATTGAAGATTTTATCACACATTCATTTATTGATAGTATAATTATCGTACATAAGCATTTGCAATTAGATAAATTGCTAATTAATATCATTTAGTAATTCATATTTACCCTATAGGAGAATATTGTTTTTTTTTTTAATTATCAAAGGACATGGTGTAACTGGTTTTCAAGCATTTCACCATTGATTCGATCAATTTCACAAAACCTGTGTCCTTTGGCTTCTCTAATCCTCGCAAAACTCTGTTTTTCATTACAGCAACAAATTCTTTGTTACTTAACTGACCATCCACTAGAAGTTTATAAAAAGAAGATTTATTAATGCTATTACATATTTGAAACATAGATTATAATATAAGATGGATTGAATAACTTGACTACCTGGAAGGGTTCCAGGGCGTTTGGTTGAAAACCAAAGTCAAAGATATTTGGTCAAAGACATTTGGTTGAACGAACATTTGAGTGAAAGAACATTTTTCAACACGTTTCACAATTACAGAATTTACATTCTGCTTGGCCCTTGCTTTAAAATTATTGCTTTGTATATTTTTATGTTTATATTTGTGTTTATTATTTAACTCAAATATAATGTCAGTTTTAAGCTTACGAATGGTGTCAGGTTACTTTTTTGAACCAGATTTTTACTTTGTGTTTATCGCAAAAACTATTGGGTCCTATTACCTGGTTGCTGTCTTTTTAAATCTAGCTCTAACCAACTTCGATCCTGCTTTCAAAGAACACCACGCTAAGCAGAAATAACTTGTAACAGATACATGGAAGAGTAATCGGGCACTCCTAACAGAGGGGGAGGGGGTCTGCTTTTAAAATTATCTCTGACTTACTCCAATCGCTATTTCTGTGTCCATCACACAAAGTTCAAGTCAGCCTATGACAATGAATACGTGGTTATGACGATGGAAATTCTTCTTCAAACTAGTCCTAACTCACACCAATCCTCATTTCCAATCTATTCTTTTACTAAGCTACGGCCACTTCTCTACTTTCGATCAAATGTCCGTTTTAGATTTGTCGATCAAATGTATTCGACCAAATGTCCGGATGCTACACTGAATATCTCGCCTGCATTTGTTAAAAAAAAGAAATGTCGAAGGATAAGAGAAACAAATTTCAAAGACTCTTTTATTTTATTAAAATAAAATAAATAAATATACGGAATGTTCGGCTATTTCGGGGAAAAATTTTAATGGAAGATCCTAGAGATCGCAATAAGACGAAAATTAAGAATACCAATTTGTTGATTGAGGCCTCATTAAAAAGTTATTAATGTTTAATGTTCCGTCTGTAGAACGGCATTCTGCGAACAGCTGCGTATACGCGGAAGGTTATGGCAGGTCAATGCTAGTGATTCTCACACAGCATGAAAAATTCTGCTTACTGACATATCGATAGCCTTAGAGTTTTGTGTTCATTCATGCCTGGATTTAGCTTGACACAATATATGTACATTATTTGTCGTCGGTTGTCATGCCGATTAATACAAACAAGAGAAAAAATCGACGATCGTGGACTGACGTATACAGAGTCACAGACATGTACATTTAGACAGAATTCATTGTAGTAGTAGCAATCTTTTTGAAGAAAAATCTCGAAAACTAAGGCCGAGCGGCTGTTATATGTATAGGAAACAGTTGTTCAAAATCTTGACCCTACCTTTCCTAAATAATTATCCATTGCCTTCCCATAAGTGGGCATAAAAATTTAAGGCTGTCGATATGTCGGTAAATAGAACTTTTCATGTTGCGTGAGAACCACTTGGACCGATCTGCCGCAATCTTCCGCGCGTATGCAAGCGTTTGCAAATGGCCGTTTTACAAGCAGAAGTTTGAACGTTAAAAACTTTTTAACGAAGTTTCCATCAACAAGTTAGTATTCTTGATTTTCGTCTTGTTTTGGCCTTTAGATTCTCCCATTAAATTTTTTTGTAAGAAAATGTCTAATAAAAAAATGTTCCATACGAATGTAAGTAAAAATATAGATTTTAATTTAAAAAAACAATGTTACCCTTCAAATAATCTTGTAAGCGTTCAACAAATAACAAATAAATAAGCCAGATATATTTCTCCTTTGAAACTAAAAAATTATTGTATTTAACGTTTTTGCCAAAAATGTGTTGTTTTCGAGATACTTAGATTTAAAGCTTTCAAATAAACGTACCCTGTATAATGTGATATAATGTGAGATTACAATTTCGTTAAATGATATTAAAAATTAATTACACCCGATTTCAGTAACGAAGAATTTTAATATACTTACTGTTCTCATCAAAAATCGTGTAAACCACTTGTATAACATGATCCGTTAAGTCAACGTGAGCCACAGTTTTCGCCACATGCTTCAGTGTAGCTGCAAAAATTACAGTGAATATAGTCGAGTTAGTATAGTCTCGTGTTAATTATTGTTTCATATTAATAAGAACTGAAATTCAACATTTCATGCATTTCAACAATATCTATTTTTCGTTATATTTTGGCGGGTAGAATCGTTTCTAGAAAGATTGCCCACATGTAAGTAAGCGCCCGGTACATCAAGATTAAAAAACGTAAATATTATTATCACCATTTGAACTGTTTATTTGCCAAATTGATTAACTCCACAAATGGGAAAAAAAAGAAATTGAAAAAATAATATATGTACATCTATAGTAGGTGTTGGACAAGTAAATGCAATAGAGTAACAGTGTAAGGAATTTGGTCGAAAAAAGTTATCATTCTACAAATTAATATTTTATTATTATTCACACAAATAATAAAAAATTAAACATTATTATTAACCTCACATTCTGTTGAATTTCCAAACCGTCTTGAGATGATACAAAAATCATCTTCAGTAACGATTGTAGGATTTGCAAGAAAACAACATTCAACTTTTAATAAATGTATTTATTTAAAAACTCTCTCAAATCTCTCACAACTCAAATGACTCTCTTAAACTCTCTCGACTTTTCGACTCTGCCCAACCATCTCTCGTTTCCCATCACTATTATTGCATTAGGGTTGCAACCACTCGAGACTGCTTTCGCCGACCAAGTTTATGACACTGTTGACTCCCACAAAGTTCGTGGAGCCGATTTATGTAGCAAATAGATATTATAATAACTATTTACAATCACGTTTATTTATTAACAAATATATATACAAAATTAATGTGTTAAGAGGAATTGTAACAATGGTTCGTAAGGGTTCTTGCAAATCTAGTCCTTTGTATCTGTAACTCTTGTGGTCAATGTATCTGTAACTCGTAACTTGTAACTTGTAACTTGCTCTGCCCCGTCCGTTTCTGTTCCGTGATTATATATCAAGTTCAAAAATAGGCGGTGATTCTATTTGCAAATCAGAAGTCCAGTCCTCTCGAGACTCCAATTCCCACCCACTGAGGGTTGTACGGGGGTAGGTGTCCGCGGTCTCAAAGGGCAGATAGATGGGCCCATTTACATTTGGGCCCTGGTACATTTGCCAGTTGACCAAATTAAGTAATTTAAGTAATATTGAAAATACATGACGCGTCCTATAATATAAAATGTTTGAACTCGAAACTCTAATTTTTGCCTGTGCTGGCCTTGATTAAAATGCGAACTGTGTTAAACCTGGCCGATTCACCGAAACCCACACAACATTTAACCAACCATTCGTTCCTATTTATTCACGCACAGATACGTACCATTCACACACTTATTATACAGGGTGTTCGGCTACCTATGGCAAAAATTTTAATGAGCGATAGTTGAGGCCAAAATAAGACGAAAATCAAGAATACTAATTTGTTGACGGAGGCTTCGTTACAAAGTTATTAACATTTAAAGTTCCGCCTGTAGAATGACAACCCGCTAAACAGCTGCGTTCGCGTGGACGGTTGCGGCAGGGCAGTGCTAGTGGTTCTCACGCAGCATGAAAAATTCTACTTACCGACATTATCGACAGCCTTAGATTTTTGTCCACTTATGGGAATGCGAACACCTTACGTTGAATAAGATTCAACCTGTCTTATGAAAATCCAGAAGGGCATATCAAAACTCGCCCGACGAGATTTTCACAGAGAAAGGGTGAATGCCAGTTCCAATACACAATGTTGTGAACAAAAATCACCCACACGCGATTATACACGCCCCACGATTGTCCACAGTGTCCACAAGTAACCACAAATAATCCTTTCAGGTACTAACCACTATGCAATTAAATAAACACGCACCGCGATTATGTTATTCGTGAATGTCTACGTGTATGTGTATCACGATTCTTCCGAGTTACTTACGAATAAAACTGTTATTAATTTTTCAAATACACTTCAATTTAAAAATGTAAAAAGGAATCGCAGGATAAATGAAATGTTCGCATCGATTTACGTTCATGCTCTTCTGAATTTTCACAAGACAGGTTGAATCTCATTCAATGTAAGGTGTTCGTGTTCCCATGTGTAGTCACAAAATTCTATAGCTGTCGATAACGTCGGTAAGTAGAATTTGTCATGCTGCGTGAGAACCACTTGCACTGGCCTGCCGCAACCTTCCGCGCGTACGCAGCTATTCATAGATTGCCGTTCTTCAGGCGGAAATCTAAACGTTAGTAACTTTTTAACGAAGCCTCAATCAACAAATTGCTCTTCTTGATTTTCGTCTTATTTTGGCCTCTAGAATCTCCCATTGAAATATTTCGCAGGGGTGGTCGAACACCCTGTATATGAATTAAAGGCTTTGGTTATATTTCTGTTTTATTAATTAAAATTTCGAAAATGTCAAAAAATGAAGTTAACCAGTTTGGCATATAAATAGCTCATTTATTAATATCTAAATGCACCAATTTTTAATATGAAACGATTAATGTAAAATAACGAGATAATAGAATATATTGAAAGGTTCCGGAAATTAATTTGTTATGTAAGAAAATCTTTTTATAATGTTATTAAAAACCTTGATCGATTGACGCTCCTGCGATATGATAAAACGTCAATGCAGTGTCTACATCGTTAATATTGTTTAAAAAATGGAAGAACTTGAGATATTCGTCCTTGCTTATTCCTTTTGGACTCTCCTTGAAACTGTAAATATACGGTTCATTATAATGTATTTAAATATATTGTATAACATGATCATTAAAACCTGCAATTGAATAGGTATTCGGAAGAAGGGCCATTGAAGGATTTGTTATGTATGCCGAACATTTCGTTCCCCAATTTTTCCTTGCTACTTGCTTGCATTAGGAAATCGGCCTGCTACTTATCTAACCTTTGAAATGAGGGTCACTTCCGCCGAGATACAACAGCCCGGTAATTAACGTAATCCGAAGAATACAGCAGCTCGGTAATTAACGCAATTCGGAGAATACTGCGTACGGTAATTTCTAACGTACATTTAAATCCGTCCCTCCAACCTCCCAGCAGCTCTTCGACGTTTCACCCTCCTGCGGCTCCCTGGTTTCGCACCAGGTTCGTCCGTACGTGACTTCATCCTAGAGGCTCCCTGATTTCGCATCAGGTTCGTCCTCGCTATCAACTATCCTAGCGGCTCCCCGATTTTGTATCGGGTTCGTCCGTGCACCTAACTAACAAATTGATACCATATTCCATACTTTCTCTCGTATTCGCAGGCCACGCGCGCTGCACGGCAATGGCTCGTAACAGATTATTGCACTTTCAGATTCTATAAATTGTATTATACAGGGTGTCTCACCCGATTTTGACATCTTGATTTTCTCGCTATTGTTACTCGTAACAAAAAATGTTTCAGCGGAGGCTTGAATGGTATCGAGTGGAGCATATTCTGATGTTATTAGTGTTTTCGTGAGTGGACGCGTAAAGGTCATATAAAGGTCAACTTTGTTTTTTTAAATGGAATGAGGTATTTTTTAATACATCAATCGATTCACAGCTGGACAATCGTTATAAAAAAGTACTAACTATGTAACGTCGAAAAATTAGTAGTTCAGGAGATATTTCAATTTAAATTATTTAAATTCTTAAGGCATCATTACTACCGCACTAAGTCGTTAGCTCTGTTTACCAACGTTAGACTAGCAAAAACGATTGACTGAGGTCGGTAACGTTGAAATGTAAACATTTGAGAACTATTCGATTATGACAATCATTCTTGAGTTTGAGTTTAGTTTCTCTTAGACATCTATCTGTTTGTTCTAAAATGATTTACTCAAGAGCCGAAAAAGTAGATGTAGTTGCAGCGTATTTGGAAGCTGGAAAGAGTGCAGTGCGTGCAAAACAGTTGTATGGAGAGAGATTCCCTCGTAGACGTCAACCATCCCGTAATACTTTCAGTTATGTCTTCAAACACTTTCATCAAGCTGGAAATGTGTCGCGTAAGACACCTAATCGAAAAAAAACAGCGACGAATACTACAAATGAAATTGCTATTTTGGCTGCAGTGACAATAGATCCATCTGTAAGCTGTCGTCAGCTGGAAAGAGAATTCAATATTAGTCGGTCTAGTATCGTACGTGTACTGCATAGGCACAAATTTCACTCATATCACATATCGAAAGTTCAAGAACTTACTAATAATGACTATCATCGTCGTTTAGAATTCTGCGAATGGGCTTTTGGCCAAAGTACTGATTTTTTAAAAAAAGTTATGTTTACAGACGAAGCGACGTTCACAAAGAATGGAAATTTTAATTTAAAAAATACACATTTCTGGTCGGCACAGAATCCACATTGTTTCAGAGAAACTGACCATCAACATCGATGGAATGTGAACGTATGGGTTGGCATAATCGACACTCATATTATTGGTTCACATTTTATCGATGGATCACTAACTGAACCGAAGTACAAACACTTCATAATGGAAATTTTACCCACATTATTAGAAGATGTGCCGCTACATGTTCGTTTAGGAATGTGGATGCAGCAAGTTGGATGCCCTGCACATTATTCTTTGGTGGCAAGAAATGCTTTAAATCGACAATTTCCGAATCGTTGGATTGGAAGAGGCGGTCCCATTCATTTTCCAGCACGGTCGCCTGATTTAACGCCCCTCGACTTTTTCTTATGGGGCCATTTAAAGAATAAAGTTTATGCTAAAGCTTCAACTACAGTGGCCGATATGAAGCAGCGTATTATCGCTGAATGTCGTAAAATATCAGCCGATACATTAAACAACGTAAACCAGTCATTACTTGATCGATTTAAAAAATGCCGTGTGCAAATGGTCGTTACGTTGAACCATTCCTGTAAATAAACGCCAACGTCTTAGTACAACAGTAATGGTGTTTTAGAATTATTTAAATTGAAATATCTCCTGAACTACTAATTTTTCGACGTTACATAGTTAGTACTTTTTTATAACGATTGTCCAGCTGAATCGATTGATGTATTAAAAAATACCTCATTCCATTTAAAAAAACAAAGTTGACCTTTATATGACCTTTACGCGTCCACTCGCGAAAAAACTAATAACATCAGAATATGCTCCACTCGATACCATTCAAGCCTCCGCTCAAACATTTTTTGTTACGAGTAACAATAGCGAGAAAATCAAGATGTCAAAATCGGGTGAGACACCCTGTATATATCCTCCGCTAATGTGACACTATGAGATATAAAAGTACTAAACAGAGAAAAGGAATCTGTTGAGCTAGATTCTTCTTTTATACGTCATATTTGTCAATGTAATATTACTATATAATGTCACACTACTACAGATGACTTCGATTTAAAAGTAAAGTTGCATGTGTAGGAACGTTCAATTATAATTACACGGGTTACTTAATTTAATGTTAGGTTACTGAGTGATCCACGCACCCGTTTGGTTATTCAGGCGGCAGGGGAGGTGAACTTCTACGTAGCGCGTCCTCAGGTGGCGGATAGGTGCAGCCGCTGGGATGGGATGCGGGGATGGGGTCAACAACCTGAGAAGGCTGGTGGCCGTATCCTCGCATAGCATCCCGGATTGTAAGGCTGCTGAAATACTAAGACCACCACTTTAAAAATGGGTCTGAGAGATCCAATTGTATCTCAACGTCAGAAAATCATTGGCGCAAAAAATACAAAGTTGAAGTAAGTATAATTTAACAACGTTGTGTATTGGAAGTGGCACTCAACCTCTCTTTGTGACAACAAAAGAATCGATCTGTCTAAAAAAAATATGCATTTCTATTTAAAGAAATGATGCAATTGTTAATTGCACGTGCACTGCTGCATCTAAAAAAAATTTAAAGGACTACAGATGTAGTGCACTTCGAACCATTTATCTATTTCCTTTGGCATTTTTTCGGAAATGCAATAATAACGGAGTTATGACCTGTAACAATTGCGTGGACCACCCTGTATAAGAATGTTCATATATGGCGCGTACGTTAGATATCGACTCCATCTCATTGGAACAGGCTCCTTAAATTCGAAGGGGTAGATTAGACTCACGGGCTTAAAATGTTTCTCACGCGAACGTGAAATTCAAACTATTCGACAAAATAAAAAATTTGAAGTTCAAATATCTCGACACAGGATTTTAGGAGATAGGTCCTTCTTCTGAATAATTATTCAATCGATGCTTTAATAATTTACACGCTGATACGTACCGTTTCTTTATGGTTTTTAATATTTTTGTCTTTTTCTTGTCAGGATACCCAGCATAAGCCAATAATAATTCTGTGAAGTCTACTTCAGTTATTCTACCATTGTCATCGGGATTTCTTCTCTCAAACTGCATAAATTTAGCTATGTTTATTTATATTTCTGTTTGTATAATTTTCAAAACAATTAATATCAACTGTCAACATTCGATAATAGTTTTGAATATTTATTTCCATTATTTACAGAAGAAAAACTTAAAACATTAATAAGTACATCATTTATGCTGAAGATGCACGTCATAATTTGGCACGCATAAACTGTCCTGCAACTTTGTAATCTTTATATACATTAAATACTGTTCATGACACAGTTATGGATAGGTTGCGTATGCTTATGCAGATGCTTATTTCTATAAAAAGTAGATAAAGCAATGGAGCTAAAATAGAAATTTGTCTTATCTTTGACGGGTTTAGAAAAAAAAAAGTATTTCTTTTTGAGTATTTTTGCAATATTTCCAGCATGTTCACTTCCGAGATACATAGATTGGAATTCAAACTTGTATATTGCGATAACATCTCACACATCAATAATGGATAAGTTTTTTTTCTAATACATTTATATAAAGACTACAATTAATATTGAGTCAGAAAACCCGAACAAATGTTTTGTGACAAAAATTAAGAAACATATTTCGCTTAAATTATATAACCACTTTTAATAACTTTTTAAATAATTTAATAACTGCATAACATCTACGTAGCATCGATTTGAATAATATTGGTCAACAAACTTTGAACAGTAATTTATATTTTTTACAACTGAGCTTCGTTCCCATTTATTTATGTATATCAAGATGAAAAATACCAAAGGATAAAATTATTTGGTTCTAATTTGAAAAATGTAAGGTACAATTTATTTAATGCATGAACAATAGATACATGTGTATGTTAAAATAGAACACTAAAATAAAATAGTTTATCGTTTTACTGAAATCGAAGTTCAACGATAAGATTATCTCGAGAAATACAAGCTGTTAAGGGGGGAGTCTAATGTGAATGATAGAAAATTGAACCATTTTTCTTAATTTTTTTAAAGGAAATGTTACATCTGACGTTATGATTCTTTTTTGCAGTTTACTTAGCTATCCTTTGGGAATACAAGATAATTTTTTTATTAATTTTTATTAACTTTTAATGTTGTTATCACGTCCGCAGTAAACATGTGTTTAAACACTGACGTAGGTGATTGCAACTCTCAAGGTTGACTAAATCAAAAAAATCGTAAAGATTTTTATTCGGTAGGTTTACAGTTATCGCCCGTATCAAAATAATTAATTTATGTTGCAAATTGACAAAATGGTGAAAGCTTAAAGTAAAAATTGCAAAATTTCGTCGTTTCTTTTGCAACTTTTGAATAAAAAAGATATGATATTCTCATAACAATTTGATTTTGGTACGGGCGAGAACTGTTAGTATGTGGAACAACGTGTAAAAATTTCAAAGCAATCGAACGATTAGTTTTTGAGATTTTATCTACGCCAGTTAAGAAAGTAACGTTTCGAGAGAAACGCATTTAAAGTCTGCAAGATCGTACTCATTAATCTCAGCTCCATATAGAATTCCTTCCAGACTATTGGCACCTGGATGACAAAAACGCTCAAATTTCAACTTTTAATAACAGCAAATGTCTCTTGACCCTGTCATAAACCTTTCGAAACAGTAATGTCTGGGCTGTACATGGTAATCACTCGAAGCAATGACTCCGGTAATTAACTCGAGGGCTATACAAAAAGTGTCCTACAATCCACAATACTTGACATTTATCTCTCAAAATTTAACAGTACATTCTTAAATATTTATACTTTCAAAAAATGAAGTGAGAAAAAAATTGATATTTTTGTGGTCTCACATGAGACTCCCCCCTTAAGGGGCCTTTCTACTTTGTGGGATTTAAAAAATCGAATTTTTTTGCATTTTCTTTTAGTATGTAGTCTCGAAAATATATCTACCAAATATTAAATTGAAATTTGAAAAACTAACGAAGTTATAGCCTGCTGTAATGTACCACGCGCAAGTATAACTGGACGTAGATCTTTAAGTTGCCTTTCTACTTTGTGGGATTAAAAATATTCAATCTTTTATTTGCATTTCTTTTTAGTATGTAGTCTCGAAAATATATCTACCAAATATTAAATTGAAATTTGAAAAACTAACGAAGTTATAGCCTGCTGTAATGTACCACGCGCAGGTATAACAACTGGACGTGAAAAATGCGTTTCTTTCTTAACTGGCGTAGATAAAATCTCAAAAACTAATCGTTCGATTGCTTTGAAATTTTTACACGTTGTTCCACATACTAACAGTTCTCGCCCGTACCAAAATCAAATTGTTATGAGATTATCATATCTTTTTTATTCAAAAGTTGCAAAAGAAACGACGAAATTTTGCAATTTTTACTTTAAGCTTTCACCATTTTGTCAATTTGCAACATAAATTAATTATTTTGATACGGGCGATAACTGTAAACCTACCGAATAAAAATCTTTACGATTTTTTTGATTTAGTCAACCTTGAGAGTTGCAATCACCTACGTCAGTGTTTAAACACATGTTTACTGCGGACGTGATAACAACATTAAAAGTTAATAAAAATTAATAAAAAAATTATCTTGTATTCCCAAAGGATAGCTAAGTAAACTGCAAAAAACAATCATAACGTCAGATGGAACATTTCCTTTAAAAAAATTAAGAAAATTGGTTCAATTTTCTATCATTCACATGGGTTATGTTGACTCCCTTGCTTATTTCAACAAATTACAAACTGTTGTCGATCTTAAAACAAACATGATTTGTGTTGTTGGTGAGACACAGTTTGATTCATGTGTCAGAGTCATTGCAAATGGTCTTTTAAATGATATTGGATTTCGCGTATGTTACCAAATGTACATAAAAATATAACCCGTTATTTGTAGAAAAAATAATCACGTTTATTTATCAAAATAAGTAATTAAATGTTTCATAACTATTTACCTCCAAGCTGAGTATTTCTTTCTGTAACTGCTCTTGAAATTCAAGGAATTTCTCAATAGTAAGCTTTCCTTTCATGCTTGACCCGAAGAAATACGTAGTTAATGCAGAATTAACACCCTATATTACAACGAATAAAATTACATTTTAAACAATAGAATGTAGAATGAAATAATTGTAAATAAAACTATTGATAAGATTCATTGCACTCAATAATAAATCCCATCATTCCCTCGAAGTCTTAATTATCAGTATTGCAATAATTTTCAATACCTTGAACATGTTACCAGTAGCAACATGATCGCGATGCCGACTGCCGATACTAGTTTGCTGTCGAATTAAGGTAGCGACTTTTCCAAATTCTTCGGAGTCTACGTCGCCATCACCGTTAAAATCAAACATTCTGAAGGCAATTTCAAAATGTCTTCTTGACGCTATAAAAAGAAAAATTCGTTTAGAAATATACAATGATAGACATACAGTGGCGACCATTTACTAACGTATATGTCAGAAACTTATTTTTGTCACCATCCTTACGTATACTATTTTCATTTTTAATATTTGAGACAACTAATCTTTGTCCGGATGTGTGTTTTACAAGGCAAGGTCCCTTTTTACGGATTCTGTGTCAACCTGTTTATGATTTTCTATGCATGTCTATTGCAACTGATTTCCACATTTCTTGCACAGTTCAATCCTTCTCGATTCGCTCGTTAGTGTATTCAAAGATCGGGTCGCTGTGTTGCCGCGTAAACATTACGTCAAAGTGTTTTGTTCCTACACGATAAGCTGACGGCTACCACAGTGAAGACGTTTGTCGTGTGTATGTGTCAGCTGTAGTCTCAAGTGCCAAGCTACCAAGGAACAGAAGTCACTGCGAAATGTTTTGAGTTTCCGATGAGAAAATTGTTTTAAAAAGTAAGCTGCGAGAAGCTTTTCTATCAGTTACCGTATACAGGATGTTCAATATCTGTTAAGAAAAAAATTTAATAGGAGATTCTAGAGGCCAAAGTAAGACGAAAATCAAGAACACTAATATGTTAATTGAGGCTTCGTTAAAAAGTTATTAACGTTTAAAGTTCCGCATGTAGAATCACTGTGTGAAGAACTCTACTTACTGACGTATTGACAATCTTCTGAGTGAGAACAACTAGGACTGACCAGTCGCAACCTATCGCTCGCACGCATCTGTTCGCAGATTGTCGTTCTACAGGCGGAATTTTAAACGTTAATAACTTTTTAACAAAGCCTCAATTAACAAAATTCTTGATTTTCGTCTTATTTTGGTCTCTAGAATCTCCCATTAAATTTATTCTAAGACGTAGCTGAACACCCTGTATGTAGGTAATACGTAATGTTACCAATTAGGTTTGTTAACGGTAGGAAAATATTAATATTTTATAAGAAATACACTGTGAGTAGAAAATGTACTATTGAATATTCGCCAAACAATATGGTTGCAACATGACGACGAGTGTCCAGCACGTTATGGTCAGCGAATGAGGACACTGAATGAAAATCCAAATCGACGGATAGGACATGGAGAACCAATTTTGTGGCCAGTTCGTTCCTCACACTTAACGCCACATAGTGGGGCCATTGCATGCCAAACGCGGCAAAAAGTGGTTTTATACAAATATACCCACAATGAAATAATAATTCACTAATAGTTAATGGGACACATGGGCCATGATTTAGTGTGATTTTTTTAATCATTTGTCGATTTTTGATACAACTACATGATTTTGAAACGTTCAATCTTAAAATCATCCAAAATTATAATCATCGTTTATTGTTGCTTTGATTCTTCAAAGTAAATGATGAGTAATTGAATTAAATGTACTTAGTACGTATTTAAATTACGAATGAAGAATCAGATGAAGAATCATTCATAGATTCATAAATTCTTTCGTTTTCTCGTCGTAAAGGTCGTGTCGTCTATTCGCTAATTGCCATCTTCTCCTGAAACGAGACTTCAAAGTTGCAATTTTTGTTTTCAAAATTTTCTGGTACTCCACAGAATAATTATCCCGGCTCATTAAGGACGACTCTAAAAATTCTAGTTTATTTTCAAAATCATGATTTTGATGCTGTGTCATGATGTTATAAAAATGCATCATTAAAAACACACGTACTCCTGATGAACACTAGGATTTAAAAAAAAATATTACTCTATTAAAATGAAACTTTTGCTACGAAAACTGTATTAACAAACTATATAGAAGATGACGAAAAATGGCGAAATTCAAATATATATATATCTGTATCTACCTACTTCAATTGGAAATTCCATTATTTTAACACTAAATATTTCACTCACAACATACAAGTTAGGAACGTCAAACGACAAATGCTCCAAATTCGTGATCATTTTATGCTTTTATAGCATTCGAAGCAAAAACAATGAAATGTATGCATTGTTTCCTAGTTTTGATGTATTTTTGCGAATCGTAACAATACTCGCAATCGCCGACGCTCGCACGTGCCGAAACAGTTGATCATCTTAATATTTTTCGCAGTAGCAGCTAGTAGCAGCTAATTTTTTTTTAAAAAAAAAAGGTAAGGCTTCGCTCTACAAAAAGCAACTAAAATGAACACTGAATCACACTGCATTCATAATTAAAAAATAAAATGAAAACTGAACATGTTCAATTAGTTATAACTAAAAAAATGTAGGAGATATAAAAGTGTACTTTGGTGTAATTTAAATACGTACTAAGTACATTTAATTCAATTACTCATCATTTATTTTGAAGAATCAAAGCAACAATAAACGATGATTATAATTTTGGATGATTTTAAGATTGAACGTTTCAAAATCATGTAGTCGTATTAAAAATCGACAAATGATAAAAAAAATCACACTAAATCATGGCCCATGTGTCCCATTAACTATTAGTGAATTATTATTTTATTGTGGGTATATTTGTATAAAACCACTTTTTGCCGCGTTTGGCATACAATGGCCCCACTTTGCGCCATTAGATTTCTTCTTACGAGGAACAATACAAAATCTAGTCTATCAAGAAATACCGACTACACAGACAAATATGAAGCAGAGAATTGTTGTATCATATGCTGTAAACCCAGAAGTGATAACACATGCACGTGATTCAGCAGTAAAAAGATTACAACTTTGTATCACCGCAAATGGCGAACACTTCAAATATTTTCTATAAAACAGAAACAGCACAGAAATTGAAGGATACTTTGCGTGGTCTGTCAGGCTTTCCGTTCCAATAACATTTGTTTCTAAACATAAAAGTAGCAGCTAATGAATTGTAGAATTTATTTAAATAAATCCAGCGATAATAAAGTGTTTCTGCAATTTTACAGTCTTTAGTGATCTTTATGATTTTGTATAGTGCTGTTATGCATCATTTTTTCTAGTCATTTTCCTAGCAAGATAAGTAAACACAGTGCCAATCGTACCAGTCGAAACGTCCTAAACCTTGTCTGGATCTATCCCCTCCCATAGCTATTTTCCGAACTTTTAAAAACCTATTACATTTTTCCTTCTGACTCACTTTTCAGTTTCACTTGGCACGTTTAGTATCTTTGTTCGCAGATCTTGTAAACGCCCGTTTAGTTGTGGTTTATGAACGAAAACGTAAGTTGTGAACAAGAGGATTGAGCATTTTCTCGATGGAACCTGCCGTACTATCTCTCTACACCATAACAGTACCATTCTAATCATGACATCGTGATAAAAAAATAGCATTTCCTTAAAAGATATGTCTATGTCCTTGAAATCTCATAAAAAATAACCTTGGAAATATTTATTTCACTGTCTCATGTGCTTCACAAAACAATGTATCTTTGGTCTGGAAAGAGTTTTCATAAGAGATATTCAAGGTGGACAAAGTTTTTGTTCCACCCAGTATATAAGATATAAAGTGAGCTAAAATGAAAATTTTGTATAACGTAATAATAAAGACAATGAAAATACGATTATTCATATATTCGTAAGTATATGTTCGCCGCTGTAGTACCTTATGGAAATCAATATTTTTCAAAAAATATAAATGCCAACGTTATAAATGTTACTTACTGGATAATACAGTGAGTAGGAATATATAATCAGAGAAAGTGATTAGTCCAGCGCTTCCAAGTTTATAGAAAATACTGTCCTCGTCCAGAGCCAATTCTAATTTCGTATGAATATTCTATATAGAAGGTATGCATGTAAATAAATTCATCATTATTTTACGTTATTTACACATTATGTACAGATATTAATGTCGATCTGTATAACAGTGATAGAAATTATAATGCTAAATAAGTTACCGGTAAACGATAAAAGAAAACATTACATTCGTTTCCATTTTTAACGTTTTATGAATTGCATATATTCCTCAACAAAAAAATAATTAAAATTTGTCCAAATTCAACAAATAGTATATAAATATTGTCTTTGATAATATATTGTTTAATTACAAAAGTTGTATTTTATTATATTTTAATTCCGTTTTAATTTTCGTCGTATAATTTTGTCACATGCCGTGAATATGCGACAAATTTAAGTATCTAGGATTAATTTCAACCCTAGGTTTATGAGCAATGTCAGGCAATATGAGTCACGAGTTTGATGCATCACATAAAATATCTCATTTTTCATAAGCAGAACTTCAAGAGATCGTTCATTGCTTTTGGCTTGTTTTCATAGTCTTCGGAATTTTTAAAAATAAATTTTGATTTCTTAATTCCAAAATTACTAGAATTTCCTCTTTATTTCATTCTTTCTGTATCTCATATTTGTAATGAATATTTTTGTAATAGTACTTATAAAACTGACTGTCTAAACAACGCTGTGTTAAGGATTCTTAACGAATCTTAACATCACGGGGTTTACAATCCGTTTTTACCGAACTGAACGTTATAAAGGTGGTGGACGAAGATAGTCCGATAAACATTACAGCAGAGTGGAAGAAAGCTGACCGTACTGCAAAGGGGATAATAGTAGACTATTTAGCGGATTCTCTCCTGAGCTTTGTAACGCCAGAGTAAATTGTAAAAGAAATATTTAAAAATTTAGACAGTACAACGAAAGAAAAAGTTTGGCTACGCAGTTAGCTTTAAGAAAAAGACTATTAAGTTTAAAGTTACAGGGATACATGCCTCTAATGAAGCATTTTACAGTTTTCGACGGTTTAATGTGTGCTCAGTCAATAATGTATAAAGTTCCTCAGTCATATGAGGAAACCGCAAGTAGAAATGATAGGGTTAAATGGAAAAATGCAATAAAAGAGGAAATAAATTCTCTGTTAATTAATAAAACGTGGACTATAGTCACGAAACCGGAAAATAAAAACATTGTTGACTGTAGATGGGTATTCATAATTAAAATTGATGAAAAGGGGAACCCATGTAAATATAAAGCACGCTTAAAGGGGTTTAGTCAAAAGTATTTAGAAGATTATAATGAAACGTTTGCACCGGTTGCAAGAATTTCGAGCTTTAGATTTATCATAGCATTTGCAAATCAGTTTGATTTATTAGTACATCATATGGATGTTAAGACTGCATTTTTAAATGGTAATTTTAGGGGTAACCAGGTGGGCAAATTGAATAAAGCCTTATATGGACTTAAACAAGCAGCAAGGTGCTGGATTGAAGAATTTGATAACGTTCTAACGTTTCTAACGTTCTGTTGGATCAAGCAACGTACAGCACGTGAAAACAACGGTTTAGGTAGAAAACCTGACCTAACCGCAGCAAACCACCAGACAAATATTTTTTACTCGATAGAACATACACTCACACTCATTCTCCTACGTGACTCTCTGATAAAAGACAGTTTTATAGACAGTGGAGCAACTTGTTCCCTCGTTAAAGAAGGGGTAGCTCGACGGGCTAATTGCAAAATAGACCCATACGCGACCACCATTAGAGGGTTGTCAAGCTCTGTTGCCACAACGATCGGGAGTACGACAGCTGTGATTCAAACAGAAGGGAGTAACGGTCGAACTGGGCCAGTTTGTTGTTCCGGAGGATGCCATTCCGTTCGACTTAATAGTGGGCAAAAACGTATTAAGCAATGGAGGAATACGGATCGTCACCAATCCCGACGGCACGACGAAGCTGCAGCGCGTCTCGGTGATCAAAGGGGGTGGACAAGAAGCCGATCTACTTTGCTGCGTTGCAGAGGGATTAGAAGGGAAGACACGCGAGGACCTGATGGAAGTACTAAAACGATACGAACACATGATAGTAGCAGGAAGCAAGGTCCGAAGCGTAAGTACAGGGGAGATGCGAATCGTTACCAAGGAGGATCGCGTGGTGAGTTATCGACCTTATAGACTATCCATTACGGAAAGAGAGAAGGTTCGGGAAATCATAGCGGAGTTACTCGAAAACAACATTATTCGGGAGAGTACGTCGTCTTACGCGAGCCCTATTATCCTGGTAAAGAAAAAGAATGGCGAGGATCGCATGTGTGTGGACTTTCGGGCTTTGAATAGATTCACGGTGAGGGACAGGTTTCCGTTACCTTTAATTGAAGATCAATTAGACCGGTTAGGAAAAGCGAAATATTTTATAACACTAGATATGGCGTCAGGATTTTATCAAATTCCAATTGCGGACGACTCAATAGAAAAGACAGCATTTGTAACACCTGACGGACATTATGAGTTCCTTAGAATGCCGTTTGGGCTTTGTAATGCACCTGCCGTATTTCAGCGCGCGATAAACAAAGCTCTGGGAAAATTGAGAGACACGATAGCATTGGTTTATATAGACGATATACTGATTCTGGCAGAAACGGTTCAAGAGGCGCTCCAACGTTTAGATATTGTTTTAAAGGCACTCGACGATGCGGGATTGTCATTGAATCTAAAAAAATGTTCCTTTTTTAAAACACACAGAGTATCTGGGCGGGAAAAATTAAATCTCTGTTAGAGGCACCGGTACCGACCAACGTGAAGCAGGTTCGACAGTTTATGGGACTTGCGAGCTATTTCCGCAAATTCATACCTGAATTTGCGATGCGGACGGCGTGCATTACAAGGCTAACTAGGCAAAACGAACCGTGGAATTGGAGTAATGAACAGGAGGAAGCGCGAAGATATATTTTACAACGCTTGAGCACAAAACCTCTTTTGATCATTTTCGACCCTCGAAGGGAGACGGAGCTACATACCGATGCTAGTTCTATTGGCTATGGGGCAATTCTGTTTCAAAAGGCGGAGGGTGAACTTAGAATCATAGCATATTATAGTAGACGCACGACACCCGAAGAATCACGTTACCACTCCTACGAATTGGAGACATTAGCGATTGTGAATGCACTGAAGCACTTCCGCGTCTATCTTCTAGGGATCAATTTCAAAATTGTAACCGATTGCAATGCTATAAAAGCCACCAGTACAAAAAGGGATATCGTGCCGCGAATTGCTAGGTGGTGGGTCTTTCTGCAGGACTTTGTAGCGGCTAGCTCGCACAACAAAAGAAACATTTGGCGTGCAAATGCTAGCATGGTTTACGACAAGCAAAGTCGAAAAGGCCACTTTTGAGAAAGCCGTTTCTTACGCGTTTTATTACCCGGTATGTTTTTCGTCGAAGGTTTCAACAAATTGATATAAAATGTTTTCTTTCGATAAATTATCGAATCGTCCATCTCACGTTCAATTTGGTTTGGGTCATCACCACCTTCGTCATGGAAATTACTGTAAATATTGTTATTGTAACGCGTTGATTAAACAAAATATTTTGTTATTCCTAATTCTAAGTTTCATTCTCGGACGAAACAAAGACTCACTACAGTACCTTGAGAGATGGATTTCTGAATCTTCCAGATCTAGTCTACGCCACAAGTTTCAGTTAAATAAATATCTGCATAATTATGAGAATAATAAAGGATATTACAGTATCATTTAATAGAGAAATATTCGTTACAAAATGTGTAAAGAGTTGGTTGATATGGCTTCTTAGGAAGCAGCACATAACTATGACTATGGAATTCCCATCATATCAAACTGTATTACAAGAGAGTGTTTCCTAATTCTGGTCAACATTTAATACACATGTAATTACAAATCGACCCAAAAAATCGAATAAAACATAATCTAATAAATAAAATATTAGTTTTATACGGCTAGATTATTAGTCGTACAATTAGTAGTGAATAATTAGTCTATCAATATTATCCTTCTTTTTTGTTGCATACATTGCTTGAATATGTTCACGACTCGTCACTAGTTGCAGTTAAAACATGTTTATTTCTTTGTAATGATGAATATTCTAATATAACTAGTATTTTCTAATGTGACAGGTGAAGGACATTATGACATTATGAGAATTTTAAATATTTCAGAACTATGTGAAAATATTTTTATGTCGAATTCAGTCTTTGCAAAGTAAGCCCAGAAAGATCCAGCCTTAGACGTTCAAAAATTAAATATTTTTATTAATAGGATATTTGTTTAAAATAATTAACTCACCTTTGGATCGTAGCGTTTGTATTTATCCAATCCAAGACCTAAAAATAATAATATAATTTAAAAACATTGAAAATTTTTCTCTAAATAATCTATAGGGTATAATAATACTCATGGAATAATCACTGCAGCTATGTCGTACCAACTATGCAGAAAATGTGTTTGCAAACAAGGAAATCGGTCTTTCTTAGATTCGATATATGTACGTACAAAGCAGGGGGCTTATACTAAAGTGGAAAATAAGGAATACCGAAATATGTATCTTATATTTACCAGGTTTTAGATATCATTATAATCTTGAAGATTCCTTTTAAAGCGGGTTCAAAACCCGATACTATTTTCTTATCGTCATTATATTTTTTATACATTATACTTAGCAGCCTTTTATTACGAATCCGATATTAGGGTCATTCCATAGCAAATTGATCACTTTTGTACTCGTTTTCAGTGATTTCGTTCAAATTTAAATATGTTATAATCCATGTGATATTAGGGGGATGGAGGCGATACATCATTTTGCTGTTTTTAAAAATTTGTTTAAAAAAGATTAGAGACCCTCAAAGTTAGCAATTTTTACTGATTTTCACGAAAACTACTTTCACAAAAGAATATTTATTTCCGTAACCGTTCAAGATAGGATCTTTTAATTTGTTTTAGTTTTAATCGTAAAGCATTGCTCTTTTTCATTAACTTTTTTTTATTCGTAAAATCATTTTTGTTGAAAAAATCAATTTTTCGACGTTACATAGTTAGTACTTTTTTATAACGATTGTACAGCTGAATCGATTGATGTATTAAAAAATACCTCATTCCATTTAAAAAAACAAAGTTGACCTTTATATGACCTTTACGCGTCCACTCACGAAAAAACTAATAACATCAGAATATGCTCCACTCGAACCATTCAAGCCTCCGCTGAAACATTTTTTGTTACGAGTAACAATAGCGAGAAAATCAAGATGTCAAAATCGGGTGAGACACCCTGTATGTCTGCTATCCCCACCACTACGTTAGACGCTAAGGAAGTTCGTCGTCACTATTGTCAATTTCGATGCACTCAATTATGCTCGATCTGGCCACACTGGGCCACACTGGGCCACACTGATCATCCCCACCACTCCGTTAGACACTAAGGAAGTTCGTCGTTACTAATGTCGATTTCGATGCACTCAATTATGCCAGATCTGGCCACACTGGGCCCGACTTTGTTAGTTGAATGCTAATGCCCGAACGACTCGGCCAAATAAATACATGTGCTTCTTCTTGGCTCCTCTTAAAGGAGGACTGATCAGGACACTTGGAAAAAGGATGGCCGTACTACCATGGGTGCTCTCACGACCCTGGTTTTCTGTCAGGTTACAGAATTGTATTGGCTTTTGCCGTAAACAGTCACAAAATACACTTTTTAGAAAGTTCACCTTGTGTAGATTTTTATCAAATGCCCGACCGCTACTCTGACGTAATCCCATCTTTCTTGTTATACATATATTATATTTCACGTAGAATCAGCCTTTGCTCGGTTTTACTATGAATTTCGGCTTACCTTGTATAAAATAAACATTTGTTATTCTCAACGGTCAGATCAAATACTACTAGAATTGGCTTCCGGGTTGGAGCCGCGTTCAGAAGACGAGAGAGTCCGACGTTTCGCCAGCATTGCAGCTAGCTTCATCAGGGAATCAAATAATCTCTGATACTGAAGAAAGTATCAGAGGGGACCCTAACTTATACCTGTGTCCATCGTTGCGGATCAGTGCACCATCCAATAGATTTTAATTGGGCAGCTGGCCAATTAAAAAACTGGGAGGAGGCTGTTCCAGATTGGATTGAGATATAGACCTTTATCCCGATTGATGTTGTTCGGGTATTTTTCGGATTTCTACCGCTTCACGGTATTTCCTGGGGAAATAAGCGTTTTCCTTAGCCAGGACTTTGACATCTTGGAAAAGGATCTTGTGGCCAGTCTCAATCTGGTGTTCGGCTACAGCTGACTGTACGTAACCCAATCTGGAGCATCTTTCGTGTTCCTTTAGGCGAGTATTGACACTCCTCCCAGTTTCACCGATGTACACCTTACCGCATGAGCAGGGTATTCTGTATACAACTGGGCAGGTAAGGGGTGGACACGGGTCTTTGGCAGAGGTCAAGATTTGACTCACCTTTTGAGCCGGTTGGAATATCGTTTTAATATTATATTTTTTGAGAACCCGCGAAATCCTGTCTGTTATTCCCTGTAGATAGGGTAAAAACGCAATAGATGTTAGGGTGTTTTGTGAAGGTGGGGATTGTGTATTTGTGTTAACTGGTGTATTGATTATTTTGCGCATCGTGCGGTTGATCTGAGGTGTAGTGTAGCCGTTCTTAATTAGAGCTGTTTTTACGTTGGTGAGTTCTTGTTGAAGGGAGGATGGTTCTGAAATTGAGACTGCTCTGGTGATTAAGGAAGAAATGACCGATACCTTTTGGGATGGATGATGGTGTGAAGAAGCTTGTAAATATCTGTCTGTGTGAGTAGGTTTTCGGTATACTTTATGTCCAAGAGTGCCGTCGTGTTTTCTGTTTACCAGGACATCCAGGAAAGGGATTTGCTGGTTCTTCTCTATTTCGACTCTCTCGTCTTCTGAACGCGGCTCCAACCCGGAAGCCAATTCTAGTAGTAATCACTATGGCCGCGAAAGCCTAAAAAGTATTGGTCAGATCAAATGTTAATTATTTGTTCAAGATCTTATTTATTTGATCAGTAACGCACACCTCCGGTCACAACACTCTGCGTGACTGCCATGATGGGGCACGATCACACAATTTTCCACGTTTATACTCGTCGAAATGAGTTCGATAGTAATTCATTGAATTCGTAATACACTTGTACTATAATGTTATGTATAGAAAATACAGCATTTCATTCGAAGAAACGAACTTGATGTTGAAATCTCCGCCATCTTTTCACTGACAAGAAAACTGTTTTTGTCACATATATTTTTCTAATATTTTTCATCGTTTATGAAATATTCTGGATTTCAAAATAAAACTGACATTTTGTATAATATAATCCTCACTTAGTTTTAGTTTATGAATATTTTGTTAAATTTTTAAAAAATATGGTCTGGCCGCCGAAAACGGCAAACGACAAATATTTACATTATACAGATTCAGAATCGTTTCAGGACCTACATAGAATCTAAAAAATGACGGTTATACAACCTACATGAGAGCTGATGAAAGAACTTTAACGTAAATCGATATATGTAGTTCGACTTTCAAGTTCTTTATAACAGTTTCGACTAGGACTTTTATACATATAACTTTTCAAGCCTCGCTTTTTACAGTACGTGGTACGCTCGACTACAGGTTGAAATAAAGAACAGGAACCCCAGAGATAAAAGCTCTACTCTCTCTGGTTAAAGAAAATTAAGCGAACTCGATTCAATATTTAAAAATTGCAATATAATGCGCCTAAATAATATTTTATAACTAAATGTAAAGCATTTTAAATAACAAACAGCCACTACTGATTCCTCTCAAATTATTGTACATACATACATAAATGTATACGATATATAGTACATTTTTTTAAATGTTACCATCTGGCTGTTTAACACCAGGCGTTATGGATCTCAGGAAGTCGTCAGGTGTCATGAAGATTTCATGAATGTCGTTGTTGGTCACTTGTAGAGTAGCAAAATATCGAAATACTTTGTCAGGTGTGGAATAATGCCTCATTCGATTTTCATATTCTATTATCTGTATTGCAAATATTTGTTATGTATTTCATTGGTAACAACAATACCATATCTTAAAATTACCAAATATAATTCAAGGCACGTATGAATTAAACAATTAATATAGAAAGGATATATTACATGAGTTTATTTAAAAATTATAAACATATTTAAGAGGCTACATGTACCTAGAAGTTGGGGGAAAATACTTTTCTTCCTATACTCTTTATAGTTTTGGTTATAAAAACCAAAAAGGAAATAACATTATTTATTCAAGATTTTTCCTATATACTATTAACTATGTCGAAGTATAAAAGTAACATTTAGTAATGAAAAGAAATTGAATTTACTAAAATTAATGTACTAATAATAAGAAAATTGAAGACACGAATACATCAACCACTGTTTTGAGGAAAATTGTTGTCTTTGTGTATCTTCTTCAATTTTCTATTAATCTTTTTAATTTTTCTTCTGGAAATTGTTTATACATATACTTTAATAAAACTTATATTTTTAGCGTTGTCAGTTAACTTGCTTTTTTGTATAAAGTGTTGAAAACAGTAGATTTGTTTTCTTTTGAATATTATCGGGTATTCTATCATGACTTTTGTAACTATAGCCAATTTATTTCTACAATTATATTTGTCGAGAAAACATGTTTATTAAAGGATCTAGTTGAATAAGCGTGGTGAAAGTGCCCCCAAACCAAAGTGAACGGGGTTAATACCATTCGATAGGTGGGTCGAAGAAACCCCTTTTCACAAAGTTTCGACCCGGTATCTCTACTACAGGCGTAATTACGGGATGAAAATCATTTTTTGATTTATCCTTAATATCTCCCGTTTTACTCAATTAAAAATTATGAAAAAAATCATGATTATTCTACCGATTGATGTATGTATGATGTATACAGGGTGTTCGGCCACCTCTAGCAAAAATTTTAATGAGCGATAGTAGAGGCCAAAATAAGACGAAAATCAAGAATACTAATTTGTTGGTGGAAGCTTCGTTAAAAAGTTATTAACGTTTAAAGTGCCGCTCTTACTGAATTTTTTTCTCGAAAATACGCAAGATTTCGGGGGTATGTCTATTCACCAAAAATGACTGTAATTGAACCCTACAACCGAAAATAATTTTTCCACAACGATTTGCAATTTTTTTTCTCCGTTGAAAAATTTAGGCACCTAATTGGATTTTCAGTAAGGAATTTTTTTCTCGAAAGTGCGTACTATTTCGGAGGTATGTGTAATGATAAAAAATGATTGTAATTGATCCCCGCAACCGAAAATAATTTTTTTAAAACGATTTGAAAAATTTTTTTTCGCCGAAAAATTTCAGCACCTACTCGATTTTTTTTCTCGAAAGTAGATAGGATTTCGGAGGTATGTGTACTCACCAAAAATGATTGTAGTTGATCCCCGCAACCGAAAATAATTTTTCCAGAACGATTTGAAATTTTTGAATTTAATTGTTAATAACTTTTTAACGAAGCTTCCATCAACAAATTAGTATTCTTGATTTTCGTCTTATTTTGGCCTCTACTATCGCTCATTAAAATTTTTGCTAGAGGTGGCCGAACACCCTGTATAGCCGAATAAGGGGGTCAAATGTGGCCCCAAACCGAATTGAACGAACGATGGGTCATTCGATAGCTTATCCAAAAAAAACCCTGTGTGCCAATCTTTAACTTGAAATCTCGACCGTGGGGGTAGTAATGGGGTGAAAACAAAAATCATGTTTTTGTACAATTTCTCTTGACCTATTGAGTAAAAAAATGTAAAAAAATTCAGAGACATTTCGGGTACCGGGGCACATATTTTGGGAGATTTTCAGATTTTTTGATTGAAGAACCAGGTAGTAAAAGATAAAAAACCGTAAAAAATGCCGAAAAATGTCGATTGTGTATTGAAGGAGGTCCGGAAATACTTTTATACTTTTACAGTAAACAAGTATTGCTATTACTATTATTCTCAATTTTTTTCAGATTTTTCATTTTGGTGCGCCGCAGTGCAAAAAAATAAAAACCGATTTTTTCCTCATTTTCTGCATATTAGAGTAACTTACACGTCGAATTTTTATGCATTCTTCAATATATGAGTGTTTCGTAGACTGTTTATTGTTTCTACACTAAGCAGAATTACATACTTTGTTTCAATTGAGAAAAATTGAGAATAATAGTAATAACAATATCTGTTTACTGTAAAAATATAAAAGCAGTTCTACAATCCTTTCAATGCGTAATTGGCATTTTTTGCGGTATTTTTATTTTTTACTACCTGGTTCTTCAATCTAAAAATCTGAAAAACTTCCAAAATATGTGCCCCGGTACCCGAAATGTCTCTGAATTTTTTTACATTTTTTTACTCAATAGGTCAAGAGAAATTGTACAAAAACATGATTTTTGTTTTCACCCCATTACTACCCCTACGGTCGAGATTTCAAGTTAAAGATTGGCACACAGGGTTTTTTTTGGATAAGCTACCGAATGACCCATCGTTCGTTCAATTCGGTTTGGGGCCACATTTGACCCCCTTATTCGGCTATACATATACCTGTAAGGAAGTTGACTTCCTCGAGACTAGTTTCTAAAGGGTCCTGCGCGCGCATGGCAGAAGAGGAAGTCAGGTTTTTGGAAACACGTGGGATTGCTGTGAAAAGTGGAAAAGTGAGACGATCGAGAATAAACATCGAATGTAGATTCTTTTGCAGAGAAGCTCTTCGTGGTGTTCTTGACTGGCCCCTTTTGGTATTCCCCATAATTGGAAAATTATAATATTATAAAATTATAAAATTATAATATTATAAAGTTATAAAATTATATAGTTATAAAATTATAACATTATATACCCTTTGATAAACTGTTCACATTTTCTACAACGGCATTGCATTTTAAATAAATAAATAAGCAGTAAAACAATCAAAATCATTTCAATGTTAAGCGAGGTATAAATAATTAAATGGATATTAGAATTAAATTCAAGTAAAACACATAAATTAATATTAATCAGATATTAAATGGTGATACAAAACAAATACATAAAAAAAAAAAGAATAAAACTATACCGTCTGGTTGTCTCATGCCGGGTGTAATCGCTCGAAGAAAGTCATCAGGAGTCATAAAAATTTCGATACCGTCTAAAGTAGATACTTTTACGGTCGCAAAATAACGAAAAATTTTGTCAGGAGTCGAATATGCTCTCAAACGATTTTCATATTCTGTAATCTGTAATCATTTATTATTAATATATCATGTGAACACAAATAATAAAAAATAAAAGAACATTTATTTACCTTAAATAAAAATTACTTTCTAAGAAATTTTTTATATTTCATTCAAGTACAATACTAAATGTTGTTTTTACATAGAAGTGAACTGTTATAATTGTTTAAAATATTCTTGTAAAAGTAACTCTTGATAAAGAGCAGACAACAGTATTAGCATCTATAGAGTACTATCGCAAACATGAAACCGTTTATTCAGGATTAATTTTTCCCCTCAATATACAGAAATATTAATTAAATAACAAATAATAATACAACTACTGCTAAAGTAATGAAAATTTCGCAACTTTCTGTATCTACATAAAGTACACAATAAATATTATATCAAGATATACGATTAAAATACAACTCTTACCCGGAAACATAAAACTGCAAGACTAATAGAGTATAGCCGAATAAGGGTGTCAAATGTGCCCTTGAACCAAATTTGACATACAATGGATCCATCGATAGAGCATCAGAAAAAAAACATTCTGTGCTTTTGATGGTGGGCAAACACACTTATGGCCGGTAGTGTAAGTCTATTGGCTTATTAATTATCTTATTTTGTAATTAGAACATAACAAAATTCAAATATTGTTTTTAGTTTAAAAACACCTGAACTTCGAGGAGAAATTTTTAAAATAAAAATTTGTTGTATATTTGAAATATTGTAGAGTTATACTTCCATCCATTTGTCAAATGAAAATAAAGCAATTCTTTGATATTCTTTGTGTAAAACTATCTTCGCAACGGTTAATGTATTAACGTTATATGTATTCATAACATCAGTAACTTCCAATAAGATTTATCGTTAGGTAGTCGCTTCGTCGCACAGTGGAGTATTCGGACCGAAAAGCTGGCCAAAATACAACTTTTCAAATCTTGTGTAAGATGTAAAATTTTTGTTGTGTGAGTTAATGGAATATATGAACAACGTTGTATCAGTACTATTTTTTTTATTTTTGTACTCATGATAGTACTAATTTTTCTCTTCATCCGTTTCTAAAATACCGCTCGGTTATTAGTATCGTTTATGTGTGACGAAGATGTTATGTTTATTTGTTCTTTACAGACACTTTTTAGGCAAGTATACATTACATTTTCCAGCATTTTTCACTTTCTTATTGTTTCTGGGCTTGCAATTATTCAAGTTTGAAGATGATCTATGATTTAGTGTAATTTTCCCATTTGTAGTATTTTCATGAGAGACATTTCTAGATTTCTAAATGAGTCTTGATGGCCTTTTTGGCGTCATTGGAATCGGTAAAGGTTTCTATTCTCAATGCAAAAATAATTGGCTGCCAAGATGTGCTAATAGAGCTTTTACATTATTTTTGTATTGCCATGTATGGAGCAAACATTGTGTATCACGTCGCGTTTTTTTCGTTTAACAGGTTATTTATGTTAGCTTTAAATAAAGTTGTTACTGATTTATCATTTGAAGGAGTTTGCTCTTCCCGCGAATAGGAGGTGGCGCCACCACGGAGGACAATTGTTTTCAGATAGCGATCCATAGACCTCACTAACGTATAGATCCTTGAGCGAGACAGACGTGTATGCGGTTACAGTTATAGTGCGACCCGCGTTATTGTGTTCTACGTTAAACTTATATCGTTTTGTATGATTCAATTTATCTCTTTCTTTTTCCTTATAATATACAGGGTGTTTCCTTAACATTTGCCCACCTTTTTTCGAGCACTTCTGTTAATCTGACAAAAAAATGTTTCCAACAAATGTTTATCAATGTCTTATGTACTACAAGATAAAATACTGAATTTAAAAAAATTATTATTTTTTCAATAAGAAATCGAGGTCACCTTGCTTTTTTTAAATAGCATTGCATATTTTTTACTTCATATTATTATAGCTTGCGTTAAGACGAATTCAACAACCTGCTATACCATGGCCTTTGGATGACCTTGAACTGAGAAAATTGACTCCAATCAGCAAAAACGATCAAAGATGAAAATTGCTTTATTTTAAGATACATCAATTGCCAAATTGATACGTTTATTTCAAAAAGTTATATCATTAAATAAACTCAACGAAAACAAGGGTACCAGGTCGGCTATGAGGATGAATCTTGAAAGCTTAGATAATCCATTTCATAATAACTTGTGACAACATTGTTACAACCTATGTTCAAACTACAATCCATCTTCTACAGCACAGAACTCCGCTCTCTGTACTACACTTCTAGTTGTCACATCAATTAACACATTCCGATCTATGTTACTACATGACTGTACAATGCGTTCTCGAAGATCTTGAACATTGTCAATTGGGTTTTCGTAAACAATGGACTGCAGATGTCCCCAGAGATAAAAATCTAAGGGGGATATATCTGGAGAACGCGGTGGCCAGCGAATTGGACCATATGTTCCTATCCAACGATTTCCGAACTTAAAATCGAGATATTGACGAATTATGCGGGCATTGTAGGCAGGGCATCCATCTTGTTGTAAATACATGCTGTTTCTGATATTGAGAGGAATATTATCTAATAAGCCTGGGAGTTTTTCTCGCAGGAAGTTAAGATATCGCTGCTCTGTTAAGCTTCCTTCGATGAAATAAGGTCCAATTAGATAGCCATGTAAAATTCCGCATCGGACATTGACACTAATTCGAACTTGAAAATTACGTTCTCGTATCCAGTGTGGATTTTCCACAGCCCAATGATGTTGATTATGACGATTAATGATTCCGTTATTTGTGTCGGATGACACGCATGAATCATAGTATTTTTCTCCTTGAGTCACATCGCTGAGTAAGGCCGTGCAAAGTCAGTGTACCCTAGATTGTAAACACTAGGACGCGGTCTTACTCATCAACACTAGGACTCAGCCGTGTGCTACTGGAGTAGTCATCCGGCTCCCCTTCCACTCTTGTACAAACCGATAAATAGGGACAAAACCCCGAAAAAGGGCCTTCTTGTACTCAGTCGAATCTGTAAGCTCGTCGATATTAAACAAGTCCACGCCATTAACTCGTGTTCTTCCTTGGACTCCAACATTTGTAAAACATGATTCGTCGGTCCACAGAATTTTCATTAATATTTCAGGATCGTCTTCCAAAATAGTAGATAGCCACGCACAGAATGTCAACCATCGAGGTCCATCAGTATCGCGTAGTTGCTGGACTAACGTCATTTTGAATGGATGATACTTATACCTCTTCAAAATAACATGAACACTTTTTACGGACATGTTCAATTCGTTCGATACATGTCGAATAGACGCATACGGATGAACTTCAAAATAACTCAATACCAGTATAGCGTTCTCCTCGTTAGTAACAGTTTTCTTACGTTCGGTAGTATTCTTTTCGCCAGGAAATTTACCATAGCGAAGTAGTAATTTCTCAAGATAACGAAAAGTATTCGCGGAAGGACAAACTCTATTCAAGAACCGTTCTCTGTATAAAACTACTGCTTTGCGTGCATTTTTCCACATTCGTTGAAGACAGTGACATGTCATATCGTTCTCTTCTTGAAAACTTATTCATTTTTATACGATAAATTATAAGAAGGCACACGATACTACGACTGGGTTACGACAGGAATAATAATACCTTCCTCACGTTTGACCTTTGTTTCACCCGCTCGTCATTTTGTTTCTCTCCCTGGCTATTGTTGCCCGCCTTAGGACGTTCACGCTCGCCCCACATACACACATGCATACACTCTTTCTTACAATATTAAACTGCCAGCAAGTTAGTAAATGGTTGAAAATCTAATAACAGCCTTATGATGAAAGTAAACAGTAGATTATCGTAAAGCCGCAACGGAATTCTGTGGCATACAACATTTTGATTGCGCATATCGTTTCTGCTGATTGAAGTGAATTTTTTCAGTTCAAGGTCATCCGAAGGTCATGCTATAGGAGGTCGTTGAATTCGTCTTAACACAAGCTATAATAATATGAAGTAAAAAATATGCAATGCTATTTATAAAAATCAAGGTGACCTCGATTTCTTATTGAAAAAACAATAATTTTTTTAAATTCAATATTTTATCTTGTAGTAAATAAGACATTGATAGACTTTTGTTGGAAACATTTTTTTGTCAGATTAACAGAAGTGCTCGAAAAAAGGTGGGCAAAAGCTAAGGAAACACCCTGTATAGCGGTCTTCATATTTTTGTTGTTTTTTTTGGGCCGTCCAGTTCGTTTTTTATATTCAAAAGTATTAGTAACTGTTAACTTTTTCACTGTATCATGCACTGTTGATTTCGGAATTTTAGTTTTTATCGCAATTTCCCGCACAGAATAGCCTTCTTTAGCAAGAGTAATAATACTCGAACGCTTTTGAACAGATAATTCTTTTCTAGAACTGCTCATACTGATCACATGCACTGTCAAACTTGAAATGAAGAAGAAACAGCGACTTCGCTTTCGTAGCTCCATGCTTATCTCTGTTTAGTCTAGAACCCCTCTTACAATGTTTATAAACTCTTTATAATGTTCCAAATATAGTCCTCTGATGGTTTTGAACGTCCAAAGCGACCAATATATCCCAACATGTACCGAACGGAAACCTAACGAAATAAGTGTTTACGCATGCAGTTCCTTTTTTAAACGTTTATTTAAATAACTAATATTTATTTCTATTTTTATATACCGAAATTATCGTAAAATACCTAAATATTACAAGATTAACAATAAAAACAAAGAGAGTTGTATCTGTGTTTTAATCATTCTTTTACTGAAAACGAGTATGTGTACGGTGACTTATGGACGGGAGTGTACGTGTATACATAGCGATCCTTGAGTGTAAATATACATAAGCGAACGGTTAAGAAAGTGAGAAATTGAAACTCGAAAGTGTTCATCCACCTTCCAGTTTGCATCAATAACTCTCATTAGTTGCAAAATGCAATATTTTAACAATGTTAAATTACTACCAGACATATTACGTCTCCTGCAGTGAAACTGAACAGCGAATACCTCGAGATCAAGGATTGTGTCAGATATCTTGGTCTGTACGTGGATAAAAGACTTACATGGAAAAACCACATGAAAAAGAAAAGAATGCAACTTAACCACAAAATGAGAACCATGTATTGGGTCCTTGGTCGAAAATTGAAACTTACACTATACAATAAACTACTCCTGTATAAGGTCGCTATTATTCCAATTTGGACATATGGAATACAACTCTGGAGATGCGCCAAGAGAAGTAACATAGATATCATCCAAAGGTTTCAGAACAAAGCATTGAGAACTATTGCTGCCGCCCCATGGTACATGGTAAAAAAAAAATAGTCATTTTTTATGTTTTCTTAAAATCGGAACTTCTAGCCTCGGTCTCCCCTAGATGTAGACAATATAGATGATTCAAGTGAAGAAGCAACAAAAACAGATGATACAGACGAATTTTAAAGATTTTGACTTATAAATATTAACAATAAAAAAAAAATGTATAATACAAAAATTATTTAAGTAAATAAACTATTTCTAGTATTTTTTTATTCCTATTCATTTCCTAATTAAATAATATCACACTGTGTCATTTCTAATCGTAATTCGTTGCATCGAAGTGGTCAAAATAGTTTTGGCCAGCTTTTCTGGGCAAATACTCCACTGTGTGTCGTTGCAATGGTGATGATGGTCATTTTCACGACTTAGGAAAAAATACCAACATGAGTAGCAAAATACGGTACATAGCAAGAATTAGCGCTCGAATAAAATTGGCTAAGAGGTAGCCGAAAAATTGGCAACGTCGCTACTACCAACCTAAAGTAATCCGACAATACACTATTCGACAACCGAACATCACGTCGCCACATTAATCGCTTTACTGGTTCCAAGAAGAGTCACTCTAATAGTAGGGATAAAATTTTGACATTTACCATTACATCCTTTTTCACATTTAAGGTGGGAACATTATAATAATGATAGAAATCGCGATAGTAATATCTAGTAACCCCCACAACATGTCTTCCCTTTCCATGAAGTATGGCTATGTACTTTTGAGGTACTCCGTATATAATTGTGCTCGTATTGTAATAAAGTGTCTAATTTAGACTTAAAAACATTTAAAATTAAATTACCTTAAAATAGAAACTACATATAAATTAGAGAGGAAAATCAATCAATTCACCTTTCTATCTCGAAAGCCGATTTTTTCTTTTGCCTTCTTTTTACTTTGTTCTTCTTCTTGTCCACGAACCAAGTCTTCATTATTACCACGTGTGTCTTCAGCAACAATCTCTGCTGCATAAACGGTAGACAAATACTTTCCTCTCAAACTGAAATAAAATTTATAAAACAATTTGTAACTATTAATAGAAAGAAATTCGAAAAAGCATTACTACTAACTCCTTAATGGTAAAACTGTATTATTAGATCATTAATTGCTCCGAACAGATTGTTCTGAACTGAACTTTCTATACTACATTTATAATTCTTTGTAACGTAATAGTGTAATAGTTTTTAATGGATTCTGCACATAATATTTTTAATTACAAATTAAATTCATTACAAAATTCATTTTTTGATTTTTAAAATTTTATTTATATATATGTATAGAATTATATAAAATAAATTATTTGATATATATTTTAAAAAATAAATAAAGCATCTACTATCGAATTTGAAGTTTGTTTTAGCAGTTTTTATTATTAGAATAGTTTCATAGTATATAACTTATATAATCATTTATACATACAACGTTCAGATTGTAAAATAAAATTCGTTAAAATTAATTAATCATGTGTACAATTCGTAATGAGAACGCATAAAGATATGTGTAAGTACATACATTGCTCAAAATGGTATCTTATCAAATGATTTTTTTGTAAAAATGTGATACATTAAAATTCTCAAATAATTTGTAAGATATGTTTTATTTTAATATATAGCATTTGTAATATTTTAAACAAATTGTTTTTATCTTTTAATTTGTAAGCTTTCAAGTTTTCTTTTACATGATTCCAAAGGCATCAATTGGATTTACATCTGTACTTTGGGGTAGCCATTTCATTACACAAATTTTCTTTTTTTGTAAAATAGAAAGCAATTTCCAATCATTACCTTGTTCAATATTTGGCATTTTGTCTAACGCACGTAGTAACATTTGTGTTTATAAGATATTTGCATATTCATATTTGTCTATAATTCCGTGTATCTTGTACAAGGGGCTAATATTGCGTCGAAAAAAGTAATTCCACACAATCACACTACCTCCACCATGTTATAGATCTCAAACTTTTTTTTCTTTTTTACAAGGAATCCATAAAATCCCACTCAATTGAAACAATTGAAACTTACTTTTGTCATAAAAAATTATTTATGTCCTATCAGAAACCATTTATTGAAAATAATCTCAAATAAATTAGACTCTAGTCTTTTTTACAGATACTAATGATTTCTTAATGCTCTGTCCTACATAAAGATTAAATGATGCTAAATGACGATTTCTTTAGAACCAACCTGTGTTTTATAAACACAACAGAAAATGATCTAAGCGAACATTAGAGCTTAGTTTAGGGAAAGCATTTGGAAAGTAAAGCTAGACTTTAAAGTTTCTCAGTGGTATTTGTAAAATTTGTAATATAATAATAGTATGTATTTAGCAAATAATAGATTGTGAAATGTAAGAATAATTATTTTTTGCATAATTAGTTATTTTTTTAGAAATATTGACATAAAATATTACATATGCAACTGTAAACATAATTTTTCTCATGTTATTAACAGTAATTAATGTCCATTTACATCCTGTTTTTACTTATTTCATTTTGAAATGATATACTTAATTAATTTATGAAAAAAAGAAAAGACAAGTTTTAGTCAAACTTCGTCTAATTTGCAGGATTAACATGTTTTGCATTTGTATTATTAATGCAACAATTGAAATTATATATCACATATATTCCTAAAGATTCATAGTTAATGATTTTGTTTTAATTAAATAAAATGTATAATAAAAAGAAGTATTTGATCAATTCCATGGATTACTGTATGTATCATTTTTAAATAACATTGAAAAGGAATATAAATCTTTTGATTGTCATATAGTAATGATTTTGTATCTATACATTAGATTCATGAATAATAATATAAGCTATAAAATTAAGCAGTAACTTCATTACTTGCTAAAGTTTATCTACTAAACTAGACAAATGATGTATTTTCACCAATATAATATAAATTCATTGAATAAGTTACGATTTGTTTTCTTAAGGTTGCTTAAATGAAAAATATAAAAATATATTTTAATACGTAACTTACCCTTCCCAATCGATGAAGCTTAGAACGAAACAAGCTGGGATGAAAAATGACAAAAATGGGTAATTCACTTCACGTGTTTCTTTTCCATAAGAAAACTTTGTAAAATTCCTTGGAATTGGATATTGAAAGTTATTAATATTACGAATTAACAAAACCGATTTTTTAATACTTTTTCTCGAAGAATTTAGTCTTAAACTGCACGTAACCGCATTAATAAACATTTTGAGCATATACTTGTAAAAGGTTAGAAAAAAAGTACGTTTGAAGATCTCTATATAATTCCAACGAATTACTGCTTGTTTCAAAATGAAACTTTATCGATTGTAATAAATTATAGCTTCGATTTTCACTTATTTTTTAATAGCACTTGTTTTTCCATTTCATTCAATCTTAATTTTAGTATTTTAAATGTACGTTTGAATTTGTTTTATTCACCACACTTTTCGATAAATACAGATGACTGGCATACAGTACAGAGGTGCCAGAAATGCACCGAAGGCAGTGTGGCCAGATCGGGCAAAATTGAGAGCATCAAAATCGTCAATAGTGACGACGAACTTCCTTAGCGTCTAACGGAGTGATGGGGATAGCAGCATATACTACCGCACGAGCAACGTGTACGTGAACTTCGCACAACTTCGGCACTTCGCACAACTTCGGGAAATCGATAAAGAACGCTAATGTGAGCCTTACCTTCTTGCTCTTGTAAATGAGAAACAGCTGAAATACGACCTCGCGATAATCAGCATACGATTCCAAGTCTCGACTGCCCTAGCATTTTTACTTTCCGACCTATGTAAGGTATAAGGAAAGTATCATAATGAAAAAAAATTTCGAAAATTTTTTTTGGCGGAAATATACTAATAATATATTAATATATAATAATTTGGCGGGGGTTTTAGGACCCCCTGAACATATTGTGACTATTAAGAAAAAAGACATTTTTTTTTTGTTCCCATGCTGTTGACATGATTGCTTCCAAACGGCTAAATGAATTTCAATGAAACTTTACATTTAAGTTTTATATTCTCGTTTCAAGCTCTGATTAGATTTTGAGAGTGATTGGCTCCCATATAATGATGATTATACGTCTTATAGTTTTATAATTATTTCGATACATATACATTATTTTTAAAAAATTTTTAAAGCGTTTTATATAAATCTTAGAAGGATTAAGATCAAATAAACTTTTCTCCTATCTTTTCTAGGAAGGAAAAATTAAACGAAATCTTAGGCATTGCATACCTACCTAAAGCACATTAAAAACGTATTCCACAAATATTTTAGAATAATGTTGTTCAAAGCAGTCTTACTCGTAAAGGGTTAATTAAGGATTAATTAAAATGAAAAACCACTCTTAGCCAGTACCGTGCACGCTGTAACAATATTCAGTAACAAATATTTTGTAAAGATATGATCTAAATAGAAGAATTAATTGCTACAGAAATAGATTACTACTGACTTTTCCCACTATGTTTTTCAGTAACCGTATCAAATTGTTACACAGAATCAAGTGTTATACTGATTACTGAAATTACTTCGGGCAGCTTCGGAGAATCGAGAAAGAGGGCATGCGTCAGTTTGCCTTTGTCGACTTTCCGAAACTCCACTAGCTCACGTACGCGTATCTAGCATGTGTGAGTGTGCACCCGACGGTGCTTTTCTGGCATCACTGGTGAAGACGAACCTTGGAAGAGCTTCGGCAAATTAGTAAAAGAATTATAGTTAGAACGTTACCGTAGCACTTGTTGAATTCAATAAACACCAAATACGAAAACATTAGTTTACTTCAAAGGAAGGTGGTCCTTCGAGTTTAGTTTAGTCGGCACACCACGTGCAAACTCCAACAGTATTCGAACGAGGAAGACTCAACCACGAATCGAACAACACAACTTGAATGACAAACTGTCTTCGATGAAGTGTATCAAACAAACAACAGGACAGTTTAATCAGTTTAGAAACGGCCGCGAATAAGTAAACATCTAGTTCAGAAACACATTTAAATAATAGCATTGAATAACCATAGAGTGTAACAATTTTATTTACATATACGCATCTATCGTAATATCGCGACTTTTTACTACAATCCCCCTTGATTTACGTCGATCGATCAGTATAGCATTCTTCACAGAAAAAGAATACTTTACAAAGCAGCAGTAACAAGGAGTTATTGTTTCATTGACAGCAACATTGTAAAATACGACATGCACGTTTTAAAAGTCTTAAAATTAAATTGTATATTAGTTAATATTCGTCTAATAATGTGTGACAAATCATAGTTCCATTATCTTCATACTATTACATACCATTCCAAAATTCTCTATGTTCATCTCGTATAATCCTCCTGCAGTCAATGAACATGGTTTACTGGATCTTATTTGCATCATACGGAGTAATCTTTGTACTTCCAACGGTGTTTGATACCATTGGGACATGTATCTATCAGAATTTGATGGAATTGTTTAAATGTATCAACTTATTTGATGCATTCTTGTATATTTAACCATGAAAACTTTTAATTCAGTATAAGCATACACAAACATAATCTCATTAATTTAACACTAAACCTACCGAGATTTCATGTATACCCATTCCTACGAAGACCTGTTTAATGATCAGTCTCACTTTTTCTCTTTTACGAGGTAGTGTCTTTTACAAAAAAATATAAATCGTTCAACTGGTCAGATAACCGACCGTGGTAAGCCAGACAGACTACACAATTTTCTCAAAAAAACAAGCAACGAGAATAGAAGTGAATATTGAAAAATTCATTGTGAGTATACTATCAGAAAGGTCGTGAAATTTAATGGCGCTAAAATAACGTATTTTAGACATTTTTGACGAAATTTTAAAAACGATCATTTGACCGGTCGTGGTAGGTTTACTGTTTAATCATTCAAATCTTGAATAATGAATACGTCTTAAATGGAAATTGGACGAATTTTTAAACAGGTATTAATTGATTTGCTTGGAAGGAGCATTAGTAAGTTCAGAGAGGTTGTATGTACAAGAAGACGGTCACTCGCTGATACAATATTCTTAAATGGAAATGCACAAGAACTTATAAAATAACTTTGTAGCTCGTTTTTCGTCAACTATTTTCGCATTAGAAACTTACATGTTGGTGGCTAAGTCTAAACTGTAATCTAGAAGCACCTGTCCAGGTAAACTGAGAATGAACAAATGAAAGTTCTGACCGGCGAAGAAAACACAGTATCTAAAAAATTGATCAGGTTCGTGCAAGTGTACAACAGCCTGGGAAATAAAATTTCGATTTGTTTAACAGTCCTTAGAAACAACGTTATCGAAAGATATACATATGGCTTACTTGAAAGGCTGTGATGCTAATACCTATCATGTTAAGTCCCATTTGAATTAAGTAATTCTTTCGATTTAGATTATCCAGGAACTCGAAAAACCTTGAAACAGAATGAAATGACAAATCAGTTAAACACCACAAAACTGTTTAGTTTTAGTTTAACATTATTTAATCGATACGAACTTGATGGCTTTATTGTGGACTATAACGCACTGCCTAAAGTCTTGATATCCGTTACCCTTCAAAGCACCTCCATTTTTAGTCACATAATTATTTTCAGTTGCTTTCCTAATCTTATATCTGTATTTATCAGAATTACTCGTATAAATAAAATTGTGTTTATTTCTACGCAAGTAATCGATATAGTAGAAATTTGTGAACTCAGTATTGAATAGTTTTGATGTTCTGTTCTGAGCATGCACTATATCTATATGCGATGCGAACGATTTTTTACAAGCTATATTGTTCAAGGTTAAGAATGGCAATATCTTGGATAACTGTAAGAAAGGCATAAGCCGAGCTACGTCGAATGGGACGAAGTGGCCTCGTCCTGCCGCTATGAGACAGGGCGATTTCCGAGGGGACCGTTTGCCCCGCGGATGGGCGCAAAGCGCGGGCACGGAGAGGATACCGGAAGTATGCTTAGAGCGATTCCCGGTATCCTCCCAAATCGTGCGGAAGGGTCACCGTGGGGTTTTTAGTGGGTAGGTCCCGCGTCAGTTATAATGGGCGTGGGGAATCCCACACACCCCTCCCGCCTCACCCCAAAGAGGTGGGAGGGAGTCTTTCGAAGATTTTCCCCACGAAAAAAAAAAAAAAAAGTATGTGAATATTGCAATTAAGCAAAAAAAATGATTTTTTCAAAAAAATTTACACGGAGCTTTATAAACCTCAAAAAACGGTATAACGTCTATTTCAACTATTTTTTTATATCTTTTGTATTTTACGACTTATAAGCACGTACACAGACAGGGTGGTTGGGATAAAAGGGTTGATATCTCCCTCAAAGTGCAAAACAGGCACGAACGAATTACACGTTTCTTCTTAGATAGGTTTAATAAATATTTATGCCAAGATTCATCAAAATCGGAGTATATCGGAAATTTAAGCGTTATTAACTTTTTAACGAAACCTCAATCAACAAATTGGTATTCTTGATTTTCGTCTTATTTTGGCCTCTAGAATCTCCCATTAAAATTTTCCCCAGGGTTAGCCGAAGATCCCGTATAAGAATGTTGAACTCACTAAAACGATTCGAAAAAATTAAAAATGAATGCGTTAAAAGACGTAATGTTTTTAACAAATCAGCCTTCCTACTTCAAACTTGAGCACTTTGACTTTTGAATGATTTTAGAACCTGTAGTATAAATAAACGTTGAATAATTTTCTCTATAGCACTCACTCAATTTCGGAAATAAACCCTTCCTTGACAATGTTGGCGACGCGAAACCAAGCCACCGAACATTAGGAAGGGATTACTGTATTGGGTAAGTCGACCACGAATCAAGGTCAAGCCACGAACCTAAGCAGTGAAGGGTATTAGGTGGAGCCTACGGATGATTTCTTTTGCTACTTGCGTCGTTTAGCTTGTGGTGAGTATGCCAACATCTCGTCTCTCAACAGTATAGTGTACGACGTTTCAAATATCACAGTCATATTTACCCGCATACTGCGAATAATCCAGAAGCGTGATGAACTATTACCATGTATAGAGAATCTACGGAGACTATTGTTAGTATAATACTAATCGCACAGATAGTTCCATGAATATATATGCTATAAAAGTACTCGTCGCCATCTACGAAGTAATAAACTTTTAGTAGTTGTGCTCGCCGTCGGGACTCATTTAGCGGTAGAGCAATGTCCAATAACGGATTAAGCATTGGAAGCGATACAAACAGTACCAAATATGATAATAAGACGTCTGAAAAGTATACATATAACTCTTGTCATTATAGGTACACGAAATACTGAATGTTCATAAAAATAAGGGATTTTCTTCGAGATCAATAATTCGCTTCAATACAAATCGAAACATTTTTTAACATTTTGCAATCTGAAGTTTGAATGTGGAGATGTAACCAGTTCAAGTTTGTGGGCTGTGCTGTTTAAATTTCTACCGCATATAATCTGACCAAAATTGGGCAAATATTACGTTGCAAATTAAATTTCATCGCTACGACGCATAACTCTCTGCTATTATAATATGCGTATGATGTTTAGGAAATGGAGCTTTTACGACTAAAACTTCGGCAGTTGTTAAGCTAGCATTTTTTAAAAACTATAAAAGGCAGCCACGAATGTAAGGTACTAATTTAAGGTACTTTAAGGTAAGGTAATTTAAGGTACTAATATGAATTTAACACTAAATATACTGCCTATAAACTTTAATGCAATTTACCTCCATAACGCAGCTTTAGCGAAACTCTCAGTAGTAATATGGTACAGGACTTCTGATTGATAATTTTGCGAGGAATTAATTCCGAACAAGTCGAAAATTTGTATAAGAACTCCAATGGAACATCTGTTGAAAATTACGTAAAGCACTTACTTCTGTATAGTTGGGCAATTTTGCTCCCTCTCTCGGTGAGAACATCTAGATAATGCAGTTCATCGGCGAGCTTTAATTCCTCCCATTCTTCTTTCACGGAGACAAATAATTCTTTAAACTATAATATTCCGTATTTCTATGATTCTGTGCACATAATAAGCTCCATTTTCTGTAGAAAGAGTACATACATTTTGTCTGTTGAGATGGAGATTTAATAATTTTACAATAGCGAGGGCAGCCGTAATTAAATGTGGTTGGCTCTCGATAACCCCGTCCCAATCCTTCTTGGATAACGACAACTGCATTTGAAAAACCTATTGAAATTTACGTTGCGATTGTGAAACAATATTGTCTGATTAATTACGTTGGTACTTTGGATTCGTTATTTTTCAATTTGTATGCCCAATATTGTTAATATTGGACATGATTCATTTATTAATCGGCTATTTCCACTTACCGAAGGTAGTAGTATGCTAACGTTAATACATATTACCAGAGTAGCATTAATATTACTATGTAGATCAGTTTGCGATGGAGACTGTCCCAAAAATATAAAATACTTCTTAAGCGTTTTATAATAAGAAATGTTGAATATACTGGCCCCGCATCTTTCGTCTTTCTGAAGAACTGAATGGTCTGAGCTTAATTATGAAACGTGTTGCATTAAATACATTGTTAATTAAAATCAACTTATAATAAATTAGATAAATCGTTACTAAAAATGTTTACTTGTAAGTATTAACTGCAGTACATATGCTGTGCAATTTTTGGTAAATATTTACTTCGGTGGCATTGTCCTGAATGAGTTTGTTTTTGAAGTTTTTTTTCAAAAACGACTATATTTCAGCATGAAAAATAAACAGATTTAGAGCATAGCCACTGAAATAAATATTTACACAACTTTGTATTACTATTAAAATTCTTGAATAATAGAAAAAAATTATTTTTAATTAAAGATTGCAGTTGAAAATATTTAATTTTGAAATTGTTTGAAATTATTTAATTAAAAATTAAATTTTTTTCTATTGTAAATTGATCTAAAATGAGTTTTTTTTCAACACATAGGAATTGAGATGGATTGTTGTATTTTAAAGCAAATTTGTGGCATTTAAAATTACTAAAAATTATACTACGCAACAGACGACAATTCCAAATTTGAAAATCTATCTTTGACGTCCGCTTTTGCAAGCAATTCATAGTTCATCCTTTCTTCATTTTTCGTGAGTATTCACCAAAAACCTCAAACGTATATCCAACACACGGTTAATTTTCACGAACCTCCTTTGTCATCTCACGCGATTATACGATTCACCAAAAAATTGGCATCTGAGTGGCTGATATATTACGAGCAGGTTGAACAATACGCAACAGAACTTTCCCAAGGACCTATTTAGTAATAAGTTTCGCGTGATCGCATTGTTTAGTCGCATTCGACACATCTAACAGACTCAACTAACTGGTTTTGGACAAGTAATATTTAATATTGTTGAAATATCATTCTTGGCAATCGACTGTATAAGCTGATTGCACTTACAGGATTAAATATGTAAAACACATTATTAGATTTGGATTTTAACGTTGCGTAACATAAAACGATATAATTTAATCAAAATAATTAATATAAGACTTATCTCACCGATGGAAGACATTCTTCCAATATTAATCACTTTTATATTTTTGCCTATCGTTCCACGTATCACTGCTGCACGGAACAATGTTCCACAAAATAACGAATAGTTTATGTATTGTTGCAAAATGATGAGCTTTTAAATAACAAGTTTCAAAGAGCTACCCCGTTCTGTATCCTTGTGAAGACTATTTGGTTCGCTGCGGAGGCGCGTTTCTTTACGAACAATGACCCATTAGAAAACGAATTCAAATATTTATCCAGGAAAAAATTTTCTATATAATTGGCAAACTCTTACAATCAATTCGATATGGTAACAACCGTATTTATAAATTTTAAAGATGTTTCGTAGAATTTCGATTGTCAGAGGGAGAGACTGGTGTTGCTCTAACCGGTCATTTTCTTATCTACCTCCTATTTTTTGTAATGCAAGAATAATTTCATAATGCGTACCTGTCTGTTGGTAGATTGACGCACAATTACAGTTAATGTTCGAAGTAAGTGACAGAAGGGTGGAGAGAGTTTTACCTCAACAGTCAAATGTTAAATGTCATATATAAGTAACATCTGACATTACTTTAAAATGCGCAGAATATAGTTTCAATCGCCGCCAACTCAATTGGCCAGTTAGTGGCAGTTAGGTGTACTTACCTCCGATACGCTCTGTTTGATTCTCGATTTTAATGCTATTACTTCTAAACATTGCACGTGGCTGGCTGTTGTTTTTTATTCGTCGATACATTTTTTCAAATTAATTTACGGCAAAGTGTAAACAAAAGTGAATTAGGTGAGTCGTAAACAAGTGTCACCCGATATTACTTATTTTATTAAGTTTAGAAAAACAGTGAAGTGTTCCTTCGTCAGATCTCGCCATCTGGCATTTAAGTATTCTAAAAAGACACACTTTCTTTCAAATATCCTACTTACCACGTTATACTATTTAATAACTTAATAATGTAATAGTGTATGTTGAATGTGTATCATCGGATGCATTAAATTCCTACTAAATTAAAATAAATAATTACAGTAAACTTGTTTCAATATTAATAGTTCTTTTTTTCGACTGCCGTTCGTTTTTTCTCACTCGTTTTCACTCGCGGTCCTGTTCTTGGGTGGTCGACTGCGGCTGTTGTCCGATGCACAGTGACATCACTGTGTATGAACATTAGGGTGGTCCTTAGCTACTCTTGGTGAAAACTTTTTTGCAAAATTTTTTTTACCCCACCCCCTAAAATTGATCCATTGGATAAGAAAATAATTCCCGTAAAAGATGAAATTGATCGGATAAGAGGAAGACGTGGCACAATGTGGCACATCCGCGTTAAAGTTCCAATAAATGTGAGATTTCGTATGAACGGAAAAGTATGAAGATAAATATTAGAATGATGGTTAAACGTTCTTTTTGTGAATCCTCGATTACCTCGTCCGCATCTTCAATTAATGATGAATCTTCTAATTCCGCTAATTCTTCTTAATTAAATGATACATATAAAAATATATCAGTAAAGAAGCATAGGTAATATTGAATAAAACAAATTAGACAACTATATAAAAATACATACCATGTATATTTGCTTCATAGTTTTCTCGCCTCGACTTTTCTTGTTCCTCTCGAAGAATTTTTCTGCTTTCCTTCTCGAATAAGTTGCGATCGCTTTCTACCATTGAACCGGTTCATCCTTTCTTCCTTTGATTTATAAGGAATGCTTTGTCTTCTGCAATGCTTATCATTTCCAAAGCGTTAGCATGAGCAATATCGAAAAGGTCATCCAATGCTTCCAGAAAATCATGCTCCCGTTTTTCCCGCAGTGGTGTTCGGCGTTTGCAGGTCTTCTGTAATGTCTTCCAGTTTTGGTATAAAGATTCCACTTTTTCAATTCTCCGATCTAATTTTCGGGTTGGAATTCGCGCTTTCTCCCACAGAACCTCGACTTCTTTTATCACTAAGTGAGCACTTGATCGTAAATTTAATTTCACCTTACGCAGATTATAAAATAATACGCGTAAAACTTGTCCATTTGACGGTAACTTTGAACCAATAATTTGAGTTTCGTCGTAGTTAAGAAGGAATAATTTTTCTCTTCTGGTTTCCATTTTTTATTTGAACTGAGGTGTGATTGAGAAATGAATATTTTAATACTCGCGAAATGGCGATTCTCGCTGATTGACGAATCAAATGAATATACAGAATAAGGCAGACTGTTAATAATCATGGGTCGTGTATAATCGCGTGTGGGTGATTTTTGTTGACAACATTGTGTAATGGAACTGGCATTCACCCTTTCTCTGTGAAAATCTCGTCGGGCGAGTTTTGCCATGCCCTTCTGGGTTTTCATAAGCAGGTTGAATCTTATTCAACGTAAGGTGTTCGCATTTCCATAAGTGGACAAAAATCTAAGGCTGTCGATAATGCCGGTAAGTAGAATTTTTCATGCTGCGTGAGAACCACTAGCACTGGCCTGTCGCAATATTTCGCGCGAATGCAGCTGTGCGCGGAATGCCATTCTACAGGTGGAACTTTAAACGTTAATAACTTTGTAACGAAGCCTCCATCAATTAATTGGTATTCTTGATTTTCGTCTTATTTTGGCCACTAGAATCGCTCGAGTAAAGTTTTCCCAAGGGTGGCCGATCACCCTGTACAATGTTTTCTACTGATATGTGTGGTAAAATTTTATCAGCTGTCACCCAGTAGATCTCAGGAAGTATTCATCCGATTAATTATAGTTAGAAAGGAACAATAATAGAATCAGGAAAATATAAAGTTAGTATTCTTCTTCTTCTTCTTTGTGTTTTTTACGCCGCGTCGACTGCGAGGTCATTGGCGGCGGATGCGTGCTTGCGCGCTATATTTGATTATACATATTTGTTTCTTTGAGAAATTTTAGAGTGTCACTTATGTGGGCCTGAGCTGTAAGGGCTGTGTCCGGTTTTATCCCATATTTCTGTCTTTGGGGTTCGGTTCTTCTGCACTGGTATAGGATGTGGTCTACTGTGAGGGTTTCAGTGGGGCAGTGGCTGCAGTACGGTTGATCGGTTTTTCTTATTAGGTGTTCGTGTGTTATCTTTGTGTGACCTGACCTTAGTCGAGACAATATGGATTTTAAAGTTAGTATTTCTTTTGATCATAAATGCATATTTTTCCGTTTTGGGGTCCCAAAATTCACATTTCAACTATGCCAGTTAACAATAACAATAGGACATTATAACCAGTTTAGAAATGGCCGCGAATAAGTAAACATCTAGTTCAGAAACACATTTAAATAATAGCATTGAATAACCATACAGTGTATCAATTTTATTTACATATACATACGTATCTATCGTAATATCGCGATTTTTTACTACAATTCCTCTGGATTTACGTCGATCGATCAGTATAGCATTCTTCACAGAAAAAGAATACTTTACAAAGCAGCAGTAACAAGGAGTTATTGTTTCATTGACAGCAACATTGTGAAATACGACATGCACGTTTTAAAAGTCTTAAAATTAAATTTTATATTAATTAATATTCGTCTAATAATGTGTGATAAATCATAGTTCCATTATCTTCATACTATTACATACCATTCCAAAATTCTCTATGTTCATCTCGTATAATCCTCCTGCAGTCAATGAACATGGTTTACTGGATCTTATTTGCATCACACGGAGTAATCTTTGTACTTCCAACGGTGTTTGATACCATTGGGACATGTATCTATCAGAATTTGATGGAATTGTTTAAATGTATCAACTTATTTGATGCATTCTTGTATATTTAACCATGAAAACTTTTAATTCAGTATAAGCATACACAAACATAATCTCATTAATTTAACACTAAACCTACCGAGATTTCATGTATACCCATTCCTACGAAGACCTGTTTAATGATCAGTCTTACTTTTTCTCTTTTACGAGGTAGTGTCTTTTACAAAAAAATATAAAACTGGTCAGATAACCGACCGTGGTAAGCAAGACAGACCACATACGAGATATATGAATAGACCTTTCACCTTATGGACTTTCGCGGCCGAATCTGACTGCCATACCGACCTGAAAATTCGGAGGTGATTTTAGCGGCCTCTTCTCATGGATAACGGTCAGTTGAGAAACTCACTGAATTAGTGTGGTAGGCAGCAGCTAGTGCGTGTAAATGCATACCAATTGAAAAGTACGAATTATTCGCGATTCCTTGACTAGTTAAAGTTGTAAATAATTTACTAAAAATCAGTCTATCCGCGGTTTCTATCCGAGGTATCCCTTGGGTTCATAAACAAGCTTCGCGAGACATCGGAGCTTCTCCCACCCCGCCGCCTAATTTGCGAGCGTTGCCGAGCACAGCGGACGGCCATCATTCATACTTTGAAAATAAACATATCAAGACGTGTCGAGACGTATCGGCGTTTCGCGACCGAGGTGCGTATTTCTAACCTGTTTATCCTTCCACTATTACTACTCGCGTATTACTACTTACGATCTCTTGCAATACGGTTTCGATTTAATCATTACTTAATTGTAATAATCGTTTGCGTACTTTAATGCATCGTTATTTCGTTTCTGTTACAGTTTTTTATTGGAACTCGAAATTAAGAAATAATAAGACTTGTTGGAACCTGCCATGACGTGTCAGCGTTTCGCGACCAACGAGGTACATACGAGTTTCTAACCTTTTAATATTTCTTCATTATTATCAATTATTGTTTAATTATGATTTAATTTGTATTTCATTTCTGTTACAGTCTCGGATTGAAAATCGACGCCATGGAAAGTTTCATTGGCGCGTAAACGACACCATAACAGATGACAAACGAGTCGACAAATTTTGGAGGGAATATTGGTAACGTTTAAACAATTACAACAAAAATTAACACCCATATTAATATTTATATATTTTTATATCATTATTAAATCATTCGTTGCAAGCATGATCTTAATTTTGTAATCGGTCATTGTTAAGATAAAATATTAAAATCGTTAACAAACTTTTTATCTACTTCGATACATATCGAAGTATATAGAAATGGCGTCGG